ACAATATTGGCGCTGCTGCCACTGTTCGAAACTGAAACACCGCCACCTTGCTGGCTATTTGTAGTCAGGGTGGAAAAAACCCTGTAGAAGTCAGATGTGTTTTCACTTGCATATTTTAGGCTAAATATAGTAGTTAGGCTAATATGTGAAGCGCGTTCGAGATCACCATATTCTTTCACATGGTATGCCATAGTAATATGAAAGAATCGGGTTATCCTCAAAGTTTTTGTCCCCCCCCCCCCCGGTTTGAAAAAAACGGGGGATAAAGCTATCGCCATGTCTGTCCGTCAACCGTCTCTTTTCCGTTCCCGTAGCAGAACTCCTTTTTATACAGATCCGTCGAATGGTGAACTGGTCCCTTTCATGATTTGGGATTTTGAAAAATACTATAGAGCATATATTATTTTGTTTATTCACCAGAGCGTGAGGCACGGTAACGGTATAACGAGATAGTGATGGCACTATAGCGCGGTAATTGAGCGGATGGTAGAGCTCGGCTGCGCCCGGTAAACTGCATTGTTGCCTTATTTTTTTCCTCACTGAAATAAAGCCTTAGGTATCATATGACATATTAACCAAAAGTGGGTGTTTTAGTAACCAAACTTCATTTCCGCGGACCAGACCGGGGAATGTGTGATCTCCTGATGACTCTTGTTCAGTGGTATAGCTAAATGTCTCGTTCTCCGCTTTGATGGAGATTCACTTATGGGCCGCCTATTTAATATTTCATTTATTAAGCTCAGTAACTGAATTTCTTGGATGTAGTTTCTGTTATGCGGGTAACTTCAGCAACTGGAAATCACTTTTAAGTAGCATCGTAGGAATATCTCCCCATTTATTCTACAGCGCCAGCTGATTTGCCGCCATGTTTGTTTGACATAAGCACTCACGCATCAGGAATCATTTATCTGAACTTTTGGGGGCATTATGCAATAGTTGTTACTTACTTACTTACTTTGGAGATTTAACGTGCGCTTTCCGACTGATGCGTATTTCGCACACGGGCCGGGCCAGGCCATTTAATGTGTTTCCGAAAGGGGCGAAAGTGGTCTGTGCAACCCAAGAGGGGGGTTTTAGGGGTTGCTTATATAGAATTTGGGAATTTTGAGATTTGGAATAGATGCCGATGGGGTTGGGGAGGAGAACTAAGGGAGCTGGGTATGGTGGATGTTTGTTTGTTTATGTGATTTTGATTTGGTAGGTTATTGTGTTTTTAGATGCGTTTTATTAGTTCCGTTTTTATTAAGAATACGCCTAAGACCTTGAAGTTTTCTAGTTTATTTTGTGGGTTTAGTATTGCTTCTAGAGTGAGAGCCTTGTTTAGATTGAGGGTGGTTTGTAATGCGGTTCGATGTGTTAGGTAGTGTGTGCAGTGGATGAGTGCGTGTTCTGGGATTTCTGGTTGTTTGCAGTGTGGGCAGTTACCTGTAGTGTGTTTTATTATTTTTTTTAGGTGGTTATTTAGGTTGGTGTGTCCTGTTTGGAGTTTAGTGATTACTCTGTCGATTTTTTTGGATGGATGGAGAATTTTTAGTTTGGTTAGTGGTTTGCTGAGCACATTTTTGATTTGGCTATTTGAGTTTAGATATAGATTTTGCCATTTTTTGTGATTTTTTGCTTGTTTACACTTTTAATTTCTGATTTTGAGATAGTTGTGTGTAGGCGGGGCATTCGTAGGACGACGACCCCTCGAATTTTTCCATTCGCAGGACGACGACCGCCGGTACGCCTTTGATGTGTGGTGTTGTTTTAGGAGGGGATTAACTCCTTGGTTAGTGTCAAAAACTGAAATATGAACACGAAAACTGAAATGTGTTCACTAAATTGGTGAACTCTGATTTTGATAATCTAGTGAGTACCATTTACTCAACTGATTTACTCAACAGTTACTCTGTTATAATCTCCGAAACATGGTAGTCTGTCAACCAACTAAAACCACACAATCCTTCCGACTCCCAAACAACCAATCAATATTCACGGCAGAACTAATGGGCATGGCCTCAGCCCTCCATAATCAAGAATCCAAAAAACACAAAAAAATCCTAATACTTACCGACTCCCTAAGTGGACTGCAAGCCTTCCAAAACAAAATTACCAAAAATCGACCTAAATTAATAAATCAAATACTTAAAAGCTCCAACGACCTAACTAAGGCAGGCAAACAAATAACCTTCTTGTGGATACCCGCCCACGTAGGAATATACGGTAATGAAAACGCCGATAAAGCAGCTAAACTATCCCTCAAAATCCCAGAAATAAGCTTAAACTTACCCATCTCAAAATCAGAAATTAAAAGTGTAAACAAGCAAAAAATCACAAAAGAATGGCATAACCTATATCTAAACTCATATAGCCAAATCAAAAAAGTGCTCAGCAAACCACTAACCAAACCAAAAATTCTCCATCCATCCAAAAAAATCGACAGAGTAATCACTAAACTCCAAACAGGACACACCAACCTAAATAACCACCTAAATTTAAAAAAACCAAACACTACAGGTAACTGCCCACACTGCAAACAACCAGAAACCCCAGAACACGCACTCATCCACTGCACACACTACCTAACACATCGAACCGCATTACAAACCACCCTCAATCTAAACAAGGCTCTAACTCTAGAAGCAATCCAAACCCACAAAATAAACTAGAAAACTTCAAGGCCTTAGGCGTATTCTTAATAAAAACGGAACTAATAAAACGCATCTAAAAACACAATAACCTACCAAATCAAAATCACATAAACAAACAAACATCCACCATACCCAGCTCCCTTAGTTCTCCTCCCCAATCCCATCGGCATCTATTCCAAATCTCAAAATTCCCAAATTCTATATAAGCAACCCCTAAAACCCCCCTCTTGGGTTTCACAGACCACTTTCGCCCCTTTCGGAAACACATTAAATGGCCTGGCCCGGCCCGTGTGCGAAATACGCATCAGTCGGAAAGTGCACGTTAAATCTCCAAAGTAAGTAAGTAAGTAAGTAAGGTAGTCTGTCATCATTCTCGATATGGCAAATGCGCAGTTACAGTACACGTTTCTACCAACTACACGCGGCAGTAGATACCTTTGTACTGGTGGCTACACCTACCGAGTTGGAAAAAGGAAGAGGAATGACTGGATCTCTTGGAAGTGCACCAACAAAGACTGTCGTTCCACAGTATCGACAGTCAATGACATCATGACGAAAGCGTCAAGTCCTCATAACCATGAACCAGTGAATCATGACTTTAAGGTATGCATTACGGCCTCATAAGAATATCAATATTGATACTGTAGGTAAAAAAGACTAGATTACTGTATGAGATAAACACACAGAAGAGACCTCGTCATCCCAGACTAGTTTCAGACCCTCGACGCCGGAGAGCAGTTTCTTCTTATCAACGATGGCGATGACAAGAAGATCCTTGGCTTCAGTACCACCAGCAACCTCCGAATTCTGTGTGCAGCCGACACCATCTACGGAGATGGAAACTTTTACGTGACTCCACGTCTCTTCTACCAGCTCTACACCCTCCACGCCTTCGTCGCCAACAAGATGGTGCCCCTGGTATTCCTGTTGCTGCCAGACAAGAAGAAGGAGACCTACGACAGAGCCTTCCGCCTGGTCAAGGATGCTGCTGAGAACGTAATAATATATATGACACATGTCCATATTAGCGCATATACCAAGTTTTTATTTATATTTTTCTATTTTCAGATGGACTTTGAAGCAGCTGCAAAGATAGCAGCCCTCGACGTCTTCCCCCATGCTATTGGAAAGGCTGTTTTTCCCATTACACCCAGTGTGTGTGGAGAAAGGCTCAACAGGTCGGTCTCCAGTCAGCCTATGTTGACAACCCAGAGGTCAAAACCTTTGTTAAAAGATGCGCTGTTCCTTCCATGGTTCCAGTGGAAGTGAGTGAGTGAGTGAGTATGGTTTTACGCCGCTTTTAGCAATATTCCAGCAATATCACGGCGGGGGACACCAGAAATGGGCTTCACACATTGTACCCATGTCGGGAATCGAACCCGGGTCTTCGGCGTGATCCAGTCGAAGAGGTAAATAACATCACATATCACTGAAAAAATGTTTAAACATTTAAAAGATATATTTTAAAATGTAAATAATTATATGTAAATTACTATATGGTTCACCTCAACATGCTATCGTAAATAGCATTGAGAGTAAATAAGTTATGTTTCTTATGACAATATATATTATTATTACTATCCAATTATGATAATAATATATATCTACAATATTCTTTCTGTAATTATAGGTTGATGATGTATGGCTCCAGACAATTGCTGACATGCCTTGGAACCATTTCAACAACGACGGCCCTCGCACCAATAACCACCTAGAGGGATGACATGGACGCTTAAAGAAAGTCATCGGCAAAGCCCATCCCAACATCTTTGATCTGATAAGATTTCTAGGAGCCGAACAGCAGAAGACAGAGTGTAATCTGTTACAGTACCAGGCCGGCCAGCGTCTCCCACCAAAAAAGAAGTTCTGTGATATACAACGCAGAATCGATCAACTGAAGACCAGACTGATCCAGAATGAAGTCAGCGTAATTTTCTTTGCTGACTCAGTGTCTCATCTTCTCAACTGTCTTAGTTGCCCATGACTTTTGTGAATCTTATATGTACGTCATCTTCTCGAGTTGTTAAAATAATACTCGATACCCATTGTTTAACTAGATTGGCGGATTAAAATATTCGAAGGACGACGACCTCACTTTTTGCTAGTTTGTTTTAATACGACACACGTGGTCGTCGTCCTCGAATGAACCGCGGATCACTCGTCGTCGTCATGGATGATGCGACTGACGCACGAAGTAAGGTGCAAATGAACATTCTCCGCTTGTTTATCAGACCAGAAAAAACATCTTTAGAATTTTATACCTTCTCAGTCAGAAACAGGGGGCCTTTAAGTTATTGAAACATACAAAGCTTTTTCATATGCTAATCATATGACGACAGAAATGTAGAGACGAAGATATGGAAGGGTAGGTCTGTCAAGGTGTGTAGACATATCGTGTATATAACTAAGATTATATTCTGTCTGTTGTATTGAGTCGATGAACGCGCCCCCGTGTGTATGTTCTTCAGGTGACTACTATATAAACCTCCAGGGTTGACATTCTTCACAACTAATATCTGCATCCTCCTGATCACATCCGACATCCCGTCACTGACGCCGTAAGTTGATAAAGATATATATATATATCCACATTGTCTTGTCAAGTATGACACTTAGGTAGACACAATTTTTCATCTTCGTTAAATACTGTAAAAAGCGACGTTTCGGTATAGATCCCTACTATCACTTGTCCTGTTTAATTGGCTTAATGTCCCATTGGCTTCCACCATTGTGTTCTCTGTCCATCGTGTTGTGACAGTATTATCCCCCTATTATAAACACTTACTCGTGTTATCCCACTGATGTATGCAATTGTTGATACTGTTAATTTTCCACCTACTATATATTCTGTACAATGTCTCTATACCGGATCTATACCGAAACGTCGCTTTTTACAGTATCAAAGAAGTTGTTATCCATAAAATTGTGTCTACCTTGTCATCCGTCAACTTCTAAGTAATGCCTATTAAACAATTCAAATATGACACTTATCTCACGGAAAGAATGAAAAAATGAAATGTAAATTAAATATTTTAAAAAGTTAACTTTAAAATGTTGAGCGAGTAAAATTATAAGTGAGTGAGTATGGTTTTACGCCGCTTTTAGCAATATTCCAGCAATATCACGCGGGGGACACCAGAAATGGGCTTCACACATTGTACCCATGACGGGCGAACGCTTTAACCATTAGGCTACCCGACCGCCCCAGTAAAATTATAGGGGCGGTCGGGTAGCCTAGTGGTTAAAGCGTTCGCTCGTCACGCCGAAGACCCGGGTTCGATTCCCGACATGGGTACTATGTGTGAAGCCCATTTCTGGTGTCCCCAGGATGTGAGAATCAGGTTGTCACAATGAATGTTAAATATCTCTACACTGTGTTTGCATTTGAATCAATGAACGTGTTACAAGGAGAATCAGGTTGTCACAATGAATGTTAAATATCTCTACACTGTGTTTGCATTTGAATCAATGAACGTGTTACAAGGAGAATCAGGTTGTCACAATGAATGTTAAATATCTCTACACTGTGTTTGCATTTGAATCAATGAACATGTTACAAGGAGAATCATGTTGTCACAATGAATGTTAAATATTCTCTATACTTTGTTTGCAACTAAATCAATGAACGTGTTACAAGGAGAATCATGTTGTCACAATGAATGTTAAATATCTCTACACTGTGTTTGCATTTGAATCAATGAACATGTTACAAGGAGAATCAGGTTATCACAGTGAATGTTAAATATTCTCTACACTGTGTTTGGATCCGAATCAATAAACGTAATACAATGACAGTCGGGTGGTTACAACGAATGCTAAATACTATATTTGAATCAACGAATCAACCGAATCAATTAACTTTGTCACAGTGGAAGCTGGATTTTGTTCCTTGCAGATAACAAAGAATGTCTACACAGCGACGAGTGTTGGTGCTGGGGGCCGGTAGAGTGTCGGGGCCGGTGTACGAGGACTTGGCCGGGGAGAAGGACGTGCACGTCACTGCAGGTAAGAGAATCACGTATCATAAATGCTGTTGATGGTATTTGAGAGAGTACATGTCATACGCCGCTATGTCACGTAGGGACAATAGGAATAGGCTGCCCTCCGTGGAACCATGTTGGAGAACGGATCGGCGTGACTTTAAAAACAACTTGACAACTCAAAAGCCTCGAAACTGGTATTGTAAACATACATGTATATACAAACAGTAGTTAGTTGGGAACGCCCTCTCTTCATCAACATGCACAATAAATATTGTTAAAACATATTAACCGCTTAGATAAATAACATGGGACATTGGACCAAAAGAACGGCAACTTCCTCGGCAGGGTTGCTTTCCTTAGACATGTTACGATCCCTTTTCTATCGGTATCTTACTCCATTCGGTAGGCAGCGGAATAAGCCGAGTGGATCCGAGTGCACCGTACTCGTGTTCGTAGTTTTAACAACATCGGTAAATGTCTAGGACCAAGTCTCTACACCAAGCTCATAGGCCTTGGATGTAACTCGCTAACCCACTCGTTTGCTTCATTTAACTGGTTCTGGAACCATTCTAGTTTATTTGCTTTTCGTGGCCTCTATATAGAATTAGATTATGATGCTTTCGATCGTTTTAAAGATTTCATGTTCACAATTGGTTTCCTACTTTGGGTAATATTGGTCTTTACTGCAATACATGTACGTTTTTTTATAAGTGTTTTATAGAAATGTTGGGATTCTTTGCTCTTTTCAAGTAAGTGGAATGTAGATTAATTGGTACCATTGTATATTGGTCAGGTATTTTAAAAAATATTAATGCCAGGCATATTTAGAACAATGCCGTGTTATAGATTGTAAAATCTTTCCGCAAATGTTAAAACTGATTTATGCTCGGGTTTAATGTATGCTTGATATGCTGGGTGTTTTGTTTTGTTGTTGTTGTTTTTAAATATGTATATTACTGATAAACCAGAAAAATGTATGTTTTCAAGTATTCACTAAAACCAAATCTCACTTTCAAAGTGCCAAATTGATTATAAATAATTTAAATTCCTTGATACAGCATCTCTATTTTCCAATTTCAGCAAGCAGGGGTATATTGAATTTGGAGCAAGTTCATCAGTTTTGTCCGGGAGCAAGGCTGGAATGCGTGGACATCGTACAGGACAAGAATGCCAGAGACAGGCTCATCGCCGAACACGACATCGTTGTCAGGTAGTCAGATAGTTCACGTCATCATTCTGCCCCACTGACGGAACACCGTGGGGATTCCGGGAGTAATACATCTACAGCACTGCGTGTAGCGAGATCCGACATAAATGAATCGGGTGGCCAGGCCTTGGTGACTCCGACTGAAGGGTTGAGGGGGGGGGGGGGGGGGGGGGGGGTACTCATGTCAATCAATTGTGTGTCCACCGTCAAATAGCTAGTGCTGATAAGAGGCGTCAAGCAACAGTCATGTACTTCCCGTTGACACCTGGAGCAATAGGCCAATGCTTGTCGGAAGAGCTGACCAATGAGAACAGGGGGATAGAATGTGTAACCTTGGTTGTTGTGTGTCATCGTACCCTGACGGCAAGGATCGTTGCTCATGCTATCAACCACTCGTATTCCTGAACGTATCTTCCCTCGGCATGTGTGCCCTCCAGCCTATAGCAAAGCCTAGTTTCACCCTTCCCATTTCAGGCCTACTTTACTTAGCTCGATCGTGGCGCCATCCGGTGTAGAACACGAGTTATGTCCCTTGTGAAGAAAAAGGGATACCCAACCAGATCGCTTTTTCTATTTCGAATGGCTTCACAAAGAGTACTACCATAGCAGACGACCTGGTTGATCAGTTAAGGAAAATAGTCGAAATTTCATCTCCGACAAACAAACGAAATGACAAACTACCACAATAAAGATATTTATTGCAGCATAACACGTAACACGTCGAGTTTGTTGCCTGCAAGAACGTTCTGTACGATTGTGGCTGTATCGGACCTGGCGTTTTCATGCTGATAAGGACACCACGTGGCAGTTGTTCCAGAAATGGTAGGACAGTCAGACGAAGAATGGCATCCTTGTAAGGATGAGCTGTCAAATCTACTGCCCACAAATTCTTCCCGCACCATAACACCCCCTCCACCAAACGGCACGACCTCAGCTCTGAACAGACAGACCAGACTTTCATCAGTGAAGACGGCCCTCTGCCAATCACATCGCTGCCAACGACGTGCAGTCCGGGCTCATCTCAATCTTTGTCGACGATGTTGCGCTGTCAATAACTGTCCACTTTACTGTCTGTAAGCCCTTATTCCTTGAGCCCTGAGTCGCCTTGCCGCCGTCTGTCGACTTAGCATATGTCCTAAGTCATTCGTCGCTGATGACGTCGCTGTCAGGAACCAATTCCGGAGATGCAAAGTACGCAAGTACCGGTCTTCATAGGCCTGCTTGTTCTTGGTCTGTCTGATGTCTGTCCGGTCTGTCTGAGACGCTGCATCAGGTTATTTGATACACACAGGAAAACAGTACTGGTATGTCTGTCTGATGTCTGTCCGGTCTGTCCGAGACGTTGCATCAGGTTAGTTACAGCAATACGGGAGCAACCAAAAGTTCTAGCAACGTGGGCATAGGTGGCTCCCATCTGTATCATACCCAGGCCCCGCTGGCGTTGATCGGGTTCGGATCGTGGCATTTCGGTGGTGGATCTTTATCAGTGTGAGTGTCTGACACGCCGTACGTATCATTTACATAAACTTATTTCACGTGTAGTTTCGGCTGCCCAAGCGGCACGTGTTTTTCACTTATTCGCATTTTCTTTAAAAAAGGTTCCGTGAACGTATATTATTTTCTGCACAGCGCATTGTCGGGCAACGTTTGAACTTGTGTTTTTACACTCTTTTTCTGTGACATTCAAGATATTTCATACACACAGGAAAACAGTACTGGTATGTCTAGCTGAAGTCTGGATTATTCCAAGATATAATGTATTGAATGATACCATGTTCAGTACGGATTTTGATTGTGAAACATTTATTCGGTACATGTAGGTCGAAAACAATAGCATCGTGCAGGACCTTTAAGTTTGATATGTGGTAGGTGAATAAAAATAGAAATATTGTCTGGTTTGGGTCTTTATAAAACGGCATTTCAGTGTTAAGTATTGGTTGGTCTGACAGTTGATTAAAGGGTTTAACATTAACGCGACAACCGAGGAAATTCTACATCGCCAAGGTGGACACGTGAGACAGTAAGCCATGTCCTTGTATCTGGTAGAAAATAAGATACTCCATGCATCCCAGCCGAAGCAAATGATGTTTTATACAAAAGCCTTTGATTATTTTATTTTTGTTAAAGCGATCTTCTCCCGTCGGTGGTAAAAATAAAACTTTTCATTCTGATTGTATCTATTTTGTTCTCGATTTCCAATTCTTAATGTCTTTGGATCTGTAAACTAAGCAAAATCAAATGTAAGGCCTAATGTTGGCTGCCACAGTGTGTAAGCTGAGCACGTTTTCAGTGTGTATAAATAATATCCATTTAATGGACAACTGAATATCACGCATTGTTACTAAAATCAGCTCTTGTACCCCGATACATACCCCTAGGACAAAATATCACGTATCAGTTACTGAACGCGCTGGTTGACGGTTATGGTGGTCAGTAAGGAAATGAACGTTCATGGATATTTAGTCAGAAGTTATAACGATGAACGTAATCTTTAAGAAAATGACATATCAGTTTTCTCAGGACATATCCAGATATAATGCTAAGGTAACGTTTCCATCTCTGGACTTCTATGTGGCCTCTATGGAAGGGCATATTTGGCCAAATTTCATTACGTTACATGCAACTTTCGAAATATAGTTACAGTATTGACAATAGCATTATGTATGTATTTCTACAAGAACAATATCATACACGGACTGGTCGGCTTGGAGTCAGTGTACTGTAAACTCGGTATCAATGTTCAACTCCGGCATGGTGTTTCAGTGTGCCGGCTATCAAAATGCTTACACAGCTCACAAGCTCACTCAACTGAAAATTTGAGTTTCAATGCCTCTAACAGAGCCGACTAGTACTTCTCCCAGAAACCTGCTTTCCCACGGATATAACAATGATCAAGTTGTGTGAACCGATGTATGTAGCGGAAAGTTCAGTAAAGCAATGAAAGAAAAGAGGTTTTTCAAGTTTTCTTGTCCTAGCATTTCTTCAACAACATTCATTTTATACGCTAGAATGATCCGCCAGTCCAGGACAGTCAAGAACGTTCAACCCCCATCACACCAAACTAGTTCTCAAATACTTTCGTGAAAATGTTGTCGAACGGGTTCCAACTGTGTATGACGTGTATAAGTAGTGGACGTAGTAGCAAATATTGACAGTCTTTTTACGAACTTCATGGACGGGCTCGGACGGGGAGGGTGCTCTGGAATTTTGAGTCTGCTCAAAATTTTATCCCCCTACCACCCCGTTCTGCAATTAGACGGATTGACAACGTACTTAAAACGAGAAAGACGTATTACGAACGTAAATGCCTCACTTTGAACGGAAGTGCCGTACTTCGAACCTACTGGACGTGTTACGACGTTCGGACATAAATATCAGTACGTGTGCACACCGACCGGGTCGACTTCTCTTTGGGGGCATGATGTGCACAGCTCGGAGCCCTGAACTTGAATGAAGACTGGCTACAACGCGCTCGGTATCCATAGGAGTCGGGCCAGGACGGGCCGGGCCAGGGCGCGAATACACACGCACTTGGGACGAGATGAGGACGTATTGCGAACGAGTTGGTCGGGTTAGGAATTAGTTAGAACTGGCTTGGACGTATTGTGAACGAGGTAGAACGAGGTTGAACTGGTTTAGAACGGGTTCAGAATGGCTACGGACGTGCTCGAACTGCTTCGAAACGTTGTCGGCATGAGGTGAACGGACACTTTTACACGATCTGAACTGGATACAAACGGACAGCATACTGGCTAAGAACGAGATAGACGTATTGAGGATTGCTTATGAACGAACTAGCATCGTATTTTACGCCAAACTACGCGTCAACCGTGATCACAGCCCGTTCTAGTATTTTGTTTAGAACGGGGTAGAACAGGATAGAACTACTTTGGTGTGATCGTAGCTTTAAGGTTTTTCTGCATACCGTGAATACACTCGTGTACTGCTACGGTGTCGTGGGTTCGGCGTCACTGCAGATGGTGTACTCCTGTGCTCTGTGCTCCAGAGTGTGGAGAATGCTGACACATAATATTTTATGAAAGGATGCAAGATAAGAAGATATGTCATTTAGCTTTCTATTCCTCTAATGTAATAGCCACATCAGTTTATACAGTGCTTTTTTTGTCTGTGTCTGTCATACACACCAGTGTAATTTGTCTGCCATAGCAGCTGATGTAAGTGGGATTTTTTTGTCATAACTGATATAAGTGTTTTATTGTCTGTCATATCAGGTTATCTAAGTGTATGTATTTGGCATATCAGCTGCTGTAAGTGTTATTTGTCTAGCATGTCAGTTATATTTGGTCAATATACTTACACATTGTATTTATCTGTCATAGCAGCTGATGTAAGTGTATTTGTCTGTCATATCAGGTTTATATAAGTGTTATTTGTCTGTCATATCAGCTGATGTAAGTGTAATTTGTCTGTCATATCTGGTTTATATAAGTGTTATTTGTCTGTCATATCAGCTGATGTAAGTGTAATTTGTCTGTCATATCATGTTATATAAGTGTTATTTGTCTGTCGTAGCAGCTGATATAAGTGTTATTAAAAACATTTATTTGTCATATCCACTGATGTTAGTGTTATTTGCCTTTCATAACAGCCTATATCGTCAGATGATGGACGTGTATTGTGTTTCAGTTTGGTGCACGTGTCCTTGGTACCAGACATTGTCCGGGCCTGTGTGTCGCTCAAGAAGCACCTTGTGGCCCCCTGTTATGTTGACCCGGAAGTACAGAAGCTACACAAGGAGTAAGGCCAGACGGTATCATTTCTTGATATACGGAGTTGCGTGTCTTGCGGGTGCCAGAATCCTATGATCGTGGTGTGTGATTCTTGGTATGCCAGCACCAGCCTCGTGTAAGATGGTGTAAGATCTCGCTGTGTTGCAATCAAATATATTTCTTAAACGTAATTAAAAATTATCGGTTTTATTACTTTCAATGGCGTCACGGTGTAGGTGATACACACATCAACCTTTTCAACATGCAATTTTACCCTTTTACACCATTTACATTTGTTATAGCATTGCTAGTTATGATTTACATGTTGTTACTTATGTATTTGGTCAATATACTTACACATTTTATGGGCCCTTTACACCCAACACAAGTTCATTTCCTATTCTGCGCAAGAGAATTCTGTACAATAACAGGAATTAAGGCAAATTTCAACATCTACCGTTAAAACCGCATGTATATCGCCCGCAAGTAGTCATGTGAAGGTTGTGGGCCAGGCAACACCAGGGACGGGCTGTGCGACAATGGCGTTAATCCATGTTTACAGACGAATCAAGAACACCCCCCACCCCTCCCACTGCCCTGGTGCACAGTGAGATGACATAGATTAGTTGTAGTCCTAGTTTAGGAAGCTCCTGTGCTTGGAGACACGTATGGAATACATGTGTTTGTAGAAGCCAACGGTTTGTTGTAGAGCGTCGGATGCCGGTCTGACGGTCCTGTGTGAGTTGGGCATCAACCCTGGCATGGATCATATGGGCGCCACGAGAACTTTCGATGACATCAAGCGAAGAGGAGGAACGGTATGGCGTACACCATTATTACTACTACTATTACTACTACTACTGCTACAATTACTACTACTGCTAATACTATCACTACTACTGCTGCCGCACTACTCATACATCAACACTACTACTACTGCTGGTGCTGCTGCTACTACTACTACTGTTGCTGCTCCTGCTGTTATCATTATTATTGCTGCTGCTGCGGCTACTTTTACTACTGCTACTCTACTATTACTACTAATACTACTGCTACAACTACTACTGCTGCTGATGCTGCACAACTACAACACCCTACAACTGCCACAGCTACTGTTGCTGCTGCTACTACTATTCCTTCCCCACTACTACCGTCATTCTATACAAGCTACTGCACGTGCTCTCAGTATCACTACGTGTGACGTCAGGACTACAGCCAATACTATCTGTACTTGTTCTTCTTCCGTGCAAGGCTTCATTGATCCGTGCCATCCCAGATCCGCCCGTATTCTGAGGCGTGGTGTATCACCATGCTCGCTCAACACCAATTGAACTTTGAGTTTGGACATGACGTAAACATATTTACCTCTACACTACAACTGAAACCCCTACCCCTACCCCTACTTCTACTATTTATAATTTACATTACCACATTCTTACATTATTACTCAAAAGATGATTAAAATCAAATTTGAATAACGACGGCACCAATCTCATTAAAAGAATATCTTAGTTCTCGCTACCGCTAAACAAAGAGGATATCCCATAAGGGGTCACGTCAGAACGACCTTAACTAAGACAAAATTGTTATGGATGAACTTCTTTATTACAACTGGGCGACGTTTCGGTGTAGATTCTAACACCGTTATCAAGCAAATGATGAACATTCTTGAATGGCTAATAGAACGACCTTACATCCGATCAATCAGGACGTCGCTTACCACATCATGAAAGTGACAGTCCGAATGTGATTTCGAATCATGCAACCTCGAAAACTTTAACATGGGATATTCCGAACGATAGTTACGGGCTTAACGACTGAATGCATACAATTTAGACTATCTATTAGCCATTCCAGAATGTTATTTTGTTCAGGTTTCAAATTTTTTAATATTTTTTTTTCAGAATTTTATAAATATGTTTCGACGCGTAGTCGCCAATTTGAAATTAGTGCCGTGAAGCACGAAAAAGCTACCTTCTTGTTGGCTAAGGTCGACTTCTTGTCAGTCATTCCATTGGTCGGTCAAAGTTCGCACAAGGTCAGTCTGACGTAATCCGTAATGGGGTGTCCTCAGATCTTTGTTCAGCGGTAGCGAGAACTAAGATCTGATTTTAATGAGCTTGCGACGGCTAGCGATCCTAACAATTAAGTGACAAGCAATACGAATGCAGTTGTCTTTTAAGGGGTGAGGAAGCATTCCCTCAAAGTAAGTTTCCACACGTCTTAAGAAAATAATTATAATTTTCTCCTTAAGGTGACTTCCTATGAACTGTTGGGCGGAGCTCTTCCGGCTCCGGAATGCGCAAACAATCCTCTCAAGTACAAATTCAGGTAAGCTGATCACAGTTTGGCATGTCAAGACGGCGTAAAATTCAATTCATTCACTCTTGGCAAGACAGATTAACTGAAAATAGTAAAATGATAGAATCGGGTTGTTCTTTAACTTCTTTTGAGTAGTATATGACTGTTGTGTTTCAGCTGGTGCCCCAGAAACGCCCTATGGAAGTACACAAAGGCAAGCGCCTATCTGAAAAACGGAAAGGTAAAATCGAAACCATAGACGATTTTGCGACTACGCACAATTGAGAAAGATGCTAAATATTCGCCCGAATTTACATAGACCAGAAAAAGAAGATGTATATTTTCATGAAGCAAAACCAAATATTCATGAGGTAAATTTGCGCTTTGTTTTGCAATGTGACCTCTGGTAAGTTTGATCATGATCCTAGACGCATTGAGACCACACGACTCAAATTGTTATCGTAACAATTCTTGTTGACGTTTATCTGACGAGTAACCTCGACCATCAACCTCAACCGATGATGCATCATAGTGACGATATTTTCTGAATGACGTTTGCTACTTTGTTTTTAGAACCATTGGAACTAACAAAAGACCAGAGGAATTTGAAAAGGAGTATAACCATTTCAGCGCATGCGTAGATTAATTCACTTACTACGCATGCGCACCATTAATCGAAAAGGGCGACAACGCGACATATTTTGACCTTGAAAAATGTCGCGTTGTCGCATTGTCGCGCTTTGGTGAAATAAAAAAGATTATTCAAAATGCGACAATGCGACAAATGACCATTGTCGCATTGTCGCGCTTTGGTTAATTTTGACACTTTTTTTGCTTGTGTTTGGAAGGGCGACAGTGTGACAACGCGACCATGTCCCTTGTAGTATTCCATAGTTAAGTCTTTTCATGACATCTGACACAATTGAAGAGCTTAGAGCCATAAGGGCTAATGTCATGTGGAGTCTGTTTTGAGAAAAGTGATGAAAACACATCATATTATGCATATTAATGAACTTTTTTTTCACCGATAAATTCCTAGACATTAATGCATTCTGACAGCAGAGATATAAATCTATAAATCTATAACCCTCAGGCATTTGCATGAGATTTACCATGTGAGATTGATTGATAAACTACTACTAAAAGTACAAACACATGCTATTGAAGTACTTTTAATGATTTAAACTAATGCCAACTTTGTTGAAATAGTTGAAATATGATAAAAGGTTCCAAACTCTCAAAATCTCTCTCAGACAACCAGTCTCAACCACACACGGAAATGAGAGCTTAAAGAGCCAAAATCTAACAAAGTGACTTTGGCCCTTTTGAAACTTGACTTTGGCCCTTTTATAGAATTTTAAGTAGCTATATTTCAATGAATCAATGAAAACATACAATATTTTTTGTACAGGTAGACAAGAACTCATAGATGTTATTTATGCAATAATATGCAAAAAGGGCCAAAGTGCATTTTGCCCCTTTTAGCTCTAAGCTCTTCAATTGTCAACAGATGTTGATTTTTCTCTCCCAGAAATTAAACCCAGTCCTTAGAGATAATACCAAGATCATCCAATCAACATCCAATCAGCTTTAAGGTATATAACGTTTCTTGAGATAACTCGTGAAACATCGGGTTGTTATCGTGGTCTAAAGCACTGTGTCGACACTGACACCTCTACTCCTCACCCACAGATGACGGAGCTCCCAGCAGGGACTGCCGTTATGGAATCTGCGCAGGACATCGACATTGGCCAGGGCTTCAAACTGGAGAGCTTTCCCTACGGATTCAACCCCAGGCTTCTCCCCCTCTACGGAATAGAGACAGTCCACACATTCTTCAAGGGATCTATGAGATACAGGGTACGTACATCTCGGGAAACTCCATCAACAGGGCTGAGATGAAACACGTTTAGTAAAAATGTTGTTATGGTAGTTCACTAATGTCGTGTGACGTTATCAGGTTACGTGTTACTTTAGGTCTTCCAGCCTTTTGATGTGGCTCGATGATTTCCTTTACGACCAATGGCCTCGTGTATGCTCTGTGTCAATAATAGTGGATATCCGTGGATGTTACTCTGGAAATTCAAGGGTTCCGTGGAGAGGTCTGTAGACATTCACGCCATCTGTCGTCACTCCGGCAAGCCGAGGCAACGGAAAGGTACGAATACGAGAAGTTAGGACTGATCCTCAGCATCCGGCTGTAGGAAGCAGCTGACAACCTGATTGTCACATCGAAACCACTCGAATATCCTTCGGGACAAGCCGAATAGTGAAGGAAATAGACGAGTATTATATATATTGCATTCATCAACAATCGGATATTTCTATAACCCTACAAGTACCCCTGTCCGTACCTCTCCATTCGGCTTGTCTCGGACTGGCACGAGTGGGTCACGAATGATATGTTTGCGCTGTATACCGCTAAGTTGTCGTCCCCGATCCGGATATCTGCAGATCGTTGTGGTATATTGAAACCCTGTCAATCAAGACGGTTTCCAGTTAAATTTGGATTCATGGACATGGCTCCTCGTCGCTATATATATATATACATTCCAGTAAGGGTGCACCCAAGGCGGAATTACCCCCCTTTCACTACGACCACGAATATCCCGAATCACCCCGAATCGGAAACTTTCGAAATTCGTGATGATTCGGCCAATAATGTAAACTTTCGTGGCTAATCGGGTTGAAAAAAATGAGGAATGCCAGGAATGGGTTAAGTCATCCCACTGATGACATCCTTACCTTGTCAGCTTGCTGACGGGGTTAACCTCTTTGGTCATGTGGACAAGGCGTCCGACCTCGGATCAGAAGGTCCGTGGTTCCAATCCCATCACGGGACTCGGAAATTTTATGGCTGCTACATTGGCGCCCAACGTGGGGCTGAGCACGTTCATATTTAATTTGAGTAAAATAAGCCTCAGTACCCTACTGTGCAGAGCGGGACGTTCCTTTTGTTGACGGGGGAGTATGTAGCAGGGGTCGTGGAGTCATCCCACAGATGACATCCTTACCCTGTCAGCTTGCTGACGGGGTTAACCTCTTTGGTCATGTGGACAAGGCTTCCGACTTCTGATCAGAAGGTCCGTGGTTCGAATCCCATCACGGGACTCGGACATTTTATGGCCGCTACATATGTATCATGCACGAATTGTAGGAATCGCCTACGACTAAGTTACGAATATGCCGAATGTTGTTCTTACTTAATTCTTACATGATTCGTAGTTGACTCGGGACATTCGTGGCTGTTTCGGGATGGTTTCGGGTTGAGGACAAGACATTTTGGAAGCCACGAATCGCTAAGAATAGCCAAGAATGCAAAAGAATCGATTACGAAGCTGTTACGGAACATAAGAATGAATTACGAATGGATTACGATACAGCCACGAAATTGCAATTCGGCGACCCTTCAACAAACAAACACTTTCTCGCCGACTCGACGAACTCCCGCGAACTGTATGAATGTTTAGGAATCAAATAAGATTCATTTAGGAACTTCAAGAAATAATTGTGATTTATTTACGAACATCGAACATTACTTATTCGGGGTGATTCGGGATATTCTTCGTCGTAGTGTAATATGGGCAAAACGGGGTACGGATTGACGGGGTGTAACTGTACCGCAGTTACCATTTGCCAGAAACATCGTCCGTGTTAACGAATCATTTGTATGGAGCAATCGGGAAGTACACTAATTGCGTACACAATGTTACCTGTTCATTTGACTGCGCCAAACGGAACCGAACGCGTTGCCGTCAAAATTCATCCAAGCACATGTGAACGTACGGGTATTGTTATTATTTGCGTTTAGGGAGGTATAAACGTAAAACCGGCTATATATATGACGGCGCTCAGTAACTAATCGAGTTTGCACCAGACATCATGAGCATCGATCTACGCAATTGGGATACGATGACATGCAGCGAGCCTGACCACCCGATCCGTTAGTTGCCTCTTACGGCAAGCATGAGTTGCTGAAGATAAATTCTAACCCGGATCTTCACAGGTAGCTCACGAACACGTTACATTGCTGTTTTTTGTTGTTGTTGTTAAAAGCTGCAGAAATACTTCAGCTATTTGACGACGGGCTGTAAATATTCCATTCTGGACCCGACAAGCCAGTGATTCACATCATGAGCTAAGTCCCACGCCATTGGAAACGATGACGCGCAATCAGCATTCGTGACCAACTCGTGTTATTCCGGGACAAGTCAAATAGCGACTCGTGCCCATTTCGTAGCCATTTTAGCGACCGGGTTTCGTCTTAGCGCAAACGGGCATACCTAAAACAATTGTTATTTCGTTGCGTGATGGTTCACACATTTTCCCCATTTATTATATATATTTCAGATGCAGTTTAAAGCACATCTGGGCGTGCGGAATTATACAGTATGATTGAACACATTTAACTGTGTCTTTGGTATATTTTAAGATGCAAGAAATATGTAAAATCAAAAATTATTTCTGAGGGATTATTTGACGAAGAACTTGAAGCCATACGCGCATTCTGATTGGTTGGTCGTATTTTCGCACATAACATTCATCGATAGGGGGACGAGTCTTCTTGGAGGTTACGGAAAGAGGCGAGTGGTGACGAATGGCGCAATCAGCCGAGTCACCCAGTCTGACCGCAGATCCATCAAGTTGTCTCTTACGACCAGCAGAGGTTGCTGGGGACCTAATCTAACCCGGAATCCCCACTCGGTGCTGTTCAATAATGTTTATGATAATCCAGTTATGTTTCCTTCTCAGGGGTTCTGTGCCAGTATACTGAGCTTGATGAAACTTGGCCTTTACCGTACCTCCACCCACGATCTACTGCGCACAGGCGCAAGAGGAGTCACGTGGGTACGCAATATAGTGACATACATTTGCTTTGTTAGTATTTCATATGAGCCTTTCTTGGATGAGTGATTGAGTGAGGTTTTACGCCGCTTTTAGCAATATTCCAGCAATATCACGGCGGGGGACACCAGAAAGGGGCTTCACACATTGTACCAATCTCGGGAATCGAACCCGGGCTTTGGCGTGACGAGCGAACGCTTTAACCACTAGGCTACCCGACCGCCCCTTTTCATGGATGATTGCAGGTGAATTATTTGTAGACAGTCAAGGCCCCGTTACACAAGACAACCCTAGCAAGGGATAACCATAACCACTTAGCGCAGTTGTAACGCTGCTGAACCAGTACTCGATATACTGTTAAAAACACGGCAGTTTAGGATTTCTTGGTCTTTTTCCAACACAATTTGTGAGTGCTGATGTTTTAGACCAATTTACATAATCGTCAAATATAATGTAATTTCTAAACATGAACGGTTACGAAACTATCGCTAACTTCCACTACATTGTAACAAACCTGTCTTTTAGCATGCCTACGTGCTGTTTGAGATCCATGTCTTTGACCTGAATTGAGCTGTATTTAATTAATCCTAGGTAAAATCATATAGCACAACACATTCTGGATAAACAAGTTAGTGCAGTTGCTCCTCAACTAACAAAAACATGAATCCAATCGCAAATTATCATATTTCATTGATAATGTCAGTATGTACACTTTTTCACTGCAATATGATTATTTTATTTTTCGTAGAGAAACTATATTTGCCACGAGCTGGGATTGAACTATAATGTCAAAGATGAAATCCTGAAGTTGAAGGTCAAGGACAAACTAGGAGGAAGAGACCAGTTAGACATCGTCCAAAAGTAAGTTCTCGTGGCCTCGTCTTATCCCAATGTTCAGTAGTTCTTTTACATTTAAGATGTAAATTACCCCATGTGTTCCCACTCGTATCAGCCCGGGACAGAAGACAAGGTCCGGTTTCCATCCTTGCCGAACTAGACTAGAATTATGGAGGTATTTTTTGGCTGGACTAACGAGTCTTTGCATAGCCCAATCAAAATCGCGTAACGAAATCGACATCCGGTTCGTCAACTGCCGTGCAGATTTCGGTCGATTGCAGGATTCCTAAAGCATGTGTACCACAAACTCGGCGTCAACAGATATTTTCCAAATCGTTTCAAGTTTCTAATCAAGTCATGATCAAGTGAGTTAATGCCCTTCGAGAAGTAAGACGCGTAAAATTACAATAAAGATCTTGATTAGATCAGATCGTCGTGACTGGACGCCACCATTTTGTTTCAAGCAAACTGCAAGTGAAGTGAGAGGTGGAATCTGATTGGTCAATAGGACGGACATAGGAGGGACATAACTCGTAATAGCCACTGGTGGTGCCACTATCGGGCCCAGAAATTCCCGCCTAGTTCGACAAGGGGGGAAACTGGACTTTTACAGTCAGTTAACTCCCTTGTTTCGGATAGATGGTTACGGAGAAAGTTGTGGCGAATGCAGTTAGCTATGCATTCAGTCAATAGTCAGAATTGTATGCCCTTGTTTATTGTCGTTCAACTAGTTTAGCACACTTACTTGTTCACATGTGTGAACGTTGATAGGATATAGTACTAGTATACGTTGATTAAGGATCGGATTCAACGATATATATCAGGAAGCACTGTCGTTCAAGGCGCGGTAACTCTAAGAGTTGTATCCCTTTGGTGTGCCAGAAACTTCTGATTATGTTTCTAGGTTTGTCAGCCCCATACCGGCCCTCATTGGTTTTACCAAAGCGGTAGGGTCGAAGATCACTTTGGGGCTATCCTCCAACGTCAGTCTGACACGCCGGGATATAACTGAAATATTGTTCAGAGCAGCGTTAAACTTACCCACTTAATATATTTATCTTATTAAAAAATTCTGTTTTCAATGTCATAAATCTCCGGAAGCTCTGACAGTATGACACAATAGCTTCCCATGACAGTGAACAATACGTGACAAATGTAGGACATTTCAAATGTTATTTGAATGAACTTCACTTTAACCTTATTAATTACTTTTTGTAGACTTGGTTTTCTTGGAGCTGAAGATATTGAACCGAAAGGGACCCCATTTGACACCTTCGTTTGCTACATGGAAAAACGGCGCGACTTCATGATGGGTATGTTCCGGCAATTGTATGTTTAAGAGGCACTCGGCTCAGAGAAAATGGCAGACCTAGAGAGTTTGATTCATGTCATTTAAAAGACACTGTTATTTGTCCAGCAATTAATTCCCACCATCATCTAACAGAGATAATGTCTGTTTCACAGGTCAGACCTATACTTTAGCTCAGTGGAAATTTCCGGGTTATAATAGGTCCCCATCAACAAATGCGCAGGTCGTAAGAGGCGACGTCACGCCGAAAGCCCGGGTTCGATTCTCCACACGGGTTACATGTGTGAAGCCCATTTCTGGTGTCCCCCGTCGTGAAATTGCTGGAATATTGCTAAAAGCGGCGTAACACCATACTCACTCACGTACGAGGCCAACGGGTGTTCAAGCTCGGTGACTCTTTTGATGCCGTAGCAACGTATCCCAATGACGTGGATCATTGCTCATAATATCAATCACGGGATTATCTTCTCCAGTCTCGACACTTTACAGTTCACCATTATATAGCTGGAATGAGAGAATTTAGAGATTCCTCCGCGTTGGGGCGTCGTTTGGTTACATTGCATGAACTCAGGTCCGCTGTTTATGTCTTATAATTGTTCCAGGGCCGGATGAACGCGACGTGGGCCTGTTGGTTATGACGGTTACCGGAAGTTTCCCCGACGGCTCAAGCGAGACCCGGAAGTTGGGTCTGACAGTGTACGGGGATGCCGGAAAGCACACTGGCATGGCCAAAATCGTCGGCCATTGTTTATCCAGTGCGGTCAGGTTGATACTGAATGGTAACTGGGTTGACCGTTTTGATTCGGAAACATTAGGCGCAATAACTGACAGGAACACCATCTTCTTTGGATTGTGTTGACTGGTCTCCTGTCAAGATGACCAAAACCATTCGTCACCACCCGCCTCTTTCCGTAGCCTCCAAGAAGACTCGTCCCCCTATCGATGAATGTTATGTGCGAAAATACGACAAACCAATCAGAATGCGCGTATGGCTTTAAGTTCTTCGTCAAATAATCCCTCAGAAATAATTTTTGATTTTACATATTTCTTGCATCTTAAAATATACCAAAGACACAGTTAAATGTGTTCAATCATACTGTATAATTCCGCACGCCCAGCTGTGCTTTAAACTGCATCTGAAATATATATAATATATGGGGAAAATGTGTGAACCATCACGCAACGAAATAACAATTGTTTTAGGTATGCCCGTTTGCGCTAAGACGGAACCCGGTCGCTAAAATGGCTACGAAAGGGGCACGAGTCGCTATTTGACTTGTCCCGGAATAACACGAGTTGGTCACGAATGGACCAAAACGAGTAGACGGGCGGTGGTTGATGTATCGTAGGCTGCGATTGGACAAAACTAAACACAGCATTCATTGGTCCTCGGTATCGAATGAACAAATACCGACTACGTTAAGTGTGTCTTGCTTAAAGTAACATCAGTAATTTTATCACCCAAAACTTTCGATGTGTAGATATGTCTCTGTGTTTATTTTCATTGAAGTGTGTAGAGCCCTTAAACCTACAATGGTCTTAGATGTACTTAAATTCATGAGGGGACGGAGCTTATGTGACCGCGTGAAACTTGTTTCGCTCGCACTGCTTCTCACCAAAACACGAAAGTACATCGTACCTCTGCCGAGTAGTGGGGCGGTCGGGTAGCCTAGTGGTTAAAGCGTTCGCTCGTCACGCCGAAGACCCGGGTTCGATTCCCGACATGGGTACAATGTGTGAAGCCCTTTTCTGGTGTCCCCCGCCGTGATATTGCTGGAATATTGCTAAAAGCGGCGTAAAACCATACTCACTCACTCACTCTGCCGAGTAGTGACAGCTGTGACTGAAACATCGTAATGGCAGCGATGACGCAATGACATGCGTTCGTAGACATCAACTAGTTTTGCGGAAGATAGTGTCACATCTTCAAATAAGCTCCTCCCAGGCCACAACAGATGTGCGCACCCTAAACCATATACGGGACAGATTTTAGACTAACATTTAGTCTCTGAAATCTTATATTACACAATATCCTTCTTGACTCTAAAAAAAAATAAATTCCTATGCTGATTTCAGAGTGGAATAGAGCTAGCTTGAGCTGGCTAGACTTGCTTTTGTATGCATATCTAGATTATTTTTTTAGATAAAATAAATATATTCCACGGTCATGGTGCAGGACTAGACAGATTTGTGCAACATTATTTGGCCGCCACCTGTTGACTAAAATCCCTAAGCTGGTTGTGGGGACCAACAGTGGAACTTGTTTGCAGTGGGCTATGGTGCCGAAACTGTCTGTTCAGAGTTACAGCCCTTATCCATGCAAGGATCCTCCAGGTTAATCGTGAGTTCGAATCCAAGATTCTCCACGATTGTGACAACGTCCCCATGCACATACGTTTCGCTAAAGTCATAAACATGTACGACCTGCATCACTTTAGGCATCCGCGAACATCAAGCTGATATAAGTTGTTTATGTGATAAAACTAAAATATTTTTTTCAGAGCGGCGCTGAACACAAGCAATGAATGGGTATTTAATGCCACGCTTAGCAATTTTCCCTACTGGGTATAATGTGTGAAGCAAATTTTATAATATAAGTTACCATTGCTCACTCAATGCTGTATATGTTCCAGGGGAGATAACTGAGCGAGGAATCGTGATGCCGATTACCCCCAGCGTCTACAAACCTCTACTGGCGGAGATGGAGAAAAAGGGGATTGCCTTTGTTGAGAGAAAATGATTTAAAGTTATTTCAGTAAACCCATTCAGTAGACACTCTTGGGCATAAAAAAACTTATCATCGTGTTTTAATGTCAGAAAAGGGAAAACAAACACGTATATCGTTCTTGTTGTCGAAACTTGTAAAACTGAAATTGTTCCTGTTAATGTTGTTTCCGGGTGACTAACCACGAGTGTGTCCGTCTCCTGCGGCCGTCCACGTATAAATAGCAATGCAACTGGCTTGATAACTTGATTACATTTTCCTTGAAAGTTCAGTATACCATTTATGGTCACTAGGGTCATTGCAAATGCCTCCCCATAACATCACACCAACTCCTCCATATGGGAGGACCTCTTGGATGCATCCCGGCGCGAGAGGTTGCCCTCTTCGTCTGTACACGCATCTTCCCGAGATCTTGCCTCGGGAAGATGCTGTACGCGCGGACTGTTCCATCAACCCAAAGACGTATATACGTCTTTGATCAACCCGATGCAGAGTGACGAGACGTTCGTCCATGAAGAGTACCGTCTGCCAGTCACGTCGCTGGTAACGTCGTACAGTTCTTGCGCATTGCATTTTGAGACATCGACATCGACATGGGGTCAGTATCATAATACTATTCCACGTACCAACAATCGTACGGATAACGTAACGTCTGTAACGTTAGAAAAGTGTTGATATCGTTCGTCTGGAGCGGCAAAGGGTTCTTGCGATATGTGCACCCGTGTCGCCCGCATTTGTACTATATCACATTCAGTCATTGTGATTTTAATGGAAAAACGATATTTCAGTGAGAAGTCTTTTTTGCCCGTCGGTTTAGATGAAAATATAAGACTAACCCGACACACTTAGTGTAGATAAAGGGGCGGTGGGGTAGCCTAGTGGTTAAAGCGTTCGCTCGTCACGCCGAAGATCCGGGTTCGATTCCCCACATGGGTACAATGTGTGAAGCCCATTTCTGGTGTCCCCCGCCGTGATATTGCTGGAATATTGGTAAAAGCGGCGTAAAACCATACTCACTCACTCATTCATTACTGTACTCTCCAAGGTTACATTAATTGTTACTCACTCACTCACTAGTGTAGATAAAAAAATTTGTAAAAACTAATCAATCGATACTCCAAACAAGACACCAAAATACGAGAGAGTTCGGAAATTACTACTTTATAACTAAAGCGATAGCTTACTCTAACTGTAACTACAATAAGTTTGTGAAGTTTTGGTCCAGTTGCCACAAACTATTTTTGTAACCATATCAACTCAAATACTGAATTATCTGAGTTCATATGCCCCCATGATGTATGATTCTGTTGTTGTTTTAAGAATCGCTGTATGAACATTAATATGTATGAAATGCTGTACGACAAAAAAAGTGGAATAATAAAAAAAAAGGACACCAAAATACAGAATGTGTAACTTCTCAAGCTTTTAATTTGTTTATATGTATATGAAAAAACATTTTTTTTATTAATTTAAAGTTGCTTTCCTATTCAAGGGTACTAAGATATTATCTTTAACATTTTGATAGGTCAAACCGTTTTATTGCTTTCCAGATTATTTTTGACCAGGTTTATTTATTTCAAAGTGGTTTCTATTTTTAAACACAGTTCTTTATGAAAAGCACCGGTACACGGAGATTGAAACTTTAGTCGTGCAGGATATGCCTTGTTCCTAGCACAATGACGTGACCTAATCAAGTACACACAAGCTTATACAACAAATCTTTGAAAATCAATACATATTTTACCAAGTCTCCTTCGAAACAATTTATTTCATACACAATTACACAGCCACAGATTACATTTTACAAACTGGTGCAGGAATGAGTGATGGTTAAAAAGACATAATCAAATTGAACAACAGTTTCATTTACATAAAAAAAAAAAACTTGGTATACTTTCTTTAGCCCCTCAGTTTAGTAGAATTATCATATACACCGAAATAAATTTAATATATATTTTATATACACAAATTAATATATTCAGTTTTAATAAACTTACAGGGAGATTGTCGTCGTGTGTTTGTTGTATGTACCCCAAGCAGATGTTCATATTCATGATACTGTGCTGTATCGTATTCTTCTAGATCGACAGGGGCGGTCGGGTAGCCTAGTGGTTTAAGCGTTAGCTCGTCACGCTGAAGACCCGGGTTCGATTCCCGACATGGGTACAATGTGTGAAGCCCATTTCTGGTGTCCCCCGCCATGATATTGCTGGAATATTGCTAAAAGCGGCGTAAAACCATACTCATTCACTCTAGATCGACAGCACAAGTCAATCTGAGGGTCCGAAACGTTTCTCCCGAGGGGCGTTCAGTTTCAAACTGGCAGCTCCAACTGCCCATTTTTTTCAATATTCTATGCGTTTATGGGGGTATTGGCCTTAACGTAAAAAGCGGTGTGCACACTGTGTAAATCCGCGTTTATTCCACAGGCAACTTAGGTCTGCACTGAAAATACTGTATTCTATCATGGGTAAATAAAACGCGAACTCTTTGGTGTTAGCAGATATATTTATTAGTGAAGCGGCATGGGTAAAGTCCAGTGTTTTGAGTGGGTTGTCGATCTGAAACACGGGATCACGGACCATAGAGCCTTAAACACAACAAGGCTCTGTATATATGCTCAAGCAGGATTTTACACCGTACTACTTCGCTCGAAATTATGACAGGTATTACTTCGCAAGGTAACATGAAGTGAGCACCCCTATCAAAACTAGGCAAACCTTCAGCTTGCTAGGGTTTCGCTCTACAGCGCGTCACTACTATGACGTCATATCGCTCATTGTGACGCAAAAGATATGACGTCACAGTCAAAGATATGTAACGAAAAGTAACGCAAATTTCGAGCTCGCGTGTAGATTTCTATCGTGTTTTCCACACGTGACGTAGACCCTAATACTTGCCCCTTTAGACAACTCTGTCAGACCAAGACCATAAATTAATAATATCATATGTTATATTGAAAGTAGCAGATCTTATAAATACGAAGGGATGTTTGAAACGGTTTTACGGGGTTAAAAAAAACCCAAAAAACACTATTTTAGGGATGTCAGCGGGAGATGAAATATGACTGATTAAACAGTGATATAAGATCCGATATGATATATAAAATATAAAGAGGAATATTTTCTATGGGGTCATTAAATAAATAATGAATATTCCGGGCGAAATAAATTACAGATGCCCGCAGTGAATGAAATCAGAGTTACCTGCCTTTACAAGATGGCGTCGCAGTGACAGGTTTTCGACTTGTAAAGTAAGAAAACCTTAAGTTTCGTGATCTCTGACAATAATGATGACACAATGCAAAATGTACATAGTTGGTCCAAGTGTCTGAACAAGATGCTTAGCAAATTGTCTGCGAAAAATCTATATTCACCCCTGTGGTTGTGTGCTGATTCTAGTGATAGTGAAAAGGCAAACTATCCAGGATGGGGAGCGGTCGCGCTATAGCGCGGTAATTGAGTGGATGGTAGCGATCTGGCTGCGCCGGGTATTAATTGCATTGTTGCCCAAATATGCTCAACCTGTCGCTAAATTCAAATATTTTGTCCAAGACATAAATGGATTTCTATGATCTGTTTGGGAAGCTCATCTGACTGTCGATCAGGTGTGTCAGAGTACGTGTTATAAGAAGTTATAATGTCAAATTTCTTTATTATTTAACTGAAATAAATGTAGTTCAACGTAAGAGCTAGATTCTGTAAGAAAAATGTAATTTACAAACTTTAATCTGACACACGAGAGATGTACAGGTTGGCAGTGACATCGAAGGGTACCTCAATACTGAAGCAGTCTTAAAGGGGCACTGATCTAACGCAATTCCCCGGGACTGGTTGTTGCCTTTGTTATTGTTTTTTTCCAGTGAGTACCCGGATGTATAGCAGAAATCTAGACTAGTTCGCGACCTCTGCTGCGCCATTCGTAAGCGCATTAGTCGCTTTTATGGGTAGTAATAAGGGCGTATGGTCACATTGATCAACAAAATGAAATACAGTTTTCGAGATAATAAGGAAATGTAGGTATCTTTGTGGGTAGCATCGGTAATGGTGACGAAGTTTTGATAAGTCACTTGCTTGGTAATTTTGCGATTTTCGTTTACACTATTTTGACTTGCAACACAAAGTAAATATTTCACCTGAGCATTGCTTTTTTTATAGTGTTTTTTTTTTACTGTCAAATGTGTTACAAATTTATTAAACGTCTAAATATTCAGTTATTTTACAAAGCGACTGAAAACATTTCCATCTGTATTATTATGATAACGAATTCCAAACATTTTGATGTTTAATGTCATCACCAAGAGACTGAAAATGTTACGTTGAGAAAAGTACATTTCTATGTTGTTTGGCTTCTAATCCTACATAATAATCTGTTGTGATGTTTGTAGGCCCTTTTGATCGTCTTAATCAGTCTGGACAGATTTTTTAGTCAAAATGACTGAAATATTTACACATTTTATAAATTGCCTGAGAGAATCACATTTTACAAATTGACGGTAATATATACACGCTTACAAAGGAAAAGAACTGAAAACAACGTCTATCGCCCATTGAAGAATTTCCCAACCAAGACATAGAGAAACAAGAACGAATCGGTTCAAATGAAGGAAAACAAAATGCAAATATCATAATTACAACCTACCAAATTTATGTGTATAAATTTTAGGCAGCTTCCTTGTTCGAGGAATGTATCCGTGAATATCCACACAAAGGAACAATATCCCACTCGTCTGCAGCTGTACAAAGAAACTTATTCGATGTCACGTGTCTCAGTAACAATCAAATATTTTAAAAGATATATATCGTTTCGGGATATTATAACCCGTGTTCGTTTCTCAACTGATCACTTGGATTGTTTCAGGTGTTTTACATAGGTGTCAAGTCTCACGTGACAACTATTTTCATAACGTTCACGGTTCCTAAAAAATCCATTGAGTGATAGATAACAATGATCAATCAATCAACGTATTATAAGTTAACCCTTTGAACAAAGTATGTTGTTTTTACATGTAAGCACTCACTCTTGACATATCCACTGTGCAAGATAACAGTGATTAATCAATCAACGTATTTTCTGTTAATCCTTTGATGACTAGAAACGTTCCGTTGATTTACAAAAAAATAAATCAACTTATCATTCATCTCTTGCTGGGCTGCCACGTGCATATTACATAACACACATTTCACCTCACTTCAACCCTGGATTTAGATTGAATAATTACCCCAGACACAATAAATGCCAAATGGGAACCTTTGTCAGGTAATCTAAGTGGTGCTACCACTAATTGTACCTGTAATAAATTTAAAGGGACCTTGATCTACAGCAATATTCCCTGGGACTGGTTGTTGCCTTTGTTATATTTATTCCCCATGAGTACCTGGATAAGTAGCAGAAATCTAGACTAGTTTGCGACCTGTGCTGCGCCATTCGTAAGCACATTACTCACTTTAATTGACAGTGTAAGAGCGTATGGTCACCATGGTCACACTGATCAATCAGCATATTTTCTGTTGATCCTTTGATGGCGAGGAATGATCAGTTGATTTACCAAAAAGTAAATCAACTGATCACTCCTCTTGCTGGGCTGCCACATGCATTTTATATAACATACATTTCACCCCACTACAAACCTGGATTCAGATTAAATAAATACCCCAGACACAAGAAATGCCAAATGGAAACCTTTGTCAGGTAATCTGAATGGTGCTACCACTAGTTATACCTATCATAAATTCATTAACTGAGATTCAAGTGAATCACAACAAATACACAGGTGTAGGGTTATATCAGGAAACATGGATGACAACAAGAGATATCAATCGTATTATCTGCACAATCCAAAATCCGAAAATGCTTTCACTGCAGGGATACAAAGTTCGATCACAATTTTCTCATTGTTGTTGCTGAATATTTCACTTTGGTTTCAGACTACTTCATTCGAAATATATACTTATATGAATATAGCCAGTGTTTTGTTCAACAACAAAGATATAAGATACTTTATTTGACTGGCAGTCACATGAATTACCGGTCCAAGCCAATTTTACCAGTACAATTTCAACTATAGTCACTAATAAATGCATGACCTACAATCACTAATAAATTGACATACAATACAATTTTTATGTTTTTGAAATCACAGTAAGATTGTAATTTTTTACTCTTGCCGGAAATGCAAAAAACAGAACCCTTCATTTTTTAGCTTTTATGTATTCCAGGGAGAAGTAGTTTATTAGAGACTTGGCGCTTATTGAGTTGTACGCTGCTTCATATCCAGCGCTTATTGGAGGTTGACACCTATTAAAGACCAGGACCCACTTGCACAACGCGATCTTAGCTCTAAGATGATCGTAACTCCCATACTTTAACATAGGCTTACGATCGCTTTGTGCAAGTGGGTCCTGGTGCTTATTAGAAGTAATTTGCTGACTAAGTGGTACTGGTAATGCTTACTGAGGGTAGACAGTTTGAGAGAAAACCAGTATTTCTACAGGATTTCATTTTGAACAAATGTTATATAAATATTGTCTGCAGATACTACATTTAGGGCATCTTCCCAAGGCAAGGGCATTAACTGACTATGAAAGTCAAGTTTCCACCCTTGCCAAACTAGGCTGTGATTCTAGCATTACAATTTGGCTGGACTAACAAGTCTATGAGTAGTCCATCAAAATTGTGTAACACACTAGACATCCGGTTGGTAAGCCATGTTGATTTTAACATGCAAATTTAGGTCGACTGCAGGATTTGCAAAGCATGTGTACCGCGAACTGGGCGTCAACAGATATTTTGCATGTTTGTAATCATGGTGCTCAAGTGATTTGATGTACCTCATGCAGTAAGACCCATATTATTACAGTGTAGATCTTGATTATCGATCAGATCGACTTAACTGCACGCCACCATTTTCTTTGAAGCCATATGCAAGTTATATGAGAGGTGGAACCTGATTGGTCAATAGAAGGGTCATAACTTGTAATAGCCACTGGAGGCACTATGATTGAGCCTTGAAATTCCAGCCTAGTTGGGCAAGAATGGAAATTGGACTTTTTAATTAGTTTAATCAAACTCCCTTGCCCTGCGAAGATGCATTTTGGATGATAACTACTAGTAACTAAGGCTGTAGTTAACATGCTAAGGCAGCCTGAAGCAGACAAGGTAGGGATGTAATCTGTTGTATGACTCCATACTCTGAAGCAATTGCAATGGTAACCATTTAAACATTTTATTTTTTTCAATTTCAGATAATTATTGATGGATATAGTCTGTGGCTGTGGCATCCATATTGTCAACAATGGCTGCTTCAGTGCAACATACTCAAGGGTTAGTATCAGAGTTGAATTTATCACAGTTAAGTCCTCATCAAAAGTTGTACTTGAAATCATGGTTAAGTGTCTAAGATACAGTTTTTGTCAAAATAAAACATATTTAGCTCACAATACAATCTGATACAAGGACAGAATGTCCTACTCTATCATGTCCATGTGTGAGTATTGCACATTGTGTTTTTTGCCATCAGTCATCCATTTGCTAACTGATGTTTCATCTGTTTAAGAATAAGGGCAAGAGTAATGGAATGAAAATGATTGCAGAATACTGTTTCTAATCATGATATCAGTTTCAGAACTAGGATGGAAGGTCGAGGGTCCTTGTCCAACCTTAATCATGCTTATGTAAAAGACTGAGGATTAAGATTCAAATTTTATAGCAGCAAGCTTAAAAAACCCCAATTAATTTTGAATACTGTATGTACAAAAGTTCTCAAGCCATTGTAGATTTACTTGATTAAAGCCTACAAAATATGCCTTTGAAAATGGAATATGTATCCTGATATATTCCTGTCATAAACAATATAACACCCTTGCTATTTAAATACAAATTGTACAAGCCTACTACTGTTATAGGGATTCAGTAAATAATAGGTCGTAGTACGAACTGCTGTCCATATCAATTTAGAAATCAAAATATGTCTGGTGTGTGCTTCATCAGGTGCTCATAGCATGACCAGTGTTGTTGTGTTCACTTCCAGCACGGGTCTGGTCTACGACGAGAGGTTAGCTCGCCATTTCCATGCATGGAATGAAGACTTTACCGAGAAGCCAGAGAGGATCCTGGAACCGTTCGCCAGGTGCCAGGCTCTGGGACTCGTTAACAGGTGTTGCAGGATACAGGTAAGTGGCACTTGCAAGTCTGTCTGATTCAGATGCCAGTCTTTAGGTCTCATTAACAGGTGTTGCAGGATACAGGTAAGTGGCACTTGCAAGTCTGTCTGATTCAGATGCCAGGCTCTGGGACTCGTTAACAGGTATTGCAGGATACAGGTCAGTGGCACTTGCAAGTCTATGTCTGATTCAGATGCCAGGCTCTGGGACTCGTTAACAGGTATTGCAGGATACAGGTCAGTGGCACTTGCAAGTCTCTGTCTGATTCAGATGCCAGTCTTTAGGACTCGTTAACAGGTGTTGCAGGATACAGATCAGTGGCACTTGCAAGTCTGTCTGATTCAGATGCCAGGCTCTAGGTAAATAGTTTGGGCTACTATTGTAATACAATCTGATAGTGAAAATAGCCTCAATAGTCACACCTACTAGATTCAATGTTCACCGACTTGACAAAATCAAGAACAATATGCCAATAAGTCAGAGACTTTTGAGATGCCTTTATATTTTGTCAATGCATCTCTGGTTTGTATAGAAAATTAGAAACGTCTAACTAGGAATAGATAGTCCCTCTGGGAGACATAGTACTACAGTCATACCAGTGCCCTCATTCGGGTGGCCCAGTCGTCTAAGGCGCCACGATTCGCTGTATAGAGTTGCGTCCCTTGGGCTCGCCAGAAACCTATGATTGTGGGTTCGAATCCTGGTTCGCCCCGATTGTGTTTCTAGGTTTGTCAGCACCATACCCGTGCTCGTGGGTTTCACCGAAGTGGTAAACGTGTGAGACCTGCATCCCTTGGGGCTTTCCTCCCACATTAAGCTGACACGCCATGATATAACTGGAATACTGTTAAAAGTGGCGTTAAACCCAACTCACTCACTCACTCACTCACTCACTCATTCGAGTGAACCTCCAAAGACCAAAAATAGTCCTTTCCCATCACATGTGTTGTTTATACCATGTTTACACTATGTTCAATACAACAGTATGTTCATTACACACTGGTATCATGAAACTGTGAGTTGTACACACAAGTAGAACAGCAAGTCTCTAAGATTATATTTTAATTTATTCTGCAACACAAAAACATGTAACAAGACACATTGCAACAGCTACCATGGCTACAGCTCTTGAAACATAGCCCATCAGACTTTGCATACTTTATGCATTATGTTCATGTTATAGACATGATAACTAAATACGATAATAATCACAATAGAAAGAAAATATGATAGTATGCAGTGTTGTTTGTGTTGTTGGTTGTGTTAAGAGTTTGGAAAAAATGTAGATCAACCCCCACAATGACACCAAAAAAAAAAACCACCATTCAATTCATTCCTTTAGGCTTATTGAGAAAATGTCTAGACTGAGGCCAATGGACACACTGCACTGTCAACCACTGTAAGAAGGGGTGGTACTTTTAGCCTCCGTCATAGAGAGGTCCTTAAAAAATATTGCCATTGTGATGTTTAGGCGGTTTATGATGGCAAAGAAGATCCAGGGTAGAACAGGTCTTCAGCAACCTATGCTTGTCGTAAGAGGCGACTTACAGGATTGGGTGGTCAAGCTCGCTGACTTGGTTGATGCATGTCATCATTTTCAAATTGCGTAGATCGATGCTCATGATGTCAATCACTGGATTGTCTGTTCCAGGCATGGTTATTTACAGACTGCGACATTAAACATCAAACAAACATGTTTCTTAATGACTGAAAAGTGAAATTATCAAAACACGCAGGTCATTGTATCCCAATTGTGTGGATTGATGCCCGTGATGTCAATCACTGGATTGTCTGATCCAGACTCGATTATTTACAGACCGCCGTCATATAACTGGAATATTGCCGAGTGCAGCGTTAAAGAAAAAACAAACAAACAAAATCATGATAGTGTTTGAGATTGTGTTCATTGGTTGTCAGGCCCGGCCAGCGACGGAGAGTGAAATACTGATCCTCCACAGCAGGGATCACATCCGCTTGTTGAAGGAGACCAGCTCCATGTCTGAAGAACAACTTAAGAATCTCTCGCAGATGTACGACTATATCTATTTCCACAATGTAAGTTGAAATACACATCATGACATAGAGTAAACCTCACTTATAACAAACTCAGAGGGACCCTATTTTTTGTTCGTTATAAGCACAGTTTACTGTAGCATAGCACATCGCATAGCATCTATACAGCAAATGGACGGGACCAAAAACTGTTTGTTATATCCGTCAGTTCGGTATAAACATGTTCGTTATAAGCACAGTTTACTGTAGCATAGCACATCGCATAGCATCTATACAGCAAATGGACGGGACCAAAAACTGTTTGTTATATCCGTCAGTTCGGTATAAACATGTTCGTTATAAGCACAGTTTACTGTAGCATAGCACATCGCATAGCATCTATACAGCAAATGGACGGGACCAAAAACTGTTTGTTATATCCGTCAGTTCGGTATAAACATGTTCGTTATAAGCACAGTTTACTGTAGCATAGCACATCGCATAGCATCTATACAGCAAATGGACGGGACCAAAAACTGTTTGTTATATCCGTCAGTTCGGTATAAACATGTTCGTTATAAGCACAGTTTACTGTAGCATAGCACATCGCATAGCATCTATACAGCAAATGGACGGGACCAAAAACTGTTTGTTATATCCGTCAGTTCGGTATAAACATGTTCGTTATAAGCACAGTTTACTGTAGCATAGCACATCGCATAGCATCTATACAGCAAATGGACGGGACCAAAAACTGTTTGTTATATCCGTCAGTTCGGTATAAACATGTTCGTTATAAGCACAGTTTACTGTAGCATAGCACATCGCATAGCATCTATACAGCAAATGGACGGGACCAAAAACTGTTTGTTATATCCGTCAGTTCGGTATAAACATGTTCGTTATAAGCACAGTTTACTGTAGCATAGCACATCGCATAGCATCTATACAGCAAATGGACGGGACCAAAAACTGTTTGTTATATCCGTCAGTTCGGTATAAACATGTTCGTTATAAGCACAGTTTACTGTAGCATAGCACATCGCATAGCATCTATACAGCAAATGGACGGGACCAAAAACTGTTTGTTATATCCGTCAGTTCGGTATAAACATGTTCGTTATAAGCACAGTTTACTGTAGCATAGCACATCGCATAGCATCTATACAGCAAATGGACGGGACCAAAAACTGTTTGTTATATCCGTCAGTTCGGTATAAACATGTTCGTTATAAGCACAGTTTACTGTAGCATAGCACATCGCATAGCATCTATACAGCAAATGGACGGGACCAAAAACTGTTTGTTATATCCAACAGTTCGGTATAAACATGTTCGTTATAAGCACAGTTTACTATAGCATAGCATAGCATAGCATCTATACAGCAAATGGACGGGACCAAAAACTGTTTGTTATATCCGTCAGTTCGGTATAAACATGTTCGTTATAAGCACAGTTTACTGTAGCATAGCATAGCATAGCATCTATACAGCAAATGGACGGGACCAAAAACTGTTTGTTATATCCGTCAGTTCGGTATAAACATGTTCGTTATAAGCACAGTTTACTGTAGCATAGCACATCGCATAGCATCTATACAGCAAATGGACGGGACCAAAAACTGTTTGTTATATCCGTCAGTTCGGTATAAACATGTTCGTTATAAGCACAGTTTACTGTAGCATAGCATAGCATAGCATCTATACAGCAAATGGACGGGACCAAAAACTGTTTGTTATATCCGTCAGTTCGGTATAAACATGTTCGTTATAAACGTAGTTTACTGTACTCTCCAGGGGCAGTTGGGTAGGCTAGTGTTAAAGTGTTCGCTCGTCACGCCAAGACCCGATTGATTCCCGACATTGGTACAATGTGTGAAGCCCATTTCTGGTGTCCCCCGTGATATTGCTGGGATATTGCTGAAAGCGGCGTAAAACCATACTTACTCACTCATTCATTACTATACTCTCAAAGGTTACATTAGTTGTTATTTTCACTCATCCTCAAACTACAGCATTCCCATCTGTCTGATGGTAAAACTGGAAGTCTACAAGGAAATGTCACTAGTCCTGAATCTAAGACTGATGTTAAGGTGAACACTGCTCCATGTCCTGAGATTGCTGCTTCAGTGTTCTAAGCGATGCAGGATTAGGTGATTAACACATGTCCTTGTTCACGCTACTCTACTGTGCATTTCCTTGGTACTGTTAAAAGATTACCACAATCACTTGAAACTTGTCCTATTCAAATTCCTTGCCCACTTTCCTGCTACCATTTGTTTTTCCCATATTTTCAAAACATTTCTTTTATATTTTGATTGCCCTCTTAACTTATCTAGACCTGCTCAGAGGCTTATATTTGTCCTCAATTCATATTTTGGTTTGAAAATTACAAGGGTGTAACACGAGTATGCAATCCCTTTGGGAGTAAAGTAGACGTAGTGTACTGCAGTTATATCAGTGCCTCCATTTGATTGAACAGCAGGAGACCAAAAATAGTCTTTTTCATTTGTGCTGTTATTGAAGCCTGTGTATTACAGTAGGATGTTTATTTAACAGTGGTATCTTAAACAGGTGAGTTGTAGATATAGATATGATAGCAGTTTTCAGGTACCGGTACATATTTCTTGTCATTTCCAGCATATCTACAAAAGTGCTCAACTTGCCTTGGGAGGTGCAATAGACTTGGTGGACCATGTCGTCACAGGCAGGGTATGTGGATGGATTTTAAACACATATGTGGCAGCCAAATTGAAAATGTTGCTTTTGTCTATTTTTCAGCCATTTCTGCATGTATCTTTTCGAGCTCACCTGACTGAAAGTCTGGTGGCCGGAATGTCATTCATCTTCATCTACAGAAACTACTAAACAAAAGAAGCTGAAACTTCACATATTTGTTCCAGCTAATGAAGACATCCCAATTTGTTCAAGAGATTTGAATCTGATTTTCAATATGGCTGCCATGACAGCCATATTGTAAAAGCTATTAATAGTCTGGCAGCTACGTTAACTATTTGAGGGAATTGTGCCTTTGATGATACAAGCATGGTACTCAGGTCAGCTGGGTCCTGAGTAGGACCTGGGTACCCACACGACTACCCGGACCCATGGTTAACTCGTGATATAATGTTTAATGACAAAAATTATCTAAAAGTCTTAATAATCCGTCAGTCCGATATAAACATGTTCCTTATAAACATAGTTTACTGTACTCTCCAAGATTACATTAATTGTTATTTTCATTTTGCAACAAGTGACTAATGTTCGCATTTCTTTCGATCTAGAACTTTAGAACAATTGTTTGTGACCATTTTGGAAATTTGCTACTATTGTGGCTATAGGAAAAATGTGCAATGGCCCTATAGCTGGAAATCTTTCTTAGGGCATGCTCTGACAGTGTGCCAAAGCTCATGTGTCATCAAAGGCACAATTCATTCACATATCTGTTGGACTATAATTAATTTTTGGGCATTACCACGCCAGAAACCTATGATTGTGGGTTTGAATCCCGGTTTTCCCCGATTATGTTTCTAGGTTTGTCAGCACCATACCCGTGCCCGTGGGTTTCACCTAAGTGGTAAACGTCTGTGACCTGCATCACTTCAGGCTTTCCTCCCACATTAAGCTGACACACCGCGATATAACTTGAATACTGTTAAAGGCGGCGTTAGACCCAACTCACTCACTCACTCCTCACAATTTACTGTATGCAGAAAATATTTGAATATCAACGTGGACAGCAACCTTTGTTATGTGGCTGTCCTTGTTAACATTTTAAACTATTGACTACATATCCAGGTGAGCTACACTGCCGTAGCACTATTGTTTATATACTGGTATGTGGTATGTTAAGTAAAATGGACTTGCAGTGTTTGGGTGATGCTCCTCATTCTCTCCTGCCCACCACTCCATCTCATCTAATAAATGACAGGTCTATTTCAAATATTGAGTCCCTTATTCTCTTTGTCTTCAGCTGCGAAATGGAATGGCTATCATCAGGTATGTATCATAACTATTTTACCACTGTTTTCATCATGTTAATTTTCACACAATACAATTGATGCCATTTTCTTGTGATCAAATAGTTTGTAAAGATTTTCATTTCCTGAATAGTCTGTGATTCTTTCAGCATGTTCAGTATACCTAGGGCTCCAGTTTGTGATACTCTGATTTTACTTTAAATACTATCATTACTGGTAGCAAATTAGCAACTTGAAAATATTCTGTCCTTACATTCTTAAAATGGAAATAGATCTTGTTTGAAATGAAACGCTGTATCTATGACATTGTGAACCTTCTGGTATCTTTGTGGGTACAGATGGCCCAGTCGTCTGAGGCACCACAATTAGCTGTGCAGAGTTGCATCCCCTTGGCATGCCAGAAAGCTATGATTGTGGTTTCGAATCACGATTCGACCAGATTATGTTTTTTAGGTTTGTCAGCACCATACCCGTGCTTATGGGTTTTACCTAAGTGGTACATGTCTGAGACCTGCATCACTGTGGGCTTTCCCCCCTAAAGTAAACTGACTCACCGTGATGTAACTCACTCACTCACTCTGGTGTCCTTGTCAGCTGCAACATGTAGATCAGTTATAACATGTATAGAATGACTTCTTAATATCAATCTCATTAAAATCAGATCTTAGTTCTCGCTACCGCTAAACAATGATCTGAGGACATCCCATTAGGGATCACGTCAGAACGACCTTTAATCTGACCAATCAGATCCTAGCTTACCAGATCATGAAGATGACATAAAACGGTGTATTCAGAACGATAGTTACGGGCTTAACGACTGAATCCATACAATCTAGACCATCTATTAGCCATTCCAGAATATTCTTTTGTTCAGGTTTCAATTTTTTTATCGGGAATTTGTCAAAATATGTTTCGAAGCATAGTCGCCAATTTAAATTAGTGCCCTAGAGCATGAAAAAGCTGCCATCTGATTGGCCAATGTCGACTTCTTGTCAGTCATTTCATTGGTCGGTCAGAGTTCGCGCAAGGTCGGTCTGACGTCACCCGTAATGGGATGTCCTCCCATTTTAATGAGATTGTCTAAATATGTTCTTCAAGCACTCCAGGATTCAAATCTGCAACATTTTCAGTTTCATGCTAAGCATGAAAGCACATGTGTCAATTCCATGCAACAAACAAATGGCTGTCAGGTGTATGTACCTGTTCTTGTAGTGGGGACTCTGGTGCCACAGTTCTCTCCAGGGTTAGAAATTATTTAAATTATTTGCTAGTGAGTTGCCATCTATCTAATGCTAAAAGGAGTAGTTCACACTAGTCACTAGTCCCTCCTGAATGTTACTAGTTTTTACTAGCAGATTTGTGATAATTAAAACTGGTCAAAGATGTCGAGAGATGATTCTTTTGTCATGCTGGGATCCCCTGATTGTGGGTTTGAATCCCTGTTTGGCTCCTATCTATTCATAACCATAATGTTAAATGTTAAGCTTTAGGGGTCTCTAAATCTAAGTACTGGTACTATTGCAGAACCAATTTGTTACGAGTCCTGGACCCTGTTCCTCAAAACAACCTTTGGTAGGGTTAACTTTAACAACTAAGGTTAGAACTAAGGTTACCTTAGTCGGAACTTTTCCCAAAGCAACCTTATCTCAATCTTAACTTGGTGTGCCAACCATGGCGCTAAGGTTGCAATCCTAAAGCTATATCAGATCATCTGGTGAAACCAATACTCGATATAAATGATGGTTTAGGATTTTGTTGCCTATTTGTAACACAATTTGTGATTGCAGATTTTACATTATCATCGTATGTAATTTCTAAACATACGGTTCACAGTTACGATGCCATCACTAACTTCCACATCATTGTAGCCTACCTTAATCTCATGTACGGTACATGTTGTTTGATATCCATGTAGACATGTCTTTGACTACTTGCAATGTGAGGCTATATTTCAGACCCCCAGGCCACCATGCAATGAAGGAAGAGTTTAATGGCTACTGCTACCTCAATAATGTTGCTGTGTCGGCAAAACTGGCCCTTGACAACCACAACCTCAAAAGGTAGGTTCTGCTGAAATGTATGTTCACCACCACAACAAATTGAGAAATTGAGTTGTCCTGTTTAATATTCTTGGTCTATGATTGCCTTGGTAGTTGGTTCTACCAAATTTGTAATCATCTATAAATTGTGACACTTTGGGACTTTGCCCCAAAATATTCCAGATTGTGGCATAAGAATATTTTCTTCATTTTTTTTCTTTTAAATTTAGAAATACTTTAAAGTAGAAAATTATTCTCGTTTCAAGATAGCTGTTTTTAGAATTCTTCCTAATTTAACAATAACCTGAAATGAAGAACTTTTGTTCAGGTAAGATAATCAGTGTCAACATAGTCCTCAGAAATCACTATCCTACCCAGAGTTCTATGCGGCCAGCCACAGGCCAGCACCATGTGTCAATTTATCACATCTTACACAATCCATTCAAGATATTGTGGGTGTGTTCACTGTTGTGATATTCCTTGAATATTGCCAATACCAGCATTTTCCCCAACCATGCTGACTGACTCCCTCACTGTTATGTTAAACCTCCTAACTCATTTGGGTTCATGGGTGGCCCAGTCGTCTAAGGCGCCGCGATTTGCTGTGCAGAGTTGCGTTCCTTGGGCATGCCAGAAACCTATGATTGTGGGCTGAAACCCGGTTCACCCCAATTATGTTTCTAGGTTTGTCAGCACCATACCCGTGCGAGTGGGTTTCACCGAAGTGGTAAACGTCTGAGACCTGCATCTCTTCGGGCTTTCCTCCCACATTAAGCTGACACGCTGCGATATAACTGGAATACTGTTAAAAGCGGCGTTAAACCCAACCCACTCACTCACTCATGGGTGGCCCAGTTGCCTAAAGCACAGGAATTCAGTGTGCAAAGTAGCGCTTTTAAGGTGTTGCAGAAACCTATCAGAGTTAGAAATTGACACTTGCCAAACTGCCCCATAGTTAAAGTATCATAACGACTAGTCGAAATTTGCAATTTTTAAGGGTTTTGCTATTTGTTATCATTATAAGGACTAGTGGACTGAAACTGTTAGTTTCTAACGCTGCCTATGATCGTGGGTTCGAATCCCACGATTATATTTTTAGGTTTGTCATCACCATACGACTGATCGTGAGTTTCAAGTGGTAGACACCGAAGGTCTGCATCACTTCGTGCATCCCACCGACATCAACCTGACATACAAGCAACTGAAATACTGTTCAAGCTAAAGCAGTATTATGCCCAACTCAATCATTTAAATTCATTCCCTTTTCACCCGTGACAATCCGGGGTAGAATAGGTCTTCTGCAATTCATGCTTGCCATAAAAGGTGACTATGTTTGCCATAAAAGGTGACTATGCCTGTTGTAAGAGGCGACTAACGGGATCGGGTGGTCAGGCTCTCTGACGTTCATGATGCATGTTATCGTATCCCAATTGTGTGGATCAATGCTCATGATGTCAATCACTGGATATTCTGGTCCAGATTGCTGTAATTTAGCTGGAATATTGCTGAGTGGGGCGTTAAACAAACAAACTAAGCATTTCCTTTCAAACCAGCAGTGACGTAATAGGTTACATTTTGTACATTGGTCTCCATGATTGACATGAATACTCCGTAGACTAGTTCAAGCTGAGTGTCTAGTGTTCAGCCATATAATCTGTCCAACAGAATTCTCATTGTAGACTGGGATGTCCACCATGGCCAGGGTATACAGTCTTTCTTCTATGACGATCCCAGGTACGTGACCATTGTGTATCCAGCAATGACTTTGTAACCATGGTAACACCATACCCTGGCATGAAGCATAGCGGTTCACCAACATCTTGAAAGTCATCCTTGCTCATACCCTGACCAGCTGATGGTGTGAATCGTTGCTCAAGATGTCAATAAGTGTATATATACCTATGTTGTTTAGCCCTATCCATCACTTGCTTGATAAAGGTGTTAGGATCTACACCCAAACGTCACACCAATTGTAATAAAGAAGTTGTTCATCCATAGAACTCGTCTTACTTCATCACTCCAACTTCTAACTGCCACTCAAAGAAGTTAATCGTTGCTCAGTCTATCGACCACTGGCGTAGTCCTGACTGTATGCAGACCACCATGAGAAAGGTGGAATCTCGCTAACTACTGCACAAAATAACATTCACTCACTGTTTCTGTGTTTCAGAGTAATATATTTCTCCATCCATCGCTACGAGCATGGCATTGAGTGGCCTCACCTACGAGAGTCAGACTACGACTGTGTGGGGGTGGGAGCTGGGAGGGGCTACAACATCAACGTGCCACTAAATCAGGTGATGATGGACACTTTGTCAATCTAATTCAAAGAAAGTATTTCTCTGATTCCATATTCAGGTTAGATAACATGCTTGCTGTGAAAGGTGACGATGATTGTCGTAGGAGGAGACTGTTTTGATCGGCTGGTCAGGCTCACTAACTTGGTTGATGCATATCATCATATTCAAATTGTGTAGATTGTTTAGCATGATGTCAATCACAGGATTGTCTGGTCCAGACTCAATTATTTACAGTCAGATGCCATATAGCTGGAATATTGCTGAGTGCAGCGTTAAACAACAAACAACAACTCAGATTCCATGTCTGTATTAAGATTTGACAACCATCCATTGGTCATGTCAGTTGACAATCAGCATGGAGGCCGCAATATTGTCTGTTGCACACATCTCTAAATCAGGTGATTGGAGACTTGCAGTCAGCACGGTCAGTAGGCTCGGGATAGTCTGGAAGTTTAGAGTTCCCCTGGTCATGCTAACGTTGCAGGTTCGATAGTTGATTTGTGAAACACGTAAGATTTTAATTTCAATTGATATTTTGACTAAAAATTTTAAAATATATTTAATTTAAAACCTCAAATGAACACGAGCAACAACAACATTTCAAATTGTGTCTCCTGAATCTTGGCATTTCAGCGAAAATTAGATCAGGAATAAGTCACGTCAGTCAAGCCTTAAACGATATAAATATATTTCAGATTTCTTTTAGGGGCGGTTGGGTAACCAAGTGGTCAAAGCGTTCACTCATCATGCCGAAGACTAGGGTTCGCTTCCCAACGTGGGTACAATGTGTGAAGCCCATTTCTGGTGTTCCCCGACGTGATATTGCTGGAATATTGCTAATAGCAGAGTAAAACTATACTCACTCACTCAGATTTCTTTTTCAGGTGGGTTGTGACAACTCCGATTATTTGTCCATCTTCCAGCAGATTCTGTTGCCAGTTGCATATGAGGTACGACTTTGCTGTGTTCAAATTCCTTATATTACTGTGGCAAAGGCATGATTAAAATCGTACTGCCATGGTTACAATTAGTTCTAGGTGTCTTAGAAATATTATTGATATTCATAAGCATAGATGGATAACTAGGTTTTATTCGTTGTAAGTCATCAAGACAAGAAGTAACTTGTCTGCTAGTCAGTATCTAGCAACAATGATTACCTTAACCTCACAGAGATAATGTTTTGATCTCACTGACATTGTCAATACTTTACCGGTGTGTGTATACACTGTGTCCCTCCATCACCGGATTCTAATCAGCAAATCCATCGCCTGGCTGATTCCAGTGATAGGAAAACCAGTAAGGACTCAGGACTCACACAGACGCCAGTGTTTCTCACTTGACTTCGCGTGTAACATGTGCCATAGCCTTCTGCTATCTACTCAACACATTGTCAGATAACAGTAGGGTTATGGATGAACAACTTCTTTATTACAATTAGTGCGACGTTTTGGTGTAGATCCTAACACCTTTGTCATCACTTGCTTGATAAAGGTGTTAGGATCTACATTGAAACGTCACACTAATTGCAAGAAAGAAGTGAGGATAAGAAATTTATGGATGAACAACTTCTTTATTACAATTAAGAGCGACGTTTCGGTGTAGGTTCTAACACCGTTATCAAGCAAGTGATTTACAGAGTGCAGTAAGCAAGTATATGTACACGTAGGAGGCAATGTTTATACAGTAGGGTAGATATTGTTATACTGGGGTAGAGACGCCTGTTGTGTACACACAAGGGCAGTGATGATAACCATCGGTGAAGTCAGTGCCATGAAACATATCAAAGAAGTTGCAAGAAAGAAGTTGTTCATCCATAGAACTTGCCTTTCTTCATCACACCAACTTCTAAATGCCACTGAAAGAAGTAACAGTAGGGTTAGCACAGAGTTCATGCACTCAGTATAGAATTCATTTAACACCTGTGAATTATACACATCCTTCTTCCATTAGCTGATTAAATAAAGACACACGTCACCTCCTCTACGCCTTAAAGGATTGGGTAAACATAGTGTATACAAGTCTGTGAGGTATTGACAGTGTTCCAAATACCTGCCTGCCCGACCGTCCGAGACGGGTTGATTTCAACTCGGGCTGCCAGATTTTCAAATCCCCCTGCCCGACGGTTGGGTTATATTTCATATGTGACAATATTCTAAATATTTCCCGATGATAATCATTAATTCACATGTAAAGATGAATGATAAAATGTAACCAAAAAGAAACCCCGTTAGCTTATCCTGAGAAACATATGATTATAGTGGGCAGGCAGGTTTTGGTCAGGGCTGGCAAGTATTTCAGCTAGCCAGTCCTGTGGTCTGGCTGAAATTTTTTGGGAGTTTCATACCCTGATATTGATGTTGTCTGACAGGGCACGGTGTTAATCCCTCCCCAGATCAAGGGCAGCACCAGAGTGGGGAACATAGTGTCCCATCAACAACAACTCAGTAGTGGCCTCTAGAAGTAGATACTCTCCATGGCTAAGCTTGTGTTGTCATGTCATAGGTTAACATGGTTCATTGGCTAAACCAGGATAAATATAACGTGATTTGAGTTTTGTTTGTTTTATCCACAGTTTAGGCCCGAGCTGGTGATAGTTGCGGCTGGCTATGACTCGGCTATTGGGTGTCCTGAGGTGGGTTGTTTCAATTACCCCATTTTGAAAAATGGAGGATATAGCAATCAACATGTCCGTCTATCCGCCTGTCTGTTAGTTGCTATACAGATCAGTCTAGTGATACACTGGTGCCTTTTGATGATTTGGGAGTTTTATTTTTTAATTTATTTTGTTTGCATGATGACAAGTTGGACTAATACTGAAAACGAGAGAAGTGCTCGTTTCCACATCAGAACTATAAAAATGTTGAATATTTCTGAGGAAATTTTTGAGGATTTTGGATGTTGAAAAGCACTGAACAGCATAATGTTTTTCTTCACTGAACTGAACGTATCCAATGGCAATGAACCAACAGTGGGGTATAAATAGCCATTTCCAAGTTGCACCAGATCGGGGGGGATATGTCATCTCCTGATGACTCTTGTTTCGTGTTGCATGGACTTGACACAGTTGAGTTTCCCATTGTTACACATAAAACAATCTTGCTCTCTGACTGTCACCATGTTGTAAGAACCCATAATGGCCTGTTGGCTGGTCAATACTGACATTATGACATAGTGTTTGTGGTCACCTTTGGTTTTGTAAACAAGACCATCCAGCAAGTGAAATCTCATACAGCCCTCTACTGACACATGAAAATTACATCACACCCCAGTGGTGATTCCAGGTTAAACTACACCCCCAGGAATCTATGCTGGGCATAAGAGGCAATTGACTTGGTTGGGTAGTCAGGTTTGGTGATTTGATTGAAAGCATGTCCTTGTACCCTGATGGCATGGATTGTTGCTCACAATATCAATCGCTGGATTGTCTGGACTTGATTATTTACAGGCTGCCATCATGTAGGTGAAATATCGCTAAGTGTGATGTTAATCAAGAAAGATACATAACCATGGTCACACACACCAGTAAAACTTAAATGAAAGCCTTATGGTTCTTCAGAACTTGATTGGATGCACTTTTCTATCCCACAAAAAGATGAGTCATCAGATTGTATGAAGAGAATTGACTGCTTTGATTATTACCTGAAAGATATATTCCATAACCAGCATCACACAGAAGGATGACATCCCCATCGGGATTCTAGGTTAGAATAGTCCCCAGCAACCTATACTGGTCGAAAGAGACGACCAAATGGGTCATTTGGTCAGGCTTGGACGGTGACTCGGTTGATTGTGTGTCATCATACCCAAATGGCATGGATCGTTGCTTACAATGTCTATCAGTGGATTGTCTGGTACAAACTTGATTATTAATGGGCAGACACCATATTGTTGGAATATTGATGAGTGTGGTGTTAAACAAAACACAAGGCTGACACAGTGATATAACTGAAATACTGCCAGCACAGTGTTACATCCAACTTACTCATAGATAGGACTCTAATGCGAGTCTATTGAAAGTTCTGAGTCAACATGGCATATTTCAAACACAGCCAACACACAGGTGACATTTAATTTTACCCACTTTGCACTTTGATCAACTAAAGTTCTGTACTGTAAACAGGATTTCTAACCAAGAGTTAAATTCAGTTTTTGTGTGTTGTCAGGGTGAGATGAAGGTAACACCGGCCTGCTTCGCTCACTTCATCAACCTGTTGTCACCCATTGCTGCCGGCAAGATCTGCTTGATACTAGAGGTAAGTCTGTCAGTGTTGTCAGGGTGAGATGAAGGTAACACCGGCCTGCTTCGCTCACTTCATCAACCTGTTGTCACCCATTGTTGCCGGCAAGATCTGCTTGATACTAGAGGTAAGTCTGTCAGTGTTGTCAGGGCGAGATGAAGGTAACACCGGCCTGCTTCGCTCACTTCATCAACCTGTTGTCACCCATTGCTGCCGGCAAGATCTGCTTGATACTAGAGGTAAGTCTGTCAGTGTTGTCAGGGTGAGATGAAGGTAACACCGGCCTGCTTCGCTCACTTCATCAACCTGTTGTCACCCATTGTTGCCGGCAAGATCTGCTTGATACTAGAGGTAAGTCTGTCAGTGTTGTCAGAGCGAGATGAAGATAACACCGGCCTGCTTCGCTCACTTCATCAACCTGTTGTCACCCATTGTTGCCGGCAAGATCTGTGATCTGCGCAAGTGTGCCACAGTGTTTCATCGTCCTCAAGTTTTGGCTGAACATGGGTAGACATGTCTGACACCACACTCTCCCTCGCTCGTACTCCTTCCTGTTGATAAGTCAGATTATAAAGTTTCTATCCCCATGAAGTTTCGGTTAAGAAGTGGTTTCAGCAACACATGCTTCTCGTAAGAGGCGGCTAACAGATCGGGTGGTCAGGCTCGCTGACTTGGATTGTCTGGTGCAAACTCGATTAGTTACTGACCGCCGTCATATATATAGCCGGTTTTACGTTTATACCTTACTAAACGCAAATAATAACAATACCCGTATGTTTGGGTGGTCAGGCTCACTGACTTGGTTGATGCATGTCATCATTTTCAAATTGCGTAGATCGATGCTCATGATGTCAATCACTGGATTGTCTGTTCCAGACATGGTTATTTACGGACTGCGGCATCAAACAACAAACAAACATGTTTCTTAATGACTGAAAAGTGCAATTATCAAAACACTACATCACTGACAGTGTGATCAAACTTTGTTCCATGTCTAAAGGGTGGCTACTGTACCGAGTCCCTGTCTGAGGGTGTGGCTCTATCACTGCGGGCCCTACTGGGGGATCCCTGTCCGAGGATTGAGAAGACGCACCAACCCTGTCTAAGGTAGGTTTACATTTATACATTGAATGTAGGGTTGAAATAACTGAATTTAAGAAAATTAGAACTTGAAAAGAATCCTTCATTCGGAATCCTAAATAAATCCATGTTAACTATTAAAGAGCCAAGGAGGATTTATTTGTCACGATGTGTGTTGAATGTTCCTTCAAACGATTATATACAGGTAATATTAGTTCAGAACACACTTTGTGGAGTTTAGGGTTTATGGATTATTGTTAACCAAGTATTTTGGGACAGTTGAAATGAATTTTCGTATCTAGATATCAGTTGTTTTTTAAGGGGGGTGGGGGATAAAGTTTTTGGGTCAGTTGGTTTTGTTAATACTAATTAGTCAACTAGTTGAAATGCAGGGTGTCTTTCGTTTTTACAGTAACACTTACTAATGGCTCTGAAGGTTTTGTTCTCTTATCAACAAGTTTGGAGTACCCAGAAACAGCATACATTATATTTGGTCAATTATTTTTCATTTAAAGTAAATACTTACTGTAAATTTGTGTGATTATTATCATGTTACCAGTTGTATCTTTTTGTTTTTCTCAAATATGGAGCTGACTGAAATTACAAATAAAGCATTTATTTATTAGAGTCTCTATGTTTCAGTGTCATGGAGACAATACTGAATGTTCTGAAGGTGCACAGACAATACTGGCCAAGTCTCTGTTACCAAGGAGTTCTCTCCCTTGGGGAGAAGCCCTCAATACCATCTCTACTGCGACTACCTCCAGCGTAAGTTGTGTCTTTCTTCATGATGGCAGGGCTGTATAGCTGTAATGTTTTCCTAGCAGCAGTCCACAATGTGCCGCAATCTGATTGGTTGAAAAACATGGTAATGCTGGTGAAACCTAAGTGAACTTATTCCAGTCATTCTAAATGGCATTTCTTTGCCACTTTCTTTCAGTCCAGGTATGACTTTACGCACAATCGGCAAAAAGTTGGGCGAGATGCCCCTGCTACAGGACTGTTACGATGTCACAGAGCATGACATGGTGAAGGAGGCCCTCTGTCAACAGATAGATGATCTGATACGAAGCACAGATCTGCACATACCCAAACACAAGTGAGACAACTACTTCAGTTATATTTGAATGTATTCAGTTTTATTAATTTAATATTTCATTTTGCCTCCGTCATCTTTGCTCTCGTTATCAAGACATTTTGTCTGACCATAAGACTATACTGAAATTCTATATATGGGTTGCTTTCTCTATCCACCGGTAAGACCGCCCATCTCATCAGGTTTTAGTAAAGTATTGTCAGAGGACCCTGTGGTCGAAATCCTACATGTACATCCAGGGGTCCTTGTCATAACCCCAATGTTGCTTTCTCTATCCACCGATAAGACCGCCCATCTCATCAGGTTTTAGTAAAGTATTGTCAGAGGACCCTGTGGTCGAAATCCTACATGTACATCCAGGTGTCCTTGTCATAACCCCAATATTGCTTTCTCTATCCACCGATAAGGCCGCCCATCTCATCAGGTTTTAGTAAAGTATTGCCAGAGGACCCTGTGGTCGAAATCATACATGTATTCAAATACCACAGCAGCAAATGTTAAGGACCCCCGGAATGACCTTTTTTTCAAACACTGGAAGACTGCCTCCGTAGTCTAGTGGTAGAGCGTCCGTTAAAGACGTTAAAAGATGGTACTTGTTGTTACCCTGTCTGGCGCTCGGCATTAGGGGTCGGAGTCAATATACTGTGTCTGAGTGGGGTATTCATGTTAAACTGCGGCATGGTATCTCAGTGACCTAGCACTCTAAATCAGCATCAGTCCGGACTAGTACAAGCAGCCACACAAACACATGCACGTCGCTATATAAGTGCAATAATCTTGGACGCGACGTTAAACCCCATTTCACCTCACCTCACCTCACCTCACCTCACCTCACCTCACCTCACCTCACCTCACCTCACCTCACCTCACCTCAACACTGGAATCATTTTTGTTTTGTTTCCTTTCATTCACAGTCACATGTAACCTGCAAACATTCACATGGAATGATGCACTGACCTGCATCTGTTAGAGTTCAGTGGGGCAGGATAGACCAAAATTACTCATGCTAGTCGTCGGAGCCAAATAATGAGGATGGGGTAGTTATGTGATCTGGCTGGTTGTGTGTCATCTTGCCCTGATGGTGTGGACTGTAGCTCATGCTGTCAACCACTGGTTTGCCTAGCACAGACTATTATGTTCAGACTGCTGTGATATGGCGGAAATATCCAAGACTGCGAAATTAAATAACATTTACTGCTGCCAGAGACCAAGAACACTTGCAAAAACATTTTTTGTTTGTTTGCCAGCAGTTTATCAAAACAAAAAGTCTTTTATAAATGCAGTAATTTAAAAATTGAAACTAATATGTTTTTAGTTTCAGTCTGTCATTTGCATTATATATCATTTTATGCCTTATTTTTCTTGAAGGGTAAATGGTGTCTTTTAAAAATAATTATGAGCTGAAAATATGCATTGCTTTGCAAGAGACCCATCTGTTTAGTTTGGACTTCAATATGATAATGGAACTTCTGTCTGTGCAGGGTGAGTCTTGTGTATGATGGGAAGATGTTGCTGCACCATGACACAACAAGTGGGTGAGAACCTTTGCTTTATTCTTGAACTAATGTGTTGCAAGATCATTTATCTAATGAATTATGTTTTCGGGGGCACAGGTGGCCCAGTCGTCTAAGGCGATGCGATTCGCTGTGCAGAGTTGTGTCCCTTGGGCACGCCAGAAAACTATGATTGTGGGTTCGAATCCCTTTTTTGCCCCGATTATGTTTCTAGGTTTGTCAGCACCGTACCTATGCTCATGGGTTTCACTGAAGTGGTAAACGTCTGAGACCTGCATCACTTCGGGCTTTCCTCCAACATTAAGCTGACACGCCGTGATACAACTGGAATACTATTAAAAGCGGCGTTAAACCCAACTCACCCACCCACTATTATGTTTTCATCCCTACTTGCCTCACCACCTAGCGTCCCACCTCACATCATTTTAATGCCCCCTAGTACCAAGTACAGACGAACAACATCACTCTTGTCTAGCCTCCCTTAACCCATTCTGTCGTGTAGTGGGGGGCACGGGTGGCCCAGTCATCTAAGGCGCCGCGATTCGCTATGCAGAGTTGCGTCCCTTGGGCACGCCAGAAACCTATGATTGTGGGTTCGAATCCTGGTTCGCCCCGATTATGTTTCTAGGTTTGTCAGCACCATACCCGTGCTCGTGGGTTTCACCGAAGTGGTAAACGTCTGAGACCTGCATCACTTCGGGCTTTCCTCCCACATTAAGCTGACACGCCGTGATATAACTGGAATTCTGTTAAAAGCGGCGTAAAACCCGTAAAAACTGTCGTGTAGTGGATAGAGCACAGCAAAGTCATTGGTTCGATCCCATGGCTGCGACATACCAAAAGCAATGTGAGATGGTACTTGTCATTACCCTGCCTGGCACTCGGCATCAGGGGGATAAGACAAAGACTGGTTGGCTCAGTATACTGAGTCTGAGTAGGGTATTCATGTTAACTTGCAGCATAGTATCTCAGTGGACTACCGCAGAACACATATGCATGCTCGTTACTATTTATGCAAAATTTTCTTGAACACAATGTTGAACCCCATTTCCCCTCACCTCACTCCTTCCCCTTTTTAGGGGTGGTCGGGTAGCCTAGTGGTTAAAGCGTTCGCTCGTCACGCCGAAGACCCAGGTTTCAATTCCCGACATTGGTACAATGTGTGAAGCCCATTTCTGGTGTCCCCCACCATGATATTACTGGAATATTGCTAAAAGCGGCGTAAAACCATACTCACTCACTCACTTACTCACCTTCCCCTATTTACTTGATGGAAAACACCATAAGCATAGTCCTCCCAAACATTCCTGCTTGATGTGAAGCATGTCCATCAACAGTTACTGTCCACACAAAACAAAAAATAAACAAATAAAATGCTTTATATCTCTCAGTTTTGAAGACTTTGGATGAAAAACTAAAAATTAATTTATTGTGACCTTAATCTTGGTAATTAATGTTTTGTGTTGAATTATCCGTATGTATTTAACACTCAATGTCATGATTACCTACCATTGTGACGAAATTTCCTGCATGATTTGGAAATACAATGAGCTGTTTCTTTGCAATATGTTGAATGGATGTTTATTTTCTCAAGAGGTTTTGAAGAAAATCCTGATCGGCTGATACAGATCTGTAAGAATCTCAAGGATCAGAATCTATGGGACAGATGTTTTCATGTGCAGGTGAGCTACAGAAATATAAATTTATTTTAAGGGATTTCTTTATTTTAAGGGATTTGGACAAGAGGTAAATTGTGTGGACCTTGTAGACACAATTTATGGATAACAACTTCTTTAATACTGTAAAGGCAACGTTTCAGCATAGATCCTTATGCCTTGCTTGACAATGGTATAAGGATCAAAACCGAAACGTCACCTTTACAATATTCTAGAAGTTGTTCTCCATAAATTGTGTCTACTTTGTCGTCCGTCAACTTCGAAGTAATGCCCATCAAACAATTGTGTGGATATTATTTCTAATTTCCTGGTAGGGAATCCAGGTCACGAAATGTGTCCCATGCTTCTTGTAGGCTTGAAATCATGACCTCACAAGGTCACAATGGCTGCTAAATCTGGGTTGTATGTGATTGGGTGAGTTTAAAAATCTCAGTCAGTGAGGGCCCCAACACTCCCTGCTTGTTGTAAGGGCAGACTGTTCTGGATGGTTACAATGTGTGGTGCTGACTCACTTGAAACAACAGTTTTTGTTGTTGGGCAAATAGATATAAGTTGAAACTGTTTGTATTTCATTTTCTAATCATGGATTTTTTCTCAGGTGTGTTGTATCTGTAAACCGAAAAATATAAAGATTGTGGCCTTAGCTGTTTCAGAGCTTTTTGTGCTTGCTTTGTTTCTTTGACATTGAGGTAAAATGGGCCAGCAGGTTTTAAGTTTTGGCTGTGTGATAATACTTAATGTCCTGTTATTGTAATATATGTCCAAATTGTTCGGTCGTCCGTGTTGCAGGGCCGACCTGCCACAGAGGAGGAGTTAAAGTTAGTACACAGGTAACAACAGAAAATATCATACCTCAGATATTAATATCTATTTTTGAAAATCTCTCCATCAAATTTGACTGATGCTGATTTGTCATGGGTGTATTTCATCGCAACAGGCATTATGTCACGTGTGTGTGAGTATTACTTGTGAGTATCACTTCATGAAACTGTCCCTCACTAGGGAACACATGGTTCCTCTTGAGTTCTCCCCATTGTGATTCCTTTTTTAGATTTGGTCCCCAGCAACCTATGCTGGCTGTAGGAGGGGACTGAATGGATCAGGGAGTCCGACTCAGCAACGTGGGTGATGTGTGTCATCATACCCCATAGCATGGATCAAAATATCTATCACTGGATTGTCTGGTCCAGACACAATTACTTACAGGCTGTTGTCATAGCGCTGGAACATTATTGTGTGCGACATTAAACAACAACAAAACAAAATCTGGTACTTAGCTGCACAAAAAATTGTTCTGTTTAAACGCGATTTTGTTGTTTATTGTTGTCAGGGAGGACATGGTGAAGAAGGTGAAGAAATGTCAAAACATGCAAGAAGACACACTGGCCAAATTCCAGACTCTCTTCAAGTCTGTATATCTCTGTCAGGTAGGTCCATTCCAGACTCTCTTCAAGTCTGTATATCTCTGTCAGGTAGGTCCATTCCAGACTCTTTTCAAGTCTGTATATCTCTGTCAGGTAGGTCCATTCCAGACTCTCTTCAAGTCTGTATATCTCTGTCAGGTAGGTCCATTCCAGACTCTCTTCAAGTCTGTATATCTCTGTCAGGTAGGTCCATTCCAGACTCTCTTCAAGTCTGTATACCTCTGTCCGGTAGGTCCATTCCAGACTCTCTTCAAGCCTATATATATCTTTCTTATGGAATGCTGTGAGTGAGAATTACTTTCTCAGTATATGATACAATTCTATAAACAAGTGACTGTTTATCCAAGTAATTAACGCAAATATTAAGTTATGGATTTAGTTTTAAGCTTCTGCTTCTATGGCAATTCTGTTAAGTCCATGTGACCCTTGAAGATTGGTCTTCAAGAACCCATGCTTGTTGTGAGAGGCAACTGTTCTTGTGAGAGGCGTGATCAGGCTCATTTACTTGGTGTCTTCATATCCCATTTGCATAGAGCGATGCTCTTGATGTCAATCACTGGATTGTCTGGCGCGGACTCAATTATTTATGGACCGCTGTTATATAGCTGGAATATTGCTGTTTGACTGTATTGACAAACATTCAAAACATTCAAAACCAAGAATAGGCCCTAGTGCATCATGTACCCCTGCTGTGTTTGTAGGGAACCTACGAAGCTGCCAGCTACGCTGTGGGGAGCCTACTGAACATTGTCGACGCAGTCGTCACCAGGGAGGTGAGGTGCTAATGTTTTCACTGGATTATATGGATTTTGAAAATATGTTGTTAAAGTCATTTGAAATCAAAATATCATGAAAGGTGTTGAATTTGTGAATAACTGAAGAAGACCAGGCAGATGTGATGTGACGTCTGCTGTCAGATACAATACATGGGGTATCGCTAACCCTAAGAATGTAGAGGGGCGTCACTAATCCAAAGACTGAATGCCAACAAGTTAAAGAGGTGACTGTGACGTATGAACTGGTTATGAAAATCACTGCAAAAACACAACAAAAGGGTGAATAAAAAGAATAAGGGTGCGTTTGGGTGAGCTGTTTTCTCTGTTCTTTGGGAACAGCACAGGAAGTTTCCACTACCTATTCGGAAGAGAGAGAGATAAGCAATAAGTATGAGTCAGGATAAGTATAAATGATATTTCTACTCTAAAAAACACATTTTTAGACAAGGCTCCACACACCTGACTTGGTACAGTGAAATATAGGTCATACATTCAAATAAACACTGCGTAGAGCTTGCTACAAGTTTCTGATGAGTAAGAGCCATGTGCCATGTTGATAACAGCATGAGTCAAGGTTCATTTGCCCGCCTCCGTGGTCTAGTAGAGCAGAAAATCCAGGGTTCGGTCCGGGATTCGGTCTAGGGTTTGGTCCACAGCCGTCTCATACCAAAAGGGTTAAAAGATGGTACTTGTTGTTAGCCTGTCTGGCGCTCTGCATTATTGGGCTAAAACAAGGGCTAGTCAGCTCAGAGTCTACTCCGTGGTCTAGTAGAGCGTAAGGTCTGGGGTTCGGTCCACAGCTGTCTCATACCAAAAGGGTTAAAAGATGGTACTTGTTGTTAGCCTGTCTGGCGCTCTGCATTATTGGGCTAAAACAAGGGCTAGTCAGCTCAGAGTCTACTCCGCGGTCTAGTAGAGCGTAAGGTCTGGGGTTCGGTCCACAGCTGTCTCATACCAAAAGGGTTAAAAGATGGTACTTGTTGTTAGCCTGGATGGCGCTCTGCATTATTGGGCTAAAACAAGGGCTAGTCAGCTCAGAGTCTGTATACTGTGTCTGACGTTAAACCCTATTTCACCTCACCTCAGAGAAAACTGCTTCAGTAATGATGAATTCTAAAGATAGGCCCTGCTGCCACCAGTTTAAGGCCAGAGTGTAGTATAATTCGTGGCCCTATTCCAGAAAGAAATCTTAACGCAAAGGTGATCGTAGCTCCCATGCTGTAACACTGGCTTACGACCGTCATAGTGCTATGATTCCTTTGTGGAACCGGGCCCTGGTCAGTCTATCATGTTCAGCTGGTAATCATCTCATAATAACATCAAAATCTATAGAAGATGATCCTTTTTGCCAAGATCAGGCTAGTATACTTAAAACGTTTTGGCACAGACTGTAAAGATTGTATGGTAATTTTGAATTTTGTTACATACATGTGTATTTCAATGACAGAGGGACTTATTTGCTGTTTCAGGCTGAAAGTGGCGTAGCTGTTATAAGGTGAACAATTGAAGATTCCTTCATGTCACTCCATCATGGATATAAAATTTAATTAACATAGCTATTTTTATTTTTACGTCAAATTGGAAATACTAAAGGCCATTCAATTACATCAGTGCTTTATTTATGTTTGTTTGTTTGTTGTTTAACGCCGCACTCAGCAATATTTCAGCTATATGACGGTCATCTGTAAATAATCGAGTCTGGACCAGACAATCCAGTGATTAATTTCATGAGCATCGATCTATGCAATTGGGATACAATGACATGCATCAACCAAGTCAGCGAGCCTGACCACCCGATCCAGTTAGTCGCATGAAAAGACGAGTATTTACTATTGGACGTATCACCAATACTGCTACTTCCTGTTTTTGTGTTAACAGGCCGCCAGGTCACCACGCGGAGTCTGACTCTATGATGGGTTTCTGTATATTCAACAATGTGGCCATAGCAACCAAGTATGCACAGAAACATCACAACATTGGCAGGTTTGTAAAACATCTTGTGAGCGTCATGACCTTTCTTGAAGGGTCCCACAGGATGCCCACCCAAGTTTCAGGGGGCACGGGTGGCCCAGTCGTCTAAGGCGCTGCGATTCGCTGTGCAGAGTTGCATCCCATTTGCACGCCAGAAACCTATGATTGTGGGTTTGAATCCTGGTTCGCCTCGATTATGTTTCTAGGTTTGTCAGCACCATACCCGTGCTCGTGGGTTTCACCGAAGTGGTAAACGTCTGAGGACTGCATCACTTCGGTCTTTCCTCCCACATTAAGCTGACACGCCGCAATATAATTTGAATACTGTTAAAAGCGGCGTTAAACCCAACTCACTCACTCACTCACTCATAACTAGTTGCAAGAATCTCCTTGTCATGAAGTTCAGGGTTAGAATTATGTTAATATTTTCAATAGTCCAAAAGGTTATCTGCTGCAGAGATGCCATCTTCCTTAGGGGAATAGCAGTAGTCCACAAGGAAATGTTACTCAGCTTTAGAAATCAGCACTAGGCCTGAAGTCTGTGCCAAAGTGCCCAGTAGTTAAGTATCATAAAGACTTGTAGAAATTTGCCATTTTGAAGGGTTTTGCTAATTGTTATCATTGTGAGGACTAGTGGACTAAACATGTTAGTTTCTACCCCTGTTACTAGTCTCAGACTTGCAGACCTGTTAATTTTGAATGCTGGGTTTGAATCCCACATTTACTGTTTCCATGCCTGTGGATTTCACCAAGGCGGTCATCAACTAAGATGTACATGTTTTAGCTTCTTTCTACACAAAGCTGTGACTCTGCGACAACCCGAAGTACTGTTTAGAGCATAAAACTAAACTCCCATACGTTTCTTCATTTAGGGACATTCATGTCTGGTATTATTGGTTCAAATCACCATCGGTTTCAAATGATATTTTTGGGCATCAAATAGTCACTAACACCAATTTCTGAAAACATGCGTTTATAAACATTGGAATTACCAAAACTTGAAGGCAGTTTTCAGTATCACTTTCTGTGGCTACAACTGCATTAATTGGTTCCATTAAAGGGGAAGTGTACACACAAAAATCACTTTCTATCTTTTTCTAAACAAAACGCAATTTTAGAATTAGTTAGTATCTGTGTTTGAAAATATACACTCATTTTTTTCACAGTGAAAGTAGGAAGCTCACAATAGTGTGAAAATGATATGCCGTTATGAGGCCTTCGTTTTCGAGCTAAACAGGCCTGAGTTATCCCCCTTAGATTATGACGTAATTGGTGCCAATTCAACTGGGTCCCTGTCTATTCTCAACGCAAAAGATATCAAGTACCAGTTTGTGGTAAAACAACATGGCCTACGACACACTCCGGCGCAGTGGTGACTCAGCATAACACTATGCTGGCTGGCATCTGAGACGCTAGAATCACACACCTGTACCTACACCACGTGAAGCGGCTCTAACAAAGCATGATGACGTCATAATGTTTATCACTTGGCACCAATGACGTCATATTGTAAGGGGCATAAGCCATGGTGTTTTTGTTATGGAAATAGAACACTTGGTAAATGTGAAAAATATAAATCATTTTAATGAAAAAAATATGTCAATTATTAGTGATATTTTTATATTTTTGTCTATGACACTTCTAGGTTAACACTTTTAATGTGGAAAAAGTACAAGAAAAATAGGTTCATTTCCGTGTGAACTTGCCCTTTAAGTTCGATTCAGTTGCAGTGTATAAAGGGCAATGCATAGTCCACAAAATGTCTGAGCTTTAAGTCTCATTAAACATGGTTTTTCTAACCAGTCAGATTTCTGCACACAATGCTGTGTATTGATAGCTTTTTATCTGAGTTACCTCCCCCAGCACTTGTTCTCTGAGTTATCTCCCATGTTTCAGAGTGTTGATCATAGACTGGGATGTTCACCATGGTAACGGCACACAGTCCACATTCTACACAGATCCCAGGTAACATGCTGCACTGGTAACTATACTGATCCCAGTATAGAAACATTCTCTTGTACATGTTGTATAGAAATCTCATTTACCTAGTTATAAGACTGTAGTGATACATTTGTCCCAGTTGATAATTGACCTTACAATATGATCCTTGTATCATGGAACTATGTATCTCAATGCATTCATAGTGATGCTTGAGGTGATGGACAACTACGTGATTTGGGTTGATTGGATTATTGATGCTCTGTTGTACATTTCAATATGATCGACCGCCTCTGTGGTCTAGTGGTAGAGCATCCGCCCGGAGAGCGGAAGGTACGGGGTTCGATCCCCGGCCGCCTCATACCAAAAGACGTTAAAAGATGGTAGTTTTTGTTACCCTGTCTGGCCCTCGGCATTAAGGGGCTAAAACAAGGACTGGTCGGCTCGGAGTCAGTATACTGTGTCTGAGTGGGGTATTCATGTTAAACTGCAGCATGGTATCTCAGTGTGCTGGCACTATAAATCGGCATCAGTCCGGACTAGTACAAGCAGCCACACACACGTGCATGCACGTTGCTATATAAGTGCAATAATCTTGGACGCAACGTTAAACCCCATTTCACCTCACCTCATCTCACCTCAATATGGTCGCCTGATTCGAAGAACCCTGTGAGGATTACTGGGTAGAATCAGTCCCCCGCAACCTATGCCAATGTATACCAGGTATATAATGTGGCCTAAAGCAGCTGGAAAGGAAGCTACTATGTTTTTTCCTGGACTTTTTCCAGAATAATGGAAGGATCATTTAAAACATTTTGATTATTTTTTATTCTGTGCCGTGATCCTGTTCCACTAAGCTACTTTAGTACTGTGACTGTCAGAACTCATAATTCTAAAACATTGAATATGTGGACACCTAGTGTCGGCTCCAGGGGTCAGGAAAATTGAAAATCCCAATCGGACATTTGCATTTAGGCCACGCCCCCTTCAAATAGCATATTTTGGTACGACTTTTCACACACATTACAAGTTGTTACGTATTCATAATATGATGACTCGGCTCCAAATGAAATGTCGGGTCATTGAAACAAATAATGTTAACCAACATTGTTAAATACAAAAGTTTTCTTTGAGAACTGTCACAGTTGTGAGAGAGGCCTAAAGTTTCTCTGATTGATATGATGTGATGGTGCAGTGGAGGATCTCATATGTTTCTCTGATAAGTTGTCATAACTCAACATGTCCTGCTAGCAGAATGTGAAAAAACCCAACTAGATCCAAGTTGTTCTGATAAGTATTGATCAAACTTAATATTCATATAGTGGTATCTATCTAATCTGAATGGACCATTTGGATTTCGGAAATAAAACAAATCTTATCGAGAAAAGCATTCATGGTGAAAAATCCAGTACCATTAAACCTTTGTTAAGTTTACAGTTCTACAATTGTGGCACTGAGGTTGCTGTGTGAAGTGGCTCATACTGACCACCACTTAAGCCTTAAGTCTTATGAACAGCTATGGTTGATAAAAAAAAGAAAGAAAAAAAAGTTTGAATCAATATATGTAGGTCATATTTTTAATTTATATTATGTTGAATCATTATTGTATGTTTCAGCCTACTTGTATGACCATTGTGTATTTCAGTGTACTATACATATCCCTGCACCGCTTTGAGTCGGGGTGTTTCTACCCCAATGGTGGCTGTGGGGCCCTGAACAGGGTTGGGTATGAGGAGGGGACAGGATACAATGTGAATGTCCCATGGAGTGGGGTAAGTGTCATTATCATACCACCTGATGAGATCTGATTGGTCCATGTGATCTTGGTGAAATATGAAGTTTACCTCCTTGGAGGGGAAAAAACTCAGAGGATGAAAAAATCCCTTACTCCCCGCCACGAGCAAGAAAGGCAGCATGTGGATTTCTGAGAGGCAGAATAAATCCCTTTTCCCCGCTTCCAAGCAAAAAGCAGCACGCTTTTTCCGCGTCGATGAAAGTCATGTGACATAGCACAAGCTTACAATTGCTCAATCGAACAGCTAACAATTTTGACATTTCGAGCTAGTATGTAACCAAATATTGTTTACTATAATTTCGGCAAAATCATGTACATTTCACTGCCAGGATCGTGTTTTTAAGACGCGGAATATTTAAAGATTTTTTTTTTTAAAATAGAAATAAAAACAAAATGTGCGGCAGACTATATGATGATGCAGGGGATGCCTGAGAACCAAGGCTATTATTTTTTTTAACCTAAGAAAACTTTTCTATTTCTCATGTCCTTTGCTATATGTGTTTCAGGGAGTCATGGGAGACGGTGACTATATAGCAGCATTTCAGCAGATCATCCTGCCAATAGCTTATGAGGTACAGTGATCGAGGAGTAGGGTAGATCTACTCTATCTAGTCTGTTTATTTATACACTAGTATCAAGGTGACTAAGGCACTGCATAGTGCAGTGCAGAGTTGCATCCCTTTGGTATTCAAGGATCTGCTGGTCTTGGGTTAGACGTCCACCTTGATAATGACCCTTGATCTGTCACCACCATGTCAGTGGTTTCACTAAATGAACACATCCATCACCTTCATCACTTGTAGGTTCCCTGATTTAAGCTGACATGCTGTGATGTGTGTGTATATATGTATATTTAGATTTAGAAACTGAATTAATGGTCAGCATTCTACAAATAAGCTTGCCCAATAGATAGATCAATGTGTAACAACTGTTCCAGTTTGATCCTGACCTAGTGCTGGTGTCGGCAGGATTTGATGCTACTTGTGATGACCATATGGTAAGTCCTGTGGGTTTTTTCTAGGCAGTGCTGTGCAGCTCATAGATTGCTGATTATACACTAGACTAGGAAATGCAATGCCAAACAACATTTAATGTAGTTAAACCAACACGTTGTTTTAAACAAGTCCAGAAATTACACCATTTAGTTTACATCGTGAAACTATCATATATAATATTATAAATATTTACATTGTTTCAACCTTTGCGTTTTGGCCGTGCACTTAAATGGTCTGAAAATTAATTTGTGGCTTTGTAATTTGAATTTGCCAGTCTGAGGAAGCTGAACTTTGGCAAGTTGTTTGGTCGTATTTGACATTATATCTTGTTTTAAGTCATTAGGATTTGGGGCTTGCTTTAGCCCTCATTATTCATACAGAATATGTTTGAATATCAATCGTGACAGAAACTTTTGTGAAGTGTCTGTCTTTGTAGACATTTTAAACAGTTGACTACATATCCAGGTGAGCTACAGTGCCTTGGCACTATTTGTTTACTTATTCATTAGGGCTGCAACGAATACACTATGAGGCGAATATGATTCGTATCATGAATCTAGGGTAATGAATACGAATATTAATTCATGAATACAATAACAAGTCAGCAGTTTATGTATTATTTGTCATATTCAGTGAAACAATAACAACATAAATTATTTGACATTGTTTGTTAATTATTAATATATTATACATTTATGTACTGCACTTTATCGAGGTACTAGTATATTGCTCCAGGTACTACAATACAGTAAACTACGGTTATAACGAACACGCTTATAACGAACTGACGGATATAAGGAACTAATTTTTAGTCCCGACTATTTGCTGTAGTTATGCTGTATATATGCTTATAACGAATTACGGTTATAACAAACTAAAATTAGTAGTCCCTTTGAGTTCGTTATAACCGTAGTTTACTGTACTGTCAAATTAAATATTATTAGAGTGTTGTTTTTGAAGAAACCTATGCATATAATATGTTCTTAAAGCCCCACCCTGACTATAAATAGCCCGCAAGGTGGCGGTGTTTCAGTTTCGAACAATGACTGACAATGTAAACACAACTGAGTGTCGGGAGACGTTTTTTGAAAACCATAAGGGAACCAGATCACCATTGACCGTCAAACTTCGTATCAACTTGAATGACAAACCATGGATACAACAAATGGCTCCATATCAAGATATAAGTCAATAGATTTTCTGTAGTTTTATCATAAAAAATCGAATCGATCGTGTTTGGCGTCTGCATCAATCACAGTGGGCGGAGCTTATTTACGGTTGCGCTATAAATAGCAAAGCACATGGTCATGTGTACATGTGACACATTCAATGCATTTGTGGTCAAAGTGAATTGTGTTGCATATTTTTACGGCAGAACATCAGTTTCGGTTAATGTAACAGTAACGATATTTAAATACGAAATTGACGACGCGATTCTTTCAGTTCAATCCGAAAATTACAGATATTTGTTTAGTTTTGGTCATTTGCATTCAACAGTTAGGTTTGTGCCACACAATAATCAGTTAATATTTATAAAACCTAAATTATTACACCGATTTTTCAACTAGTGTTTAGGAAGGGGCCTAATTTGAAGCACCAGAAGTTGCGCCAATATTTCTCAGCTTGACTTCCATAGATGAATATGTCACGTGTATCAACATAACAATGCACATAAGCAACTGGTAAATAAGTAACGAAATATACCTGATGTTTTGACCTACTGAAGGCGTATCCAGATAATATTGTACTTACGGTAAACGAAAACTCCAATACACATATTCCAAGACAACTTTAATTATGAATTTCCTTTTCTTTCACAGAATTTTCACACACAAAACTGAGTTTGATCATTAGATCCACACTTGTCCCATGTATTTTTTGTTCGGGGTATTTGGATACACTTCGCGCACAAGTTTTAAAATACAATCTGGGATCCCTTTCCCGTTTTGTCAACACCAATCCTTCATCTGCTGCAACGTTTAATTCCGTTTCTTCAAGTCCAAGTATCTACGATCTCTCCAAACACTTCGTTTATTTAGCTCAGTCCAGAAACAATGTGTTCGAATCGACGAATTTCTGCAACATGGTGGCCGCACCATTCCCTAACTGCGATTGCCTGTGCCGTGTCACGTATGGTTGACAAAAGAAGTGTGAACATACATATTCGGCTTCATCTGGTTCCAAAATGAAATCTAGCTGTGACACTGATTCACTAATCCCAAGAATCGGCACTGAATTTATCAAAGTTTCTGTTGCACTTGCAAGGGCGGGAAGAGAGGCGCCATCTTGTCGATTCGAGTTGTGAATCGGAATGATGTCATCTTGAACTGGAACCTTCTCCACGATAAAGTCACCAATGTCACAATCGAAATGACCTAAGGCTCCCTGATTATCTCGAACAATTCTTCGTCAAATTCGGCTCCACATGAAAATGTTCTGTTGCTTATATTGAAGACAAGCGAAATTGCAAAGTTCTTGACAGTTGTAAGCAGCAACTCGATGCGCTCATGGGGCGTGGTTGCTAGGAGATCGCGTGTTCAGAAAGGCGAAACTAAAAAGTTTTAGAAAGTTATAAAAGAAATACCCAGTGCAATGAAAAAGTACCATGTACAGGATATTTTTTAATAATAATATTCACGAAAAAAATCTTTTCTAAAAATGCAAAATAATTTATTAATTTATCCCAAGGTCGTAACCCTGATCACGTGGTGGGTATTCGGAAGGAATCTTTGCGATGACGCCGTGAATGAGGCCGTGTGTATTACATTGTTGAATTCGACTGCCCAGGAAGATTGTTGAGGCATTGACATTATGACAGATGTTCGTCATGGATGGAGAGAAAAATGTATCTGAGAGAAACATTGTTGCTTTGAGCTTCGAGACAAAACACTACTGAAGTAGCCAGCGACCTGAATGTAAGCTTGATGAAAGTAATGTTGAAACCCATTTTCACGCACATGACAGAATTAATGTGAACAAATATTTTTCTGAACATCGTTTCGTAGTCTATGAGGCTGTCCGTTTTTGAATATTTTTATCTCCATTCCGACGTGAAATAATATAATGTCTTCGTGTCTCAATTTTGCTGCCGCTGTGGAAAATTGCGCACCGATCTAATAAAAGAAATACTACTAGATCTACAATTGCACCGTCATAAAAGAACCAGGTCAACTTTATCTTTGTTCCCATGTTTATTAAAAATTCTTTTCCGAAAAAAGCGAATCGATCTACATCATAAATTAATTCATAGACTAGATTCTAGTACCAAGTGTTGAACCTTTTTTTAAATGTCATAAAATAACTTACACAATTATTGAAAGACATTTTTTTATAAGTCTGTCATATATTTTATTTCGTCCGCCCGCTCTCTGATTAATTGAGGCTTGAGGGGAGAAACACATACAAAAAATATGGATGGCCTTATGCAAATGACACTTGGCATGCCAATCAACAGGGATCTGGGTCACTGGGACCCGCCAAGTTTCACGGATCGAGTTACTTCGGCATGAGGAGCTTCATCGGACAAGTGAGACTTTGCCAAAATACATTGCTACTGGGCAATGAAAAAACGACAAGAAACTACTTTGATCACTTGAAAATATTTTTGACCATTACCAGGGTTTTTTACACGATCGTTGTCATCCAGATTCCAGATGAGGCAAGACGAACACAACGAAGAAAAACATTGTTGAAATCACCGATTGCCGTATATATTGTGAGAAGTGCTATTTGTAAACTGCAGATATACCGTACACCACAGGATAGCGATTGGTGCCCCAACACATATTATGTTTCTTCATTTACACTGCTCATATGCATCACGACAAACGTATTTCGTTCTAGAACTATAATTTGTGTGTTGGATAAATCGTGGACATTCCACGGTATCATTTTATGAAGATGTGAAGACGACATGGCAGGTAGGTTTTGAAACCAAAGACGTACGCGTTTGTTGAAAAGTCTTTGAATCGTTTGGTAGATATTTATATTACCATTAAAACTTACGTCCTTGTTGTCAAACGACCCACGTGGGTGGGTGTTTACATGACGTCACCCGTTTACGCATTAACCAATGAAATGTATGTGTTATCATGACGTCATATAGACCTGTCAAATCACTTTTATAAGCTCCGCCCACTAGAGTGCGGTAGTTACTACCGCAGATGGGGCTTTAAGGATATTTTTAGGTACAGGGTATGTAAATGCACTTGATTGGATATTCATAAATATTTGATTCTTGCGACTAGGAATAACAAATTCAATTTATGAATGGATACGGTTTGATTCACCAAACATGCGAGTGAATCATAACAGCAGTATTATTCATCCACTGAGCAAAGAGCAGGATTATGTCCAAGCGTTTTTCCCCACATTTGTCTTTTCTCATGTTGTTATTCCATTGTTGCAGGGAGGATACAGAGTAAGTGCCCCTTGTTTTGGTCACATGACTAGTATGCTGAAAGGTCTGGCTGGAGGAAGGATTGTCCTGGCACTAGAGGTACATAGCTTCTTACAAACAGGGAATTATACAGTGGCAAATTCTGGCATAGAGGATTTTGTCAATAAGAATGGTGACATACATGACAAATATAGTACTGGGTATATATTTGTATGTAAATCCATTGTAGAAATCTACCTATATTTTTGCATTGTAAAGAGATAATTTGCTAAAAATACAATTTGAGCCCCTTGTGATGTCCTCCATTACTTTCTATATTAATTTGTATTATTTGCTTACTATAGGGCGGTTACAACCTGGAGAACACATCGGAAGCATTCGCCTCTTGTGTAGCTGCTCTACTGGGGGATCCCTGTACACAGTTACCTCCCCTTACACCAAGTTCAAGGTTGGTTTTGCCAAGATCTTTTCAGTTACAAGTTATTAGGGGTGGTAGCCTAGGTGAATGGGTAGTGTGTTTACTTCTTGAACACTACACAGTTCATTCCCCACATGGCTACTATATCTCTCCATATTCTGGTGTTAGAAAATATATGGAACGAGCACAGATGGACAAGGTGTTGCTTGTAGTACGTGGCTTCGAACCCCAGAAGCTAATCTGTCAGTTTTATACACACGTTAAACATCATAGTAACTTTGAATTCTCATCTCACATCAAGTTGACACACTATACTGCTCATTGCATTCCCACTTGCTCACTGATTTGTCACCTTGTTGTCCTGAACCAATAAAAGGGGTTTTGGTGACCCTGTCGTGCTAGGAACCACAATTTACTGTGCAGAGTGGCATCACTTTGGCATGCCAGAAACCTCATGGGTTTGACTCCCAGTTTGTCTTGATTATGTTTAGGTTTATCAGCACCATATCAATGCTCGTGGCTTTCACCAAAGTGGTAAACATCTTGGCGTTCCTCCCACATCAAGCTGACACTGTGTTACTGTATATTGCTGTGTATAAGTCATATGTCGATGTGTTGCAGTGTTTGCGTTCACGGCATCCCATACACAAAAATATGCACTGCAAAAAACTGGGACTACATGCGTCCCCTTATGCGTTTTTCATTTTGAAAAACTTAAAACGAATAACTTATTGTTGTTTTGTTTCGAGTTTCTCTTGCCTTCCAAAATCCTTGTGATACTCACAAACAGACACTTAATAAAAATTTCTACATTTTTTCCCTTTCTGCAAGGTGCGGGGTGTGGAGTGTATATGCAAGGTGCTTGACACACTTGTCTGTTGTTTCAGGGGTGTGGAGTGTATATGCAAGGTGCTTGACACACTTGTCTGTTGTTTCAGGGATGTGGGGTGTATATGCGAGGTGCTTGACACACTTTTCTGTTGTTTCAGGGGTGTGGAGTGTATATGCAAGGTGCTTGACACACTTGTCTGTTGTTTCAGGGGTGTGGAGTGTATATGCAAGGTGCTTGACACACTTGTTTGTTGTTTCAGGGGTGTGGAGTGTATATGCAAGGTGCTTGATGTACTTGTCTGTTGTTTCAGGGGTGTGGAGTGTATATGCAAGGTGCTTGACACACTTGTCTGTTGTTTCAGGGGTGTGGAGTGTATATGCGAGGTGCTTGACACATTTGTCTGTTGTTTCAGGGGTGTGGGGTGTATATGCGAGGTGCTTGACACACTTGTCTGTTGTTTCAGGGGTGTGGAGTGTATATGCAAGGTGCTTGACACACTTTTCTGTTGTTTCAGGGGTGTGGAGTGTATATGCAAGGTGCTTGACACACTTGTCTGTTGTTTCAGGGGTGTGGGGTGTATATGCAAGGTGCTTGACACACTTGTCTGTTGTTTCAGGTGTGTGGAGTGTAATGCAAGGTGCTTGACACACTTGTCTGTTGTTTCAGGGGCGTGGAGTGTATATGGAAGGTGCTTGATGCACTTGTTTGTTGTTTCAGGGGCGTGGAGTGTAATGCAAGGTGCTTGACACACTTGTCTGTTGTTTCAGGGGTGTGGAGTGTATATGCAAGGTGCTTGACACACTTGTTTGTTGTTTCAGGGGTGTGGAGTGTATATGCAAGGTGCTTGATGTACTTGTCTGTTGTTTCAGGGGTGTGGAGTGTATATGCAAGGTGCTTGACACACTTGTCTGTTGTTTCAGGGGTGTGGGGTGTATATGCAAGGTGCTTGACACACTTGTCTGTTGTTTCAGGGGTGTGGAGTGTATATGCAAGGTGCTTGACACACTTGTTTGTTGTTTCAGGGGTGTGGAGTGTATATGGAAGGTGCTTGATGCACTTGTTTGTTGTTTCAGGGGTGTGGAGTGTATATACAAGGTGCTTGACACACTTGTCTGTTGTTTCAGGGGTGTGGGGTGTATATGCAAGGTGCTTGACACACTTGTCTGTTGTTTCAGGTGTGTGGAGTGTAATGCAAGGTGCTTGACACCCTTGTCTGTTGTTTCAGGGGTGTGGAGTGTATATGGAAGGTGCTTGATGCACTTGTTTGTTGTTTCAGGGGTGTGGAGTGTATATGCGAGGTGCTTGACACACTTGTCTGTTGTTTCAGGGGTGTGGAGTGTATATGCGAGGTGCTTGACACACTTGTCTGTTGTTTCAGGGATGTGGAGTGTATATGCAAGGTGCTTGACACACTTGTCTGTTGTTTCAGGGGTGTGGAGTGTATATGGAAGGTGCTTGATGCACTTGTTTGTTGTTTCAGGGGTGTGGAGTGTATATGCGAGGTGCTTGACACACTTGTCTGTTGTTTCAGGGGTGCGGAGTGTATATGCGAGGTGCTTGACACACTTGTCTGTTGTTTCAGGGATGTGGAGTGTATATGCGAGGTGCTTGACACACTTGTCTGTTGTTTCAGGGGTGTGGAGTGTATATGCGAGGTGCTTGACGTTCACAAGCAATACTGGAAGAGTCTTCAATGCAGGAGTAAGTATTCAGAAGTAGCCAGTGAACAGGGCAGCTTATTTATACACATATATAGGATCATATTTCTATTCTTGGATCTCAGAAAGGATTTGAAGAATGAAACATTTTGATTTTCCTGTTACGATGTTTGGTTTTTTTTAAGTCGCACTCAAAACTCAGTGATTGTGTATCATCTTCCCTAATGGGGGGATCATTGTTCATGTTCACAAGCCCAGAATCAATTTTTACCTCATTTACGTCATGGCCTGTTCATCTGGCACCCGGGGGCACGGGTGGCCCAGTCGTCTAAGGCGCCGTGATTCGCTGTGCAGAGTTGCGTCCCTTGTGCACGCCAGAAACCTATGATTGTGGGTTCGAATCCTGGTTCGCCCCAATTATGTTTCTAGGTTTGTCAGCACCATACCCGTGCTCGTGGGTTTCACCGAAGTGGTAAACGTCTAAGACCTGCATCACTTCGGGCTTTCCTCCCACATTAAGCTGACACGCCGTGATATAACTGGAATACTGTTAAAAGCGGCGTTAAACCCAACTCACTCACTCACTCACTGGCACCCCCCCCCCCGATAATATTTGAATCTTAAGCTGACAGCAACTTTACCATGTTCAATACAACTGTTGCCAGTTCATTCTGTTTTCGACACACCCAGTTAAACTGCAGTGCTGTGGCATTATTCATTATAAGCAGGCGTTACATATACTTCTAAAAAAACGTTAAGGACCAGCAATTCTTTCATAATAATATGGTTAGTTAATCTCAGGACAGATTAACTATAGTCAAATAGGCAAGAATTTGGTGGCCCTTAACTATTTTTGATTAGTACAGATAGAATTATGCTGACTATGGCATAACACAACATGCATTCACTGACACACTCTCCTTCATGTTTAGGGGCGGTTGGGTAGCCTTGTGGTTAAAGCGTTAACTCGTCACGCCGAAGACCCGGGTTCGATTCCCGACATGGGTACAATGTGTGAAGCCCATTTCTGGTGTCCCCTGCTGTGATATGGTTGGAATATTGCTAAAAGCGGCGTAAAACCATACTCACTCACTCACTCACTCCTTGATGTTTGTCTCTCTTCCAGCACCCCTCCCAGCATTTGATATGCTGGTCCAGCCTGAGGAAACCCCGGAGAAGGAGCCCACGTAACCTCTGCAGGACATCTAGTACATCTTGTACAACATCATCTGGATATTACTTGTACTGGAATATATACCACTCAACAGAAGTTAGCGAACACCTGATTCTTCCATATCATTATGCCATGACTGATTAACTACAGTCATATGAAAGAATTGGATGGTCCTGAACATCTTTTGAGGGATCAAATGGATCTGTTGGACTTATAGGATCATATTTTAGTGAGGGCAAAATTGACTCTGCTATTATTTTCCCTGTTAAAACAGAGGAACAATCTTTTTCTCATTCGATATTAACAAGTGTTTTTTCATTAGCTGTAGACATGCAGTTTATTTTATTGATATTAACAAGTGTTTTTTCATTAGCTGTTGACATACAGTATATTTTATTGTTAGTTCCAAGTCATAGTATACTCATTTGTGACTTAACAATTTGTTTATCTGACGGTTGCTTCGAACAATATGATATTTTGAACAAATAGAACCATCTATTTGTTATTCATGATCACTGGGCTTTACTAGACTGGTCAAGTCACTTTTGGCTTTCATGCCACATTAATCTGACACACTGATGATTACATACGAAATACTGCTAGACCCTCTGTTAACTCTGGAGTAGTTTAGCCCAGCGGTTAAAGCATTCACTTGTCGTGATGAAGGCCTGTGTTTGGTTCCCCACTTTGGTACAAGGTCTGAAGCTTATTTCTGTTGTCCTGCCATGGTTTTGGTGGAAACTTGATAACAGCTGTGTTTCCCTGATGACATTTCACGATATAACTGAAATACTGTTCAAAGCTGCATTAAGCCCAACTTACTCGCTCAGTGCATGAATAGCCAGTGTTTTTTCGGCAATGTGGTGACATGATAGGTGCTACATTTCACTTGTATTTGTTTTGTTGATGTAAAGTGTGAATAACTGGCAATCTCATTAAAATCAGATCTTAGTTCTCGCTGCAGCTAAGCAAAGATCTGAGGACATCCCATTACAGGTCACGTCAGACCGACCTTCGCAAACTCTGACCGACCAATGGAATTACTGACAAGAAGTTGACATTAGCCAATCAGAAGGCAGCTTTCTCGTGCTTTACGGCACTAATTTCATATTGGTGACTACGCTTCGAAACATATTTTGACAAATTCTCGCTTAAAAATATGAAACCTGAACAAAAGAACATTCTGGAATGGCTAATATATGGTCTAGATTGTATAGATTCAGTTGTTAAGCCCGTAACTATCGTTCGGAATACCCCGTTTTAAAGTTTTCAAGGCTTCATGATTAGAAATCACATTCCGACTGTCACTTTCATGATCTGGTAAGCGATGCTCTGATTGGTTGGATGAAAGGTCGTTCTGACGTGACCTCTAATGGGATGTCCTCAGATCTTTGTTTAGCGGTAACGAGAACTAAGATCTGATTTTAATGAGATTGGAATAACTTTCATCTGAAATATTTCTATGTTCTCTTATTTTATTCCTTCAGTATTTATACGGTACATAAGTGAACCTGGGTATCAAGGTATTTGTTATTGGATATACCAAGGGTACGTCTCTACAGACTAAAGAGTACTTGCAAAACATGCAGAGGGTATGAGGCTCTTGTTGACAAGTGTTTCATCGGCCCTCCAAGAGCCCCAAAATAGTATTACAGATGTTGGTGTAGCATAGAACATGTAGAAGCTCATGCCAGACTCCATGCAAACAGCTTGGCTCTAGATGTTTGACTCATTGTAACTGATCATTGATTATCTCTTCGATTATTCAGTGTATATCTCCTTTCTTTTATAATATACTGCTCAAAAGAAGTTAGAGAACACCCAATTATTTCATTTTATTTTTTGCTAATCTGTCAGTTAATCAGGAGTTCTTTAACTTCTTTTGAATAGTATATACCCTGGAGCCACCATAGCTTTGTTACACAATGGAAATAGACTTCCAATTAAACTGAACTGTCCATTACTGCTTGAAACAAGCAGCCATGTCACCACTCAGCACTCAGCTTTTGTGTGACATCTCACATGGAACCAGACAACTTTGTGGGATAAGAACATAACTCAGGACTTGCTTTCAGGAAAACATCTTTTTGAGCTTGATTAAATATATCAGAGTTCCCTCTCACGAATTCACAATTTTGAATGTGGATATATGCCAATCTCACACTAAATAAGTGTTAAGAGAGATGGAGCTGGTGATGACGCTTTTGTAACAAAGCTGTTTGGGCGAATACGTCCTGGGTAATTATGGTAATAGAAGGAAAATGTGATACACTGGGTAATGAAGGATGCAGATGCTGGGGACACAACCGCTTGATATGTCAAGTGTCAAGTGTCAAGTTATCATGTATCGAAAAGTGTATCATGTCGCGACCTCACATTACTATATGTGGAAGTCTTGGGGTACTGGGGGCATGGGATTCGCCCAGTCGTCTAAGGTGCCGCGATTCGCTGTGCAGAGTTGCGTTCCTTGGGCATGCCAGAAACCTATGATTGTGGGTTCGAATCCCGGTTCGCCCAGATTATGTTTCTAGGTTTATCAGCACCATACCCTTGATCGTTGGTTTCACTGAAGTGGTAAACGTCTGAGACCTGAATCACTTCCTTTCCTCCCACATGAATCTGACACGCCGCGATATAACTGGAATACTGTTAAAAGCAGCATTAAACTCAACTCACTCACTCACTCACTTGGGGTACTATATATTAGTATGTTTGTCTTTGACGAAACTATACTACTCAACATTTGACAGGGATCCTGAGATCCTGAGATATTTCATACCGTGTGTATTTATGTTCGATCAACTTGTAATGAAGCTGCACATGCTTCCTATCCAGGCAGTATTGAATACAATTTGTACGACAACAAGTTCAAGTAATCGGTCACATTCAGACCCCACCTGGATACTCCCTATCCCTTTCAAAAGTTGAGTAGTATATAATAATGTATTATCATCATGCCAGTATTAATTGAGAACATGTCCTGGATATTTTGAAAGATAACAGTAATTTGTTTTAAGCTGCTTGTTATAATACCGGTGAAATGCATTTATATTTTTCCAGGGAAGTAACCAGATTTCTATGATTGATAATGATTGCTTGAAATGATGTTAATAGCTTCAAGTATTACTACCATTCTAGTGTAGGATGGAAAAATATTTGTGCTTTTATTATAGGATTTATTGATGTAAATGCGATATATTTTTATGGTGCGTGAATATGTTCTGTTGTATCAGCCCAGATGAGTTGCAAGCCAATATTCAGAGATAACATATTTAAATAATAATTTAATGAATAATTTAATGCAGGAAATCGTTTTGAAAATACCTGTGAAGAACAAAGCCACTATTAACAAAAGTAATACAGGCAGCGCGATGAGACCAGACAAAGAGATGCCAACAACTTGTGAAGGGACATTTCATCCTGGGACAAGCGACCATTTGTTTGAGGCACCATAATTCACCATGTTGTGTCCTGTGGGGTTCCAGAAACCTATGATCATAGGTTTGAATCCCAATTAAGCCCTGATCATGTTTCCAGGTTTGTCAGCACCATACCCGTGCTCGCGGGTTTCACCGTAGTGGTAAACGTCTGAAACCTGCATCACTTTAGGCTTTCCTCCCACTCCACACTGATCACACTGATGGTCCCCAAAAGACTGGTATCATGTTCAAAGCAGTGCTCTACCAAACTCACTCTATCTGTTTCTTGATATACAGAAATGTTCTTGTCAAAAGATGTAGCATATGTAGTGATGCTGTCAAATGGCATTTCAACTACTTTCTGAATGGGTTCCAACCCAAAATAATGTACTTAATAGGAGAAATTATGCATAACCATTCTCCTTAAGGAGTAGATCTAGTGCATGGAGCATCTGCCCACAGAGTGGAAGGTCGGTGGTGTGAGGTGTTAATTGATGGTACTTATTGTTACCCTGTCTGGCGCTAGGCATAAGGGGCTAAAACAATGACTGGTCGGCCCGAGAGTCAGTATACTGTGTCTGAGTGGGATATTCATGTTAAACTGCAACCTGGTATCTCAGCATGGTGGGCTGTACAATAAAACTGGCATTAGTCCGGACTAGCAAGCATCCACACACACATGCATGCATGTTGCCAAATATTTACAATAACCTTAAACACGTTAAACATCACCTCACCTCACCTCATCTCACCTAAGGAGTATTGGTGGGTAATAGCCTATAGTGGTGAAATTGTCGACAGACCACAAGTGAAGGTGAAAGTGTTTACTCAGCATGTTTAAAGGCTATTGTTGGCATCCACTGCTGTGATATTGCTTTAGTACAACTCTCACTCCCTTTGGAGTGCAATACAGCAAGAGAACACTGATACAGAATGCATTTGAACCTTGTGTTGACCTGGAAAAAAGTTGGAGTTGTCCTGGGTTAGAGACGAGCAACAAGGTGAATTTCAGAAGAAAAAAAATCATGTATGTATGAGAATATTACATGTAGTCTAGTCATCTTTTGGAGTAACGGGATCGGTTGGTCAGGCTTGCTGACTTGGTTGATGCATGTCAGTTTCCCAATTGCGTGGATCGATGCTCATGATATCAATCACTGGATTGTCTGGTCCAGACTCGATTATTTACAGACCGCCGTCAAATAGCTGGAGTATTGCTGAGTGCGGCGTTAAACAACAAACAATACAATAGTCATCTTGTTTCTTCTACTGATACAGTACATTTGTATTGTTTATTGTGTAATGATGTGAATGTAGGATGCACCTGTAACCAGCATCAGATTACAAAAGGGGTGAAGATATTAGTGGCCTGTTCCTGTTTCTTATCTACAGGGTGCAATAATTGCTGCATATTCGTTTTCAAGAGTATGTGCTCCTGTTAAACAGGAAAATTTTATTTGTATTTGTGAAACATGTTAACCAAATACTAATCGGTTATTATTAATGATGGGAGTCAAAATGTGTATGTGACCAATGTGTAAACTCCAGTAGTCTTGGCTAGATACATGTGTATGCACAGACAGGTGGGATGGAATGGATTGACTGTCTTTCATAGAGGATACTTGTGCAAGATGAAATATATTTCTGTTATTCAATACAGGCTTTGTATTTAACAGATAAGTAGCAATGGAATATGTTTCATCCTTAAAAAGAAATAATTTATTTATCAGATTTATTTTTAAATCAAGTCAAAGTCCCCCCAGGGAATATAATTGTAGGTTCATTAATTAAACTCCTTAGAGTGAACATTGTATGGCATCCCACAGTTCTTTTAACTCATGGTGGGAATAGTGTTACACAGTACCATCCTATTCAAACACCAGCTTGACATCACCTGTTAGAGTTGGTGTTCAGCAACCCATGCCTGTAAGAGGCGACTAATGGGATTGGGTGGTCTGGCTCGCTGAACTGGTTGATGCATCTCATCGTCTCCCAATTGCGTGGATTGATGCTCATGATATCAATCACTTGATTGTTTGGCCCAGACTTGATTATTTACAGACCGCCGTCATATAGCTGGAATATTGTTGAGTGTGGCGTTAAACAACATCAAACAAACTGGTTACAGCTGTAATTACGATTTCTTTTTCTATCAGCACCAGTGTCTCAGGCTGATTTGATGATTTCACCACGATATAATCTGTTTACATGGTGGCATGGTACATGGTACTGTGTGCAGCTCACAGGTCACAAAGGGGAGGTCGGGTAGGCTAGTGGTTAAAGCGTTCGCCCCGCCATGATATTGCTGAAATATTGCTAAAAGTGGCGTAAAACAATACTCACTCACTCACAGGTCACAAATCAGGTGAAGTCAAGCAAAGTCAGTCACAGAGAGAATGACTTGAGAAGCTTGACTAGTGAGAGTTATTATTATTGAAAAGTTGTTCAAAATATTTTGTCATGTTATTATTATTGAAACGTTGTTCAAAGTATTTCGTTCACTCTAGTACAGGAAAATGCACACATGATCCTGCTAAGATGATCGTAATTCCCATACATAACAGAGATATACAGTAGTCGTAGGGCTGAGATGTTCGTAACTCAAACACTTTCACCTGGACTTGACGATGGTAGTAGTGTTAAGATTTCCTTGTGGAACAGGATTCATGGATGTCCTACATTTTTTCATGCATATTCTAATAAAGAAATATTCGAGCAAAACACTCAATCTTATTAAAATAAAAACATTTACTGCTTGTCTAATTCATTGCTAAACTCACCTGCCCTAGTTCATTGATGTGAATATTGTATGTGCTCAGCAGGTATATCTTAGTCTGTATCAGGAGGAGAGATTATTATTTGGGCAGTACAAAAATAATTTTTAGATTTTCATCCCCAACCACCTCACTACCAGTCACTTTACGTCACATGTATTGTTCTCAAGTACCTACACACAAAGAATTTGTCAGTGTGTAGTATTGTTTCTATATTAGATGACATATCATATACTACTCAAAAGAAGTTAACAAACACCCACGAATGGCAGGCTATGAAAGATCAACTATTGACATGTGAAACATTATTCTTTATCTTCTTTTGAGTAGTATATATATATATATATATTGGAACATCGTCTTACAAAATATTCATAGCTGGTGTACACAGATGCCTTGAGCAAGGTTAAGCAAAAACTAAAAATCTCCTATTTTGTTTTAAAAATCAAATGAAAATCTAATAGTTAATTTGTTGTGGCCTAACCGATACAAACGTACTTCACACTCAACCTGAACTAGAAGAAAAACAAACTTTTTTAGATGTTAGAGTTCTAAGCTTACATTGCTGTATTTGTGTCAAATATATATAGGAAATGATGTTTTTCAGAATAAACATATGACTCCAACATGTTGTGTGTTTTTTATTTAATATGATACATAATATCGTACATCAAGAAATAAAATGAAATGTTCTGAAATAACAGATACTATGATAAACAGTAAAATGTCATAAAAAAAATTAATTTCATTGTCCTCAGACCCTATTTCTGATCACATCCATTAAAACACAATGTCCCAAAATGCATGGTGAGCAGTGTATGTAACCCCTTTCACTTCAACTGAAAATGACCCCCTCACCGCATATCAAACTGAAACGGACAGAATCCACTCTCCATTGCTAACATTCATAGTCTTTCATTATGCTGCTTAAATCAAACTGTCAACCAGATAGTGGCAAATACTATTTTTCACATTTCACTAGCTTCTCAGACCAACAAAGCTGTACGTGTTTCTTTTCACTCAAGTCTCAGTAATCTATATCACTCCTATTTGTCTCCCTTTGCTCTTTTTTCGTCAGTTTCATAGACACAAGAAACCATTGCTCCTCACACCACATGTACAGTAGTTGTCTCCCCTTGCTCTGTGGTGGCATTGATAGTCATCTTCTGTGCAGTACAAGAGGCCTGATCTCTTGGGCTTTGTCAGTCTCAAACCAAATCCAGTAGTTGTCTCCCCTTGCTCTGTGGTGGCATTGCTAGTCATCTTCTGTGCAGTACAAGAGGCCTGATCTCTTGGGCTTTGTCACAGTCTCAAACCAAATCCAGTAGTTGTCTCCCCTTGCTCTGTGGTGGCATTGCCAGACATCTTTTGTGCAGTTATCTTCCCTTGGTTTGTGGCAACATTGATTGCCGTTTTCTGTGCAGAACTAGAGGTGTCTGATCTCTCGGTCTTTGTCACAGTCTCACAGAATCACGTAGTTGTCTGCCCTTGCTCTGCTGCAACATTGATGGCAGGTTTCTGTCCAGAACTAGAGGTGTCTGCCCCCTTGTTCTTTGCCACCGTCTCACCGAGACCAGTCATTGCCTGTCCTTGCTCTTCAGCGACATTGTTGGCAGTTTTCTGTGCAGAACTAGGGGTGTCTGCTCTCCCAGTCTTTATCACAGTATCAGTAATTGTCTGCCCTTGCTCTGTGGTGACACAGGTGTCGTCTGCTCCTGATTGCTCCTGACCGTCCTGCTGGGAGAAGTCTGGCACCTCACAGCCAACGTAAGCACCATTGTCCACATAGTGCCGGATCAAGGAACGCCACTTGTCATCCTGCAGACATGCAAATCTCATTTCAAATCTTCAGATACATAGTTACTCAAAATCAGATAAGATACATTAAGTTTGTCAGTCTACTACTTGAGAATATTCTTGGCTGAAAGCTTGAATGAAATGAAGCCATATTATTTTATTCCTTCAAATTGGGCTGCCCTGTAGCAAAATGATTCACGTCATTTAAATCCATGTAAAAACCTCATGACGTATCAAACCAGCATTTTTTCCACCCTAATATTTCACAGGGATAATGTCTCAGTTTGACACACATCACAGTCAGCCATAGTCTACTTCCCACTTCCACATTCCTGGAGAAACCCCTGGAAATTGCCCACCACAAACAAATACAGAAGCATTGTTGCTGATCACTAAGATGCTTTAATTTTAACTTCCACATTTTTGCACACATTGTAAGACTTTGACTGCTTGCCTCTGATGGTATAGCCTTGCTACAACCCATCCATGTGAACAAAACTAATAAATACACACCCTAACAATCCTTTCAGTCCGTGCTTAGACTGACAGGCTCAGCCAACAACATTCTACAGCAATCTCTGAATTCCTTCAGTATCCATATGACATATCTTTATAATCACCTTTGAATCATCGACCAACTGATCAATGATGACTAACACAATCACCACAGGTTCACTGACAACTTTGGATATCTCCGTCACGTTGATCGTGTCGGCCATGTTGATGGCCTGTATTTGAAGTTTGCTTTAAGATGGCGGTTTGTAAATAATCAAGTCTGGACCAGACAATCCAGTGATTGATATCACGCGCATCGATCCATGCAACTGGGATACGATGACGTCCATCAACCAAGTCAGTGAGCCTGACCATCCGATCCCGTTAGTCGCTTCTTACGACAAGCATGGGCTGCCGAAGACCTATTGTAACTCAGATTTTCACGGGTAGTATTTGAAGTGTATGTATTACCTCGCACTGTCTGACTTACTGAGTAGTTCTAAACAGACCTTTCTTATCTAATGGTATTATGTAAATCCATTTGTTGTAACCAAACTACTGGTACATGATGTTCATGTAATGGGAACTTGTGGGCTTAGCCCTCCATTGGGTTCAACAGGAGTGTTTACTGATCGAGATCGATACATCCTCTGTTATCCAGGGCCATATATCTACATTTTATTATGATAGTGAGTGAGTGAGTGAGTGAGTTTGGTTTTACGCCGCTTTTAGCAATATTCCAGCAATATCACGGCGGGGGACACCAGAAATGGGCTTCACACATTGTACCCATGTCGGGAATCGAACCCGGGTCTTCAGCGTGACGAGCGAACGCTTTAACCACTAGGCTACCCGACCGCCCCTTTTTATTATGATAAATACCATGGACCAATTCACAAGAACAGATCTGATTTAATGATATGACACAGAAAAAAGGCCATCCAATCAGATTACACTTATGAGTTATGAGCAAGAGAAATTCTGTGATAAGTTAAAGATAAGTTACTTCCGAATGAAGCTTTGGTAGCGAAAAGGTCCAGGGCCCACTTGCACAAAGTGGTCTTAGGGCTCAGACTATCGTAAGCCTATGTAAAATATGGGAGTTACGATCACCTTAGCGATAGGATGTCTTTGTGCAAGTGGGCCCAGGGTATCATAATCCAATGGAGATATAATACACTGGATCATCGAGGATGGGATCAGCAGTGCTGGATGGTTCCTCTCTTGTCCTGATGCATGTGTCTTGTTCCAGGGAGACACTGTCAGCTGCGTTCAGGCATAGCCGAGATACACTCACCTGACACAGCACATGAGGGTTTCCAACAATGATAAGCAAGGCCTGGGCACGCGTGATGGATACGTTGAAACGTTTTGCATTGCTGAGGAATCCCAATGTGTGACGCACGTCGAAGCCTATCAGTCTCTCATTGGCACGCACCTGTTTGAATAGAACACAAGAAACAATGAAACATGGTGGAAGGATTTCAGAATAATGAGTGAGTTGGTTTAACATCACTTTGGGATCACACGATGTCAGCTCAATGTGGGAGGAAAGCGTGAAGTGATGCAGTTCTTTGATGTTACATCTTTGGTGAAACCCATACTGACAAAAGAAGGATCATAATCTAGGATTCGAACCATGATCACAGAATCCTTCCTTGCAATGGGACTGAAATAGGTGAGCTTTATACAATAAGAGACATCTATTTTTTGAGAGACCTGCGAGTGCCTTCCTTTAAAATCTTTAAGAAATCTGATGAAAAGGTAGGTCCAACAGTTTGCGATGAACGGTTATCTAAAGGGTATGAACACTCTGCAGGTGACTTTATGAACATTACACTCACAGTTGATATGATGATGACTTGTCTCTCCTGTCCTTGAAACTCCTCCACCGATCCCACCTTCACCATGTCCACATCCAGTTTGTCTATCATTAGACGGATCTTCTCAACCTGAGGAGAGAGGGTATAAACTCAATATCATCACCTTCGCCATGTCCACATCCAGTTTGTCTATCAGTAGACAGATCTTCTCAACCTGAGGAGAGAGGGTATAAACTCAATATCATCACCTTCACCATGTCCACATCCAGTTTGTCTATCAGTAGACAGATCTTCTCAACCTGAGGAGAGAGGGTATAAACTCAATATCATCACCTTCACCATGTCCACATCCAGTTTGTCTATCAGTAGACGGATCTTCTCAACCCGAGGGGAGGGTATAAAGACAATAAAGTCTGTATGATGAACTCACCTGTTTCCTGTAGGGTGTGATAATTCCTATGTCGTCCACTGTCAGTCTATACTGTGGATTGTTCAGCAGACTCTGGAGATACTGAACAACCTGGACGGTTTCCATAGGGTTGAACCAGGATGGGCTGTCTGTCTCACGCATGTCCTCTCCCTGTTGATTAAAATAAAATGTTGGATCATAACTTACTTTTTTGCAAAAAAAACTGTTGGCTATACATGCCAAGATTCTTATAGGTCACTAATTGGTCACAAAGCTGACCCAGCCAATACATTGTGTGATTTGGAGCTTTTAATTAAAAAAATAAACTTCGATCTTTGCATACTGGGTATTTATTGTTCAGTAAGTAATTTAATGTAGAACCAACAAGCATAGTCCTTGGTATCTATTCTACCCTTGAATCCCATGGGGTGCTGTACAGGCCCAAATTGTACTCATCAACCAGTGGTTGATAGCATGAGCATCAATCTGCAGGATCAGGGTCTAGGTTCAACAAAGAAATATTAGTGCTATGTTGTAATTCTGTTTTAAAGTATGGGAGGTATTACTGTCTTAGCTTTAAGATCTTTTTGTTGAAAGGGGCCCAGGCAATGATCACTGGTGACACAATCATGCATGTCACAGTAATGTTCCGATTAACTAGTCAGCTGTTACGCTCTAAAAACTCTGGAGTAGGATATCAACGAACTTGAGATGCTCTCACCCTGAGTCCGTGGAAGATGACGGGGTAGTTCCTCCGGGGCAGGCTGTCCCAGTCGCACAGAGCGTGAGTCAGGGCCGGGTCAGATACCACCTCCAGTTGGTCAAAGTAGAACAGGCGGGACGGCAGCGCCAGAATGGCAGGATGGGATCGGTAGTTCTCAACCAACATGGTTACCTAGGTGACAGACGTTGTTATGGTTACCCAGGTGGCAGACATTGTTAAGGTTACCTCAGTGATAGACACAGTTACGGTTACCTAGGTAACAGACAAAGTTTGGGTTACCTAGGCGACAGACAGAAATAGCCAAAGGAGTGCCTTCGGGGCTAAAACTGAATAAAACCATTTAATTGGAGAGAGCGAATTATGAGAAGTAAGTGAGCGAGTTGGCTTTAAGGCCACTTCAGTATTTCAGTTTCATCAAGGCTTCGAGAGGAAGGAAAGTGATGCAGATTGTAGATGTTTACCCCTTTGGAATAAACCCATGAGGTCGTTGACGTATGGCTGCAGAAACTGTCTCTTGCAAAACTTTCAATTTTAACAAGTGGCAAAACCATCCTGCATACATCAAGTATATGTAAAATGGGCATACCAGGATGGAATCAAATCCACCATGATCTGCAAACAGCCTCTCATTCCTCATGTACAGCGACCTGTCCATCAGCCTCTCAAGGAAAGACAACTCAAGCCCATACATCTTGGAATACTTGGACATGAGCACTGGGCCGAGTTGTTTGGGGTCTCCTGCCAATATGATCTGAAAAAAACATAAAATGTTTCCTTGAAGCTACATTATTAATGTCAACAATTACTTTGTTTGGTTTGTTTGTTTGTTGTATAACGGCGCACTCAGCAATATTCCAACTATATGACGGCAGAGTGTAAATAATTGTGTCTGGACCAGACAATCCAGTGACTGATATCATGAGACTCGCTCCACACAATTGGGATACAATAACATTCATCAACCAAGTCAGCGAGCCTCACCGGATCAGCTTTCTGATCTGGGGTGTGATATCACCCAGACAACCAACTCAACAGCTTACACAGTGTCGTCTCACCTGTCCGTCTGCTCTCTACAGTTTAGACAGTGTCATCTCACCTGTCCGTCTGCTCTCTACAGTTAACACAGTGTTGCTTCACCTATCCATTCTTTTTACAGTTTACACAGTGTCGTCTCACATGTCCGTCTGCTCTCTACAGTTTACACAGTGTCGTCTCACCTGTCCGTCTGCCCTCTACAGTTTGCAGTGTCATCTCACCTGTCCGTCTGCTCTCTACAGTTTACACAGTGTTGTCTCACCTGTCCGTCTGCTCTCTACAGTTTACACAGTGTCGTCTCACCTGTCCGTCTGCTCTCTACAGTTTACACAGTGTCGTCTCACCTGTCCGTCTGCTCACTACAGTTTAACAGTGTCGTCTCACCTGTTCGTCTGCTCTCTACAGTTTACACAGTGTCATCTCAACTGTCCGTCTGCTCACTACAGTTTAAACAGTGTCATCTCACCTGTCCGTCTGCTCTCTACAGTTTACAGTGTCGTCTCACCTGTCCGTCTGCTCACTACAGTTTACACAGTGTCGTCTCACCTGTCCGTCTGCTCTCTACAGTTTACACAGTGATGTCTCACCTGTCCGTCTGCTCTCTACAGTTTACACAGTGTCGTCTCACCTGTCCGTCTGCTCTCTACAGTTTACACAGTGTTGTCTCACCTGTCCATCTGCTCTCTACAGTTTACACAGTGTCATCTCACCTGTCCGTCTGCTCACTACAGTTTAAACAGTGTCGTCTCACCTGTCCGTCTGCTCTCTACAGTTTAGACAGTGTCGTTTCACCTGTCCGTCTGCTCTCTACAGTTTAAACAGTGTCGTCTCACCTGTCCGTCTGCTCTCTACAGCTTACACAGTGTCGTCTTGTCTGTCCGTCTGCTCTCTACAGTTTACAGTGTTGTCTCACCTGTCCGTTTGCTCTCTACAGCTTACACATTGTCGTCTCATCTGTCCGTCTGCTCTCTACAGTTTACACAGTGTCGTCTCACCTGTCCGTCTGCTCTCTACAGCTCACACAGTGTCGTCTCACCTGTCCGTCTGCTCTCTACAGTTTAAACAGTGTCGTCTCACCTGTCCGTCTGCTCTCTACAGTTTAAACAGTGTCGTCTCGTCTGTCCTCTCTCTACAGTTTAAACAGTGTCGTCTCACCTGTCTGTCTGCTCTCTACAGCTTACACAGTGTCGTCTCATCTGTCCGTCTGCTCTCTACAGTTTAAGCAGTGTTGTCTCACCTGTCCGTCTGCTCTCTACAGTTTAAGCAGTGTTGTCTCACCTGTCCGTCTGCTCTCTACAGTTTACACAGTGTCGTCTCACCTGTCCATCTGCTCTCTACAGTTTACAGTGTCGTCTCATCTGTCCGTCTGCTCTCTACAGTTTAAGCAGTGTTGTCTCACCTGTCCGTCTGCTCTCTACAGTTTAAGCAGTGTTGTCTCACCTGTCCGTCTGCTCTCTACAGTTTGCAGAGTGTTGTCTCACCTGTCCGTCTGCTCTCTACAGTTTACACAGTGTTGTCTCACCTGTCCATCTGCTCTCTACAGTTTAGACAGTGTCGTCTCGTCTGTCCGTCTGCTCTCTACAGTTTACACAGTGTTGTCTCACCTGTCCGTCTGCTCTCTACAGTTTGCAGAGTGGTGCCTCACCTGTCCGTCTGCTCTCTACAGTTTACACAGTGTTGTTTCACCTGTCCATCTGCTCTCTACAGTTTACACAGTGTTGTCTCACCTGTCCATCTGCTCTCTACAGTTTACACAGTGTTGTCTCATCTGTCCGTCTGCTCTCTACAGTTTACACAGTGTCGTCTCACCTGTCCATCTACTCTCTACAGTTTACACAGTGTTGTCTCATCTGTCCGTCTGCTCTCTACAGTTTACACAGTGTCGTCTCACCTGTCCATCTGCTCTCTACAGCTTACACAGTGTTGTCTCACCTGTCCGTCTGCTCTCTACAGTTTACACAGTGTCGTCTCACCTGTCCATCTACTCTCTACAGCTTACACAGTGTTGTCTCACCTGTCCATCTGCTCTCTACAGTTTACACAGTGTTGTCTCACCTGTCCGTCTGCTCTCTACAGTTTACGCAGTGTCGTCTCACCTGTCCATCTGCTCTCTACAGTTTGCAGAGTGTTGTCTGAACAGTCCATCTGCTCTCTACAGTTTGAACAGTGTTGTCTCACCTGTCCATCAGCTCTCTACAGTTTGCAGAGTGTTGTCTCAACAGTCCATCTGCTCTCTACAGTTTACACAGTGTTGTCTCACCTGTCCGTCTGCTCTCTACAGTTTACACAGTGTCATCTCACCTGTCCATCTGCTCTCTACAGTTTACACAGTGTTGCCTCACCTGTCCGTCTGCTCTCTACAGTTTACACAGTGTTGTCTCACCTGTCCGTCTGCTCTCTACAGTTTAAGCAGTGTTGTCTCACCTGTCCGTCTGCTCTCTACAGTTTGCAGAGTGTTGTCTCACCTGTCCGTCTGCTCTCTACAGTTTACACAGTGTTGTCTCACCTGTCCATCTGCTCTCTACAGTTTACACAGTGTTGCCTCACCTGTCCGTCTGCTCTCTACAGGTTAAGCAGTGTCGTCTCACCTGTCCGTCTTCTCACTACAGTTTACACAGTGTCGTCTCACCTGTCTGTCTGCTCTCTACAGTTTACACAGTGTTGTCTCACCTGTCCGTCTGCTCTCTACAGTTTAAGCAGTGTTGCCTCATCTGTCCGTCTGCTCTCTACAGTTTACAGTGTTGTCTCACCTGTCCGTCTGCTCTCGACAGTTTACAGAGTGTTGTCTCACCTGTCCGTCTGCTCTCTACAGTTTAGACAGTGTCGTCTCACCTGTCCGTCTGCTCTCTACAGTTTAGACAGTGTCGTCTCACCTGTCCGTCTGCTCTCTACAGTTTACAGTGTTGTCTCACCTGTCCGTCTGCCCTCTACAGTTTACAGAGTGTTGTCTCACCTGTCCGTCTGCTCTCTACAGTTTAGACAGTGTCGTCTCGTCTGTCCGTCTGCTCTCTACAGTTTACACAGTGTTGTCTCACCTGTCCGTCTGCTCTCTACAGTTTGCAGAGTGGTGCCTCACCTGTCCGTCTGCTCTCTACAGTTTACACAGTGTTGTTTCACCTGTCCATCTGCTCTCTACAGTTTACACAGTGTTGTCTCACCTGTCCATCTGCTCTCTACAGTTTACACAGTGTTGTCTCATCTGTCCGTCTGCTCTCTACAGTTTACACAGTGTCGTCTCACCTGTCCATCTACTCTCTACAGTTTACACAGTGTTGTCTCATCTGTCCGTCTGCTCTCTACAGTTTACACAGTGTCGTCTCACCTGTCCATCTGCTCTCTACAGCTTACACAGTGTTGTCTCACCTGTCCGTCTGCTCTCTACAGTTTACACAGTGTCGTCTCACCTGTCCATCTACTCTCTACAGCTTACACAGTGTTGTCTCACCTGTCCATCTGCTCTCTACAGTTTACACAGTGTTGTCTCACCTGTCCGTCTGCTCTCTACAGTTTACGCAGTGTCGTCTCACCTGTCCATCTGCTCTCTACAGTTTGCAGAGTGTTGTCTGAACAGTCCATCTGCTCTCTACAGTTTGAACAGTGTTGTCTCACCTGTCCATCAGCTCTCTACAGTTTGCAGAGTGTTGTCTCAACAGTCCATCTGCTCTCTACAGTTTACACAGTGTTGTCTCACCTGTCCGTCTGCTCTCTACAGTTTACACAGTGTCATCTCACCTGTCCATCTGCTCTCTACAGTTTACACAGTGTTGCCTCACCTGTCCGTCTGCTCTCTACAGTTTACACAGTGTTGTCTCACCTGTCCGTTTGCTCTCTACAGTTTACACAGTGTCATCTCACCTGTCCGTCTGCTCTCTACAGTTTACACAGTGTTGTCTCACCTGTCCGTCTGCTCTCTACAGTTTACACAGTGTTGTCTCACCTGTCCGTCTGCTCTCTACAGTTTACAGTGTTGTCTCACCTGTCCGTCTGCTCTCTACAGTTTACACAGTGTCATCTCACCTGTCCGTCTGCTCTCTACAGCTTACACAGTGTTGTCTCACCTGTCCGTCTGCTCTCTACAGTTTACACAGTGTCATCTCACCTGTCCGTCTGCTCTCTACAGTTTACAGTGTTGTCTCACCTGTCCGTTTGCTCTCTACAGTTTACACAGTGTCATCTCACCTGTCCGTCTGCTCTATACAGTTTACACAGTGTTGTCTCACCTGTCCGTCTGCTCTCTACAGTTTAAACAGTGTCATCTCACCTGTCCGTCTGCTCTCTACAGTTTACAGTGTCGTCTCACCTGTCCGTCTGCTCTCTACAGTTTACACAGTGTTGTCTTACCTGTCTGTCTGCTCTCTACAGTTTACAGTGTTGTCACACCTGTCCGTCTGCTCTCTACAGCTTACACAGTGTTGTCTCACCTGTCCGTTTGCTCTCTACAGTTTACAGTGTTGTCTCACCTGTCCGTCTGCTCTCTACAGTTTACACAGTGTTGTCTCACCTGTCCGTCTGCTCTCTACAGTTTACACAGTGTTGTCTCACCTGTCCGTCTGCTCTCTACAGCTTACACAGTGTTGTCTCACCTGTCCGTCTGCTCTCTACAGCTTACACAGTGTTGTCTCACCTGTCCGTCTGCTCTCTACAGTTTACACAGTGTTGTCTCACCTGTCCGTCTGCTCTCTACAGTTTACACAGTGTTGTCTCACCTGTCCGTCTGCTCTCTACAGTTTACACAGTGTTGTCTCACCTGTCCGTCTGCTCTCTACAGTTTACAGTGTTGTCTCACCTGTTCGTTTGCTCTCTACAGTTTACAGAGTGTTGTCTCACCTGTCCGTCTGCTCTCTACAGTTTACAGTGTTGTCTCACCTGTCCGTCTGCTCTCTACAGTTTACAGTGTTGTCTCACCTGTCCGTTTGCTCTCTACAGTTTACAGTGTTGTCACACCTGTCCGTCTGCTCTCTACAGTTTACACAGTGTTGTCTCACCTGTCCGTCTGCTCTCTACAGTTTACAGTGTTGTCACACCTGTCCGTCTGCTCTCTACAGCTTACACAGTGTTGTCTCACCTGTCCGTTTGCTCTCTACAGTTTACAGTGTTGTCTCACCTGTCCGTCTGCTCTCTACAGTTTACACAGTGTTGTCTCACCTGTCCGTCTGCTCTCTACAGTTTACACAGTGTTGTCTCACCTGTCCGTCTGCTCTCTACAGCTTACACAGTGTTGTCTCACCTGTCCGTCTGCTCTCTACAGCTTACACAGTGTTGTCTCACCTGTCCGTCTGCTCTCTACAGTTTACACAGTGTTGTCTCACCTGTCCGTCTGCTCTCTACAGTTTACACAGTGTTGTCTCACCTGTCCGTCTGCTCTCTACAGTTTACACAGTGTTGTCTCACCTGTCCGTCTGCTCTCTACAGTTTACAGTGTTGTCTCACCTGTCCGTTTGCTCTCTACAGTTTACACAGTGTTGTCTCACCTGTCCGTCTGCTCTCTACAGTTTACAGTGTTGTCTCACCTGTCCGTCTGCTCTCTACAGTTTACAGTGTTGTCTCACCTGTCCGTTTGCTCTCTACAGTTTACACAGTGTTGTCTCACCTGTCCGTCTGCTCTCTACAGTTTACACAGTGTTGTCTCACCTGTCCGTTTGCTCTCTACAGTTTACACAGTGTTGTCTCACCTGTCTGTCTGCTCTCTACAGTTTACACAGTGTTGTCTCACCTGTCCGTCTGCTCTCTACAGTTTACACAGTGTTGTCTCACCTGTCCATCTGCTCTCTACAGTTTACACAGTGTTGTCTCACCTGTCCGTCTGCTCTCTACAGTTTACACAGTGTTGTCTCACCTGTCCGTTTGCTCTCTACAGTTTACACAGTGTTGTCTCACCTGTCCGTCTGCTCTCTACAGTTTACACAGTGTCGTCTCACCTCTCCGTTTGCTCTCTACAGTTTACAGTGTTGTCTCACCTGTCCGTCTGCTCTCTACAGTTTACACAGTGTTGCCTCACCTGTCCGTCTGCTCTCTACAGTTTACAGTGTTGTCTCACCTGTCCGTTTGCTCTCTACAGTTTAAGCAGTGTTGTCTCACCTGTCCGTCTGCTCTCTACAGTTTACACAGTGTCGTCTCACCTGTCCGTCTGCTCTCTACAGTTTACACAGTGTTGTCTCACCTGTCCATCTGCTCTCTACAGTTTACAGTGTTGTCACACCTGTCCGTCTGCTCTCTACAGCTTACACAGTGTTGTCTCACCTGTCCGTCTGCTCTCTACAGTTTACACAGTGTTGTCTCACCTGTCCGTCTGCTCTCTACAGTTTACACAGTGTTGTCTCACCTGTCCGTCTGCTCTCTACAGTTTACACAGTGTTGTCTCACCTGTCTGTCTGCTCTCTACAGTTTACACAGTGTTGTCTCACCTGTCCGTCTGCTCTCTACAGTTTACACAGTGTTGTCTCACCTGTCCGTCTGCTCTCTACAGTTTACACAGTGTTGTCTCACCTGTCCGTCTGCTCTCTACAGCTTACACAGTGTTGTCTCACCTGTCCGTCTGCTCTCTACAGCTTACACAGTGTTGTCTCACCTGTCCGTTTGCTCTCTACAGTTTACACAGTGTTGTCTCACCTGTCCGTCTGCTCTCTACAGTTTACACAGTGTTGTCTCACCTGTCCGTCTGCTCTCTACAGTTTACACAGTGTTGTCTCACCTGTCCGTCTGCTCTCTACAGTTTACAGTGTTGTCTCACCTGTCCGTTTGCTCTCTACAGTTTACAGAGTGTTGTCTCACCTGTCCGTCTGCTCTCTACAGTTTACAGTGTTGTCTCACCTGTCCGTCTGCTCTCTACAGTTTACAGTGTTGTCTCACCTGTCCGTTTGCTCTCTACAGTTTACACAGTGTTGTCTCACCTGTCCGTCTGCTCTCTACAGTTTACACAGTGTTGTCTCACCTGTCCGTTTGCTCTCTACAGTTTACACAGTGTTGTCTCACCTGTCTGTCTGCTCTCTACAGTTTACACAGTGTTGTCTCACCTGTCCGTCTGCTCTCTACAGTTTACACAGTGTTGTCTCACCTGTCCATCTGCTCTCTACAGTTTACACAGTGTTGTCTCACCTGTCCGTCTGCTCTCTACAGTTTACACAGTGTTGTCTCACCTGTCCGTTTGCTCTCTACAGTTTACACAGTGTTGTCTCACCTGTCCGTCTGCTCTCTACAGTTTACACAGTGTCGTCTCACCTGTCCGTTTGCTCTCTACAGTTTACAGTGTTGTCTCACCTGTCCGTCTGCTCTCTACAGTTTACACAGTGTTGCCTCACCTGTCCGTCTGCTCTCTACAGTTTACAGTGTTGTCTCACCTGTCCGTTTGCTCTCTATAGTTTAAGCAGTGTTGTCTCACCTGTCCGTCTGCTCTCTACAGTTTACACAGTGTCGTCTCACCTGTCCGTCTGCTCTCTACAGTTTACACAGTGTTGTCTCACCTGTCCGTCTGCTCTCTACAGTTTACACAGTGTTGTCTCACCTGTCCGTCTGCTCTCTACAGTTTACAGTGTTGTCTCACCTGTCCGTCTGCTCTCTACAGTTTACAGTGTTGTCTCACCTGTCCATCTGCTCTCTACAGTTTACAGTGTCGTCTCACCTGTCCGTCTGCTCTCTACAGTTTACACAGTGTCGTCTCACCTGTCCGTCTGCTCTCTACAGTTTACACAGTGTTGTCTCACCTGTTCGTCTACTCTCTACAGTTTACACAGTGTTGTCTCACCTGTCCGTCTGCTCTCTACAGTTTACACAGTGTCGTCTCACCTGTCCATTCTTTTTACAGTTTACACAAAGATGTCTCACCTGTCCATCTGCTCCTGCCACAAGTCCTATAGAAATCAGACACTCCGGCTCTGTTGCCTGCCCAGCCTGAAACAGAAATACAGTACTTTCAGGTCTCTACAGATGACAGTGATCATATTTCCACTGAGGCTATATTAAAACACGGCACTCCACCTGCCTCAACCAAATAGGTGAAATGTCAGCCACCGCTGGAAGGAAGCCATATTGGAAGTAGTATTGTTTTGTAACTAGACTGTCACATGACTCATCCCAATCTTGCAAGAGTTGTGACCTCGTTATACATGTTAAAATGTTTTTAGGTATTCTATACCTTACCTCAAAATCAATGTGTATAGATAATTTCTGTTCAAAATTGTCAATACCGTCATAAAAATCTTTGAGATCTGGCTGTACATGGATTAAAATGAAGCAGTGCAACATCACTGCTTCCCTGCTGGGCCTGTTAATCTGTGTCACATTGTCAGATTAGAAATGTACAAATGACAAATGTATGCCAATGGCACATGGCTATGATGTCATTGAGGGAAGCCACCTTGGCTTTTCTTATGTGGTTTCCAATTAATCTTTTGTTCCCTTTGCTAGTACCATATTTTCATGAGTATAGTGCAAACTTTAAAAAACAAAATCACCTGTAAAAAGGGGATGCACATAATACATGCAATAATGAGTCAAAGACATTACCATGGACACGGAACACCGGAAATACCATGTCAACAAATCTGTACTGAGGTATGCAATTTAATCATGTAATTACACAGTGTTCGAAATACCTGCCTGCCCGACCGTCCGAGACAGGTTGATTTCAACTCGGGCTGCCAGATTTTCAAATCCCCCTGCCCGACGGTCGGGTTATATTTCATATGTGAAAATATTCTAAATATTTCCTGATGATAAGCATTAATTCACATGTAAAGATGAATGATTAAATGTAACCAAAAAGAAACCCTGTTTGCTTTTAGACAACCTACGAGTAATTTAGCGATGCGCCTCTACTACAACGGACCGTCTATATACACGATAGTGTGCAGATACTTGTCCTCATGATATGTATGCACACAGTGGCACAAAGCAGCAAGGTGAGGTGAAATGGAGTTCAACATCAAGATTACTGCACTTATATAACGACGTGCATGCACATGTGTGTGTGTGGCTGCTTGTACTAACCTGTACCAATGCAAATTTTATAGTGCTAGCCCACTAAAATACAATGCCGCAGTTAAACATCAATACCCCATTCAGACACAGTGTACTGACTCCGAGTCGACCAGTCCTTATTTTAGCCCCTTAATGCCGAGCACCAGGCAGGGTAACAACAAGTATCATCCTTAACCGTCTTTTGGTTTGATGCGGCCAGGGATCGAACCCCGGACCTTCCGCTCTCCGGGCAGACGTTCTACCACTAGACCACGGAGGTGGTCAGCCAAAGCAGTGTGATGTACTGAGAGCATGCCCCCGACAGTCACCACTGATCGGTAACGCCCAATCATCAATCGTCCAAGTCAATATTTATCACAAGGCGCACAATGTGGGACAATTCGAAGGAACTGTATCGATACATTACATAATTACATAATTATTAGTACATTATTTGTATTGTGACAGTGCATAGTAAATTTGTTTGTGTTTTTTAGAGTTTGTTCACAATGAAGGGCATATCGTCTTCGATGTCATGTTAGCTGAATTTCCATAAAAGTCATGGACCTGAAAGTTCTGTTATGTTAAACCTTCATGTATCATCTAGTCATTCTTTCTTGATCATGAAGCACAGAGGTATCTCACTCACTGTCATGATACCAATGCAATCTCATTAAAATCAGACTCTCGCTATCGCTAAACAAAGATCTGAGGACATTCCATCACGTCACGTCAGACCGACCTTGCGCGAACTTTGACCGACTAATAGAATGAGCAATCAGAAGGCAGCTTTATCGTGCTTTACAGTACTAATTTTAAAATGGTGACTACGCTTCGAAACATATTTTGACAAATTCGCGATTACAAATTTTAAACCTAAACAAAAGAACATTCTGGAATGGCTAATAGATGGTCCAGTTTGTATGGATTCAGTCGTTAAACCCGTAACTATCATTCGGAAAACCCCGTGTTAAAGTTTACGAGGCTGTATGATTAGAAATCACATTCCGACTATCACTTTCATGATCTGGTAAGCGACACTCTCATTGGTCAAATGAAAGGTCGTTCTGACGTGACCCCTAATGGGATGTCTTCAGATCTTTGTTTAGCAGTAGCGAGAACTAAGGTCTGATTTTAATGAGATTGGATACGAATCTAACTGCAACTGTGTATATCACCCAAGCCCTACAACGCACCTCGTCTACAAACGCGTGGGTGAAGTGTCCCGCCTTCAGCCCCAGCGTGTACAGTGATCCAGCAGAGTTGCACGTACACACCACCACCCGGTACCGCGATATTATCTGAAGGTCATCTCCATAGCGACAGTACTTCTCTATCATCTCAGCGACATTCTGAAAATCACAAACCGATGTACATTAATGCACTAAGAAACAAACATTTATTATATCGAAGTTCCACCAATCCACATATACTCTTTGACATGAAAATATTTTAATATTTTTGTGGTAAAGCTGCCTTTTTATATGAATTAAATAGAAAGGGGGCCACAGAATCTCTTAATTTCAGTAACTGGAAAATCTAGACTTGCCAAAGTGACGGTTATGTAAACTTGCTTGGGATGTTTCAGACTTTTGGTTTCAGGTTAGGTATGAGAGACAAAGTTCTACCATAATATACTATTTACCGGTAGGCCTCTTTGTATTTATCAGTTTTTCAAAAGAATTGTTGGTGAATAATGGAAAAATATGTGTATTTTCTATAGGGAGACTGTCATATTTTGAACGTTTGTGAAACTCAACACAATTATTTGTATGACAACAGGTCCAAAAAGTCAGTCACATTCAGTCCCCACTCAATATCCCTGTCCAATTTTGGGTAGTATTCGAGGTATTTTCACAGTAGATAAGACCCAATAAAAAATACTATCATCTGGTTCTGATAAGACTTAATATCAAATCAGGATCAGCTGGAAGGCTTTTTCTCTTTTATTTTTTCAAGCGAGCCTCCAACTGGTTGGATAACTACTGTAAAGTTAGTAGTGTTTGGAATCTATTTTCCTGTTGAGTTATTTCTTTACTGGTAAGCATCTCAATAAAGGTCCAGTCTGATTAATCAATTTCTTTTTAGACGTCACTGTCTCCATCGTACCTCCAGGCTCCTGTTGAATGCATTCAGTCTCACCAAGTCGGACTCCTTCACCAAGCCACTGGCCACAAGTCTCTCCGCCTACACACAAGACAGAGTTCTCACAAAACTAGTACATGGGCTTCATGACTTTAGACACGATCTACTAACAAACATCATTGTGCTTCCTGATTACTATCTTTGATCATTCATTGTATACTACTCAAAAGAAGTTAAGGATCACCCGATTCTTTCATATTGGTAAAGTTAATCTGTCATGGCATGAGAATTAACTATTGTAATATGGAAGAAGCAGGTGATCCTTAACTTCTTTTGAGTAGTATATTACATCCCCATTCTATTACGATAGTTTAACTGAGCCCCTTCACAACTGTAACGTCATTTCAGAAGGAACCTCCCCATCTCCTTCATCACCATCTGAGCATGGACAGCCAACAGCCAACAGGTGAGGTGAGGTGAAATTGGGTTTAACGTCGCGTCCAAGATTATTGCACTTATATAGCGACGTGCATGCACGTGTATGTGTGTGTGTGGCTGCTTGTACTAGTCCGGACTGATGCCGATTTATAGTGCTAGCTCACTGAGATACCATGCCGCAGTTTAACAGGAATACCCCACTCAGACACAATATACTGACTCCGAGCCGACCAGTCCTTGTTTTAGCCCCTTAATGCCGAGCGCCAGACAGGGTAACAACAAGTACAATCTTTTAACGTCTTTTTGTATGACGCGGCCCGGGATCGAACCCCGGACCTTCCGCTCTCCGGGCGGACGCTCTACCACAAGACCACGGAGACGGTCCAAACAGCCAACAGATATACAGTTGATACACATATTGGAACACTAAAATTCAAGGATTTTCAACTGTCATTTTCAATTCTCTTGCAGTTGGGTTATTAACCTCAGTCTGGCAATATATATTTAAATCCAGCATACCATATATTAATCGTAAGACCTAAAAGGCAGTATGATCATCACAAATTTTCAAACAAGATTTGTTTTCACAACCCCAAAATAAAATATAAAATGTCTGTCATGAATGTTTATACTTTGTACAATTCAAGGCTTTTCAAACTATTTTGGTGATTTTCAAGGCTTTTGACTTTAAAAAATCAAGGGTGGCCAGTAAAGTTGTTAAGCCTGTATGAACCTTGACAGCTATTCAGCACTCAGGCATTCTAACAATGCTATGGTTCAGAGTTGACTTGTAGTGTAAAGTAAGGTACAAGGGGTACTTCTAAGTAGTACCCAACATGATGACCCCTTCAGCGTCGACCCTCAACCTCTATCTCATCCCTGGACTCACAAGAAGGTCTGCGGCACTGTTGGACGGCGTGGATGCTATGATCCGACTGGCGGGGATCTGGGAGAACACCTGGAGGATTGCCTCCACCATGGTCATCGTCTTCCCTGTACCTGGACAACAACGTCTACAGTGGAACAGCTACTATATACTAGTTTTTGTTTTTGTTTGTTTGTTGTTTAATGCCGCACTCAGCAATATTCCAGCTATATGACGGCAGTCTGTACAATAATCGAGTCTGGACCAGACAATCCAGTGATTGACATCATGAGCATCGATCCACACAATTGGGATCGATGACATGTATCAACCAAGTCAGCGAGCCTGACCACCCGATCCCGTTAGTCGCCTTTTACAACAAGCATAGTCGCCTTTTACGGCAAGAATGGGTTGCTGAGGACTAGTACTTATATGAGGAGATTAGGAGGAGATAATGCTGGATCAAGCGATACTACAACTTCTGGTTAATACTGTATGTGTTAAAACTACTCTGAAAACATGGCCCTCCATTTCTGTGAAATAAGGTATTCTGACATGTTTCCCCAAGTACTGGGCCATTTCACCCTTGATATCCAAATCCAGCTGATGCTCTGTGTGTGTTAAAGCACATTTGATTCCGTCCCACAAATACAAGTTTCTTGGCCTCCTGAATCAATATTTATGATGTATACCAATCTAGCATCTAATGATAACCCTTACATTGAGACTGAGGCAGAAAGTGGGCACCAGAACAGCGAACATGTAATGAAAAAATAAAAATTCTTTTCTTTTATGACATACCGTATTCGACATAATAAGTGCCCAGGGCGCTCTCATAATTAGAAAAAGGTGGCTCTTATTAAAATATTATTTTGGTGAAAAACAGAGTTGAAAGATAAATTTTGTTGGTTTATGCTGACAGCCTGAAATGTTTATATACGACAGATATATTTTTCCAGAATTTAATTGCCCACAATTGAGGGTGCATATTACACACAATTGCGTATTATACACGAATAAATAGGTCTTGTGGACATTGATCAATCGGAAGGGGATGCTAATTGGGATTGTTCACTAGCCAATATACTAGCAAATATCGCAGTGGGCGCTTATTAGAGCGGAGTGCTTATTATGTCAAATACGGTATTTTTTTATCAAAGATAACCAAATTCATCCATACCAGGTGGGCCAAATATAACATAGGGTAACGGTCGACTCTGTCCCAGGAGAATTTTGATGACAGCAGCCTTCTGCCTGTTGTTTAGACTCCCGTTGAAGAACTGGATTCTGTCCTGTGTCCATGAGTTGATGCTCGGCAGATACTGAGATTTACCATTTCCGTCACCTTTCTCTTCTGCAGAATGTTTCGATGTGTTTTGAGGAAGACTGTGACTGTTATTTTGGTCGGCACTACCAAAGCCAGTGTAAGTCGCCTGGAGTTTGACAACATCTCGTGCAGCAGACGGCTTTGATAGTTGAATTTGTGGCATCTTGGTTTCAAGAGAAGATGGAAACAGAACTGAAATTGGAAAAATGTACTATCACCAAACAATGTGTCAAAAGCAGACAATACAAATCTGTGCTAAAAGCAGTGTTCAGGTGTCCTATACTCTTCAGAGTATTGCGTAGGTATTGTTAAATGTACATGATAAAATCATATTCCCCAATTAAACAATATGACCCATGATATGACCAATATGATTTTAAGTCACATCGGCAATATTTCAGCCATATTGTGACTTTCAAAGGTCATACATAATAAATACATGTAAACTATAAAAACCTGTCAACAAGGGACAGTAAAAGAACTAGACTTATCACACATTATTATTTAAAACTAGCATGGAACTATAAAAATACATCACTAGACAGAACAATACATTATAAAAAGAGCTATAGATCGCCAGCAACTGAAGGTAGATCACCATACTGGGGACCATTGGGACTTACAGTACCTTTGCTACCTGCATGGACAAGAATCAAAATCAAACTTGTTGCCATGGAAACAGGACAAAATTAAATTAAATTTCCTAAAAAGCTAAAGGCACCACTTCACCTCCTGATTAATACATGTACCAAGTTTGGATGAAAAATTGTGAAATAGTTTTTGAGTTCTGCTCCAGAAACGAATACGGATAGAAGGACGGACGCACAGACAGACAAGATGTGATTATATCCCCCACATTATTTAAGACAGAGAGAGAGAGATTTGCATTATGGTGTGCTAGGCACACTTATCATCTCCACTACATCAATTCCACACTTACATGGCACGTATGAGGTACTGTAGGCATGAACATCTGTTGTAAGCTGTAGGTTTTGGAAACAGAATGCAGCTACATTGGATACTTTCATAATTATAATATCAGTAAAGTTGTCCAAGTTTTTACCTGTGTCCTTGAGATGGCGGACAGCCAGGGTGATGGCCTGGTGACATCGGCGCAGTGAGGTCCTGCATAAATACAATACAGCCATCACATTATTTCATCTCCCTCAAACACTGTTTTTACAACTAGGAGTGAGTGAGTGAGTTGGATTTTGCTCCGCTGTGAACAGTATTCCAGTTATATCACGGCGGGTCAGCTTAATGTGGAGGAAAGCCCAAAGTGATGCAGGTTCCAGATGTTTACCACTTCAGTGAAACCCACAAGCACAGGTATGGTGCTGACAAACCTAGAAACATAATCAGGGCTAACCAGGATTCGAACTCACAATCACAGGTTCCTGGTGTGCCCAAGGGATGCAACTCTGCACAGTGAATTGTGGCACCTAAGACAACAGGGCCAACTGTCATCCCTAGAAGCTCCTGCAAACTTTGTCATGGTTGGAAAAGAAAGAAAGAACACAAAGTCTGTGTCTGAAGAAATACTGTTTGGAGTTTCTTTCCATTACTTCCTGGGGCGGTCGGGTAGCCTAGTGGTTAAAGCGGTCGCTCGTCACACCGAAAGACCCGGGTTTGATTCCCGACATGGGTACAATGTGTGAAGCCCATTTCTGGTGTCCCCCGCCGTGATATTGTTGGAATATTGCTAAAAGTGACGTAAAACCATACTCACTCACTCACTCCATTACTTCCTGTTAATAAAACACCAATTTGTTTTGCTGTGCCTTTAATTTAACATCTCCTGATTCCACTGACATCTGTGATCCAAGAACCAAGAAATACTGGCTTAAAATAAACTTTGCCTGTTAAACGTAAACTCCACGTTGTAATCCTCTCCATTGTACTTTCCCTGGAACTCAGGATTGAACTTCAACAGCACTTCGCTACTGTGTATCTGTAAAACAAACAACTGCCTTCAGTCGTCTTCCAATTAATTCATTTCACACATAACCAGGCATAGATTTAACAACAAATTTGTTTTGCATTTGTTTGTTTGTTGTTTAACGCCGCACTCAGCAATATTCCAGCTATATGACGGCGGTCTGTAAAATAATCGAGTCTGGACCAGACAATCCAGTGATTGACATCATGAGCATCAATCCACGCAATTGGGACCGATGACATGTATCAACCAAGTCAGCGAGCCTGACCACCCGATCCCGTTAGTCGCCTTTTACGACAAGCATAGTCGCCTTTTACGGGTCATTGTCATAGCTTACCTCTGACAAAGGGCAGTTACACTAGCGGACAGACTGATGGATTGCCACGAAAGGTAAGTAAAAAGAATTGTTGTTTTACGTATATGTTGCTTTGCCACTGTATAAGAAACAGATTTTAGTTGGAACTATATTGGCTACTGTCACTGTCCGACTGACACATCAATTACCCTGTGATGCAATAAATACTAATGCGCGCATTCCAGGAAAACTCGCAATGTTTCGGTAAGGTTTGTGAGAGAGAGAAAGCGATTTTCAAGCACAGAATAAAAGAATGACATCATATGATAAAGAGGTTATCACGCTTGTGTGTTTGGGGATGGTTAATTTCCTGTTTTAGGAATAAACACTATGTACCGGGGTATTTAGCTCGTTGTTTTTAGTAGTAGAATATTTGCTACCAATACTAGTAAGTGAGTTGGGTCTGACACCACTTTGAACAGTATTCCACTTAAATCACAGCATGTCAACTCAATGTGGGAGAAAAGCCCAAAGTGATGCAGGTCCTAGATATTTACCACTTTGGCGGTACTCACGAGTACAGGTATGGTGCTGACAAGCCTAGAAACATAATCAGGACGAACCAAGATTCGCACCTACAATCATAAGTTAATTTGTGCGAGATCCCATCATATTATCACTAATCACAGACTGACTGAAGCAACTCTCACTTCATGCACAAAACCCTCATAGCATGGTCCATCAGGGTCCCCTGGATCAGTGAGGATGATCTTGTCCCCGATGAGAATAGAAGGTCGACCTTCAGCCAGGCCAGGGACTTCAAGGGCCAGGTACACCCCACATCGACGTAAACACACCTACAACACAGGTGATTAAATCTAACAATTGCAATGAATGTTTTCAGTTCTTACAATTGTATTTCATTTATCATTCATCTGAAGTGGATATAGTTATTATCAAAAACTGAGGTTAAGTGTTCAGTTGGTTGGTTGGTTTGTAGTTTAACGCCGCACACAGCAATATTCCAGCTATATGATGGCGGTCTGTAAATAATCGAGTCTGGACCAGGCTATCGAGTGATTAATATCATGAGCATTGATCCACACAATTGGGATCGATGACATGCATCACCCAAGTCAGTGAGCCTGACCACCCAATCCTGTTAGTCGCCTCTTACAACAAGAATAGTCGCCTTTTACTGCAAGCATGGGTTGCTGAAGACTTATTCTGCCCCGATTCACAGGTCGGTTTAGTTTTTGAAATCACTTGTCAAATCTTTTCAAACCTTGAAGAAAGGTACAGATCGCTATCTGAATGAGTGAGTCGAGTTTTATGCCATTTCTCAGCAAGGGTGGCCCAGAAGTCTCAGGCACCACAACTTGCTGTGCAGATCAGGGTTAGAACTATACTCAAAAGCATTACCAGCCCAGGTGAAGATGAAATTCCCTTGCAATGTTAAAACAATGGGGAATTTTTTAAATTTGTACTATCCCACAGGAATTCCGGGCTAGAGGGCTAGCGTTAATTTCTAACCCTGGCAGAGTTGCTTCCCTTTGCTCTGCTTGGACTCTTCTCATTAAAAGCATAGCTGTTTGAATATTGTGGTTTTATGCCACACTCAGCAATATTCCAGGTATACGATGGAGGCCTGTAAACAACAGGATGGACCAGACAATCCAATGATTGATACAATGAGCAACTTCCTATGCTAACAATCAACCAAGTCACTGGCCTGACCACCTTCTGTTGAGTCGCCTCTTACCAGAGCTGAGGCTATAGAGCTATCAGATGACCAAACTAGTTCCAGTTTCTATCCCCAACTACAGCTGGCTATGCAAGGAATGTAAGTATAGAGACAAAACCATTTAGGGTAACCCCTGAAACACTGTCTCACCCTGTGGAGGTCAAACTGCCTGATGTCAATCTCCTGCTGGATTTCCTCCAGGTGCAGAAGAGTAGAAAACCTCTGTACATAGTTGCCCATTGTCAGTACCTGCCATTTTAGCATTTGTATATCAGTTATCACATGTTCAACCCCAAAGTACACCTCTGTAGAGGACAGGTGCACATTATTCATACATGCAAACAATGAGTTTTGACACTTTTTCCCCAAGAAAAATATTAGTGTCGACACTAAATGATGCAAAAAATAACTTATGTTTGTTGTCACCTGTTTGTGATACAATGTAGATTTGGACTCTGCATTTTTCACAAGGCTAAAAAAATAGTCTTGGTTCTCAGGCACCGCCCGCATCATCATAAAGTTTGCTGCTGGTTTCGTTTTTATTTCCATTTTTTTTTTAAATAAAAAAATCCTTAAATATTCCAGTTGTGTAACCAAATAAAAAGTTGTATACAATCAACCTGGGAAAGGGCCTCCCTTCATAACTGTATTCCTTGATGATTTAAATACTGGAATACAGTATTTGACTACCGTTGGACTTGGAATTATTAATGAATTTTGTTTTTTTTCTTAAAAACGGAAATAAAAACAAAACATGCTGCAAACTTTTTGATGATGCAGGACTACCATTTTTTAAGCCTTAGTGTAGCAGCTTTCATTTTGTGTGGTGCAGAAATAAAGCTGAATCATTGTAGAAGGCTGACAACTGATTTGCTGAAGAACCCATGCATTCTACTTTTCTACAGCATGGTCAAAGTTTACTCCATGTTACCTGACGCAACCTATTATGGTAGTGTTCTGAGATCTTGAAGCATAGAAGTAAAAGATCTGATTTAAATCAGATTGCATCGACATTATGACAATAGTACAGACTAGATAATGTAACTGTAACTGGTCAGTCAGACTGCTAGATTTCTAGACATAAGTCCCTATGGCAATCTACTAAAGCTGAGGGTTGAGTACAACCTCTGCTAGTTCAGGGACGAGTTGGGTGAGCTCTCCGTCACACCAAACACAGTCACGTAACCGCTCAGGAACTGGAAATGATGGCAGTTTCTGGGGCAGCTTCAGTTTGTTCTGAAACCTAGAATACATTAATGTTACTGCACCGTGCAAACAACAGACACCTGAATGCTTCTCTGTACAGTACTTGTCTAATTAATTTCTTAACGAATTTGTTCATATTATAACTATCAGTGCGTAGCCAGTTTTATAGAAAACAGTTTTATTTGAATGAAGTTGGGGACAAGTGATACTTGTACAAATATTTGCCCCCCCCCCCCCCAGTTAACTACGGCCTTGAACTATTGGGCGAACAATACACAAACAATATGTCTGTTCTTGAACAGATTTACAATAGTAGTTCATATGACTGTGTATTAGTAAAACGGGGGGCAGTCGGGTAGACTAGTGGTTAAGGCGTTCGCACGTCATGCCCAAGACCCGGGTTCGATTCCCAACATGGGTACAACGTGTGAAGCCCATTCCTGGTGTCCCACGCCGTGATATTGCTGGAATATTGCTAAAAGCAGCGTTAAACGATACTCACTCATTATTAGCAAAACTAATGTGTTGCAATCTTTTACGATACAGGTAAACTGGACAAGACAGTTACCATGATGATACAGAAGTATCCATTGTAACCAAATTATAAATATCATGACCTCTCACCTCTGTGGTCTTTGACCTGGGATGACCCATCCACCTGACCCTGCAGCTTTGTAACAATTCCCTTTGTTTGGGTTAGATCTGGTTAGAACATGAATGAAAGTTACCAATTTACATGACATTGTGACATCATAAACGGTACCCTGCTCCCTACATTGTCAATACTTCACAGGCTTGTGTCCACTACCCTCCCCTCCCCCCCACCCAACCCCATCACCCGTGAATGCATATGGCTGCTTTGAATCAAGCCACAGCCTGCTTAAGAATAAGAATAAGATTAGAGATTATTACACAAGCATCTGTGTCATACTGATTTCACGAAACGAGTGTCAGAATTCATGTATTTTCCAAGTGAGAGCGAGGGTAATACATGAATTATTACACAAGTTTTGCATAAGTATGACACACATATGAGTGTAATAATATCTGTATTACCCATTATTTGATAATCCTTTTGAGCTCCCATTTAAAACACTGCACTGATCATGACCGTAGTCTTAGAATGCCACAATCTTCAGCAATGACGTTGCTTCTATTATGAAGTCATTCCTCACCATATCTTTCATCACAATAAGAATCAAATGACGTCAACAATGCTGTCCTGATGACGGAAACAATACGCTGGTGTGCGAGAATTGATATTTGCACTAGTGCACATACAGTTTTTATGACCTCAGTTATTTTAAACCCTATGGGTAAAAACTATCAAGCTACATACAACTACATAACGCTACATACTATCCTCAGTGGTGTGACAAGTAGTCTCACTACTATCAGCATTTGTGTATGACGTCATTTGTATAACGTCATGTGTATGACGTCACAACTCGGGGTGTACCGCCATCTTGCCACACTGTTTGTGGTGTATTATGGAAGCCCCTTTGTCTCAGACAGACATGAAGACTTAAACAAGTGGCACTTACAGAAAGACATGACAAATACATCAAAGAATATTTGTTCTTGTTGTAAAAATGTTTGATTCTACTATTTCTTCTAGTGGATTTATTTTCATGGAACAGTTGTTAATGAGAAAAAATGTCCATGGCTGGGGATTTTATCTCCCGACATTTCTGTAAGTGATTGAAGTCTGGTATAAATTTCCTCTTGAAAATGTTCCCTCACCCTAACCCTAACATATCAATGTAATCATGTGACCTTACATTTGCAAGTTTTAATCACTTTGAATCACTTTGAATCACTGAAAATCTGTTCCGTGTGGAACTGCTCATTGTGGACAAATACAAGTGACTCAGTCACTGAACTTGTGTAAAGAAAAAGGTTGACATTAGGAGGAATCAAGAGAGTAAGTGATTTTATTTGTTTCACCTAGAGTTATATAGAGTTCCAGAGCTTATTTTGGTGTATTTTGAATTTGTGGAGACAGAAAACCTGCGGGTGCCGTACGGCCTTTGAAGTGAAGACATTTGGTCGCCTGAGGGAGTCCATGCAGCCACCGTAGCTTTTTGACAAATACCAAGGTAGCCGCAAGGTAGCCGCAAGGTAGCCACAAGGCGGCCACAGGGGGACCATACAGGGCCATGCGGGCAGACTGACGCCACCGCTACACAGGACAGCCACACAGCAAACACAAGGCCACCGTACGCCCTATGTATGGTTGCTGTGTTGCCATGTCTAATTGCTACAGCAAACCTAGAAATTAAAAAAGGTATAACTCCGCGCTATAATCCCACGGCGACCCCTACAGCCTGTAAAAGATAGGAATATGCCCTTAACTGATTACATAAGTTTGTATCATGTCTTTCACATACCGTATTCAACGTAATAAGCGCCCCGCTCTAATAAGCGCACACAGGGATATTTGCTGATATATTGGCTCGTGAACAATCCCAATTAGCACCCCTTCCGATTGATCAATGTACACAAGACATATTTATTCGTGTATAATACGCAGTCGTGTGTTATATGCACCCTTAATTATGGGCAATTAAATTCTAGAAAATATATCTGTCGTGTATGACACGCACATACTTTTCTTTCGCTACAGCTAAACAAAGATCTGAGGACATCCCATTAGGGGTCACGTCAGAACGACCTTACATCCGACCAATCAGAGCGTTGCTTACCAGATCATGAAAGTGACAGTCGGAATGTGATTTCAAATCATGCAACCTTTGAAAACTTTAACACGGGGTATTCCGAACGACAGTTACGGGCTTAACGACTGAATCCATACAATCTAGACTATCTATTAGCCATTCCAGAATGTTCTTTTGTCCAGGTTTCAAATTTTTAATCGAGAATTTGTCGAAATATGTTTCGAAGCATAGTCCCCAATTTCGAAATTAGTGACATAAAGCACGAGAAAGCTGCCTTCTCATTGGCTAATGTTGACTTCTTGTCAGTCATTCCATTGGTCGGTAAAAGTTTGCACAAGGTCAGTCTGACGTGACCCTTAATGGGGTGTCCTCAGGCCTTTGTTTAGCGGTAGCGAGAACTAAGATCTGATTTTAATGAGATTGGGATACACCAGGAAACATGGACAACAAGAAGGGAGTAGTAATTGTTGCACTATATGCAATTTGCCTGAAAATAAGGGTTGTTACCATGGTTACTATTTTTTAGTATATGAAATGAACTTCATTGTTGCCAAAATATTATGTACAAGTACTTGCTGTATATTAAACTACATGACTGTACAAACACATTTACACACACAGACGGATATTACAAGGCGAAAGACTATAGTAACATCATCCAATCAAATGCGAGGATTCAAGGAGATTCCCCTCACTGTCAAGAGGTCCCCAATTGTCCCCTCACTGGTCCGAAGACCCCAGTTTGTGGGGTTGCTAATGCTGACTGGCATCTGGTGAATATGAGGGTTAATTAAAACGGCGCCAGCTTGACGACTGAGGGTTGGAGTGTTGTTTCTGTAATAGAACTCGCTCCCTAATGTACGTCAAACATTATTATACAATGTATGCTCCCTCTTGTAACAGCATGGCGATCAATCTGGTGATCAGCAAATATACATGCAAACATTATGAAGTACATAAACTGTTCTAAAGACTGACAGTGTTTGTTAGGTGGAGTTAACACATAAACTGGCGACGAGGAGTTACCACATAAATTGGCAACGAGGAGTTACCATAGTTTCCCTTTATGCTTTATTAACCAAACTACATAATTAATCCTTGTGATATGAGATTTTACTTACCGTATTCGACATAATAAGCGCCCAGGGCGTTCTCAATATTAGAAATCGGGGGCTCTTATTAGAATATAATTTTGGTGAGAAAAAAAAAACAGAGTTGAAAGATCATAAATTTCGTGGTTTATGCTGACAGCCTGAAATGATACAAAAGAAAAGTATGTGCGTATCATACACGACAGATATATTTTCCAGAATTTAATTGCCCATAATTAAGGGTGCATATAACACACGAGTGCATATTATACACGAATAAATAAGTCTTGTGTACATTGATCAATTGGTAGGGGTGCTAATTGGGATTGTTCACTCGCTAATATATTAGCAAATATCGCTGTGGGGCTTATTAGAGCCGGGCGCTTATTACGTTGAATACGGTATTTAGACTAGTTTATGCATCCATGTTTTACCTTTGATAACTATATTGGACCTGGGTGAGCCTGGTGCAACAAGCTTTTCATGTCAACATGTACCTGGTGCAAGTTAAATCCAAACATCGAGCCCTGCACCTGACTAGATTGTGTAGCGTAACATTATGATAGTGTTAAGCATAGCAAGGTAGCTAGAACATTTAAGAATTTATGTCTGTGACAATATGAACATTGACAGCCTATTTCCAGACTGAATGTTCCATGTTGTCACAAAGAAGTAGGCTGTTATCATGGTCACCTACCTCCCTCCATCATCACTGGAACAGGGTACGACATGTGTGGCTCGCCAGGAGCACTTCCCCTGATGACTCTCTATAGCAGTCACTTTAACCTTATCCCACCTCCTGGGCCGGTAGTTGTTGACACACACCTCGGGGGTAAAATACACCTCCCCATCAATATACCCATGATCCTCCATCGCAGCCGAAACATCTCCATCAAACGTCCATTGACGTAAAGGCTCAACATTGACTGCTGATACTTTTTCCTCATCTTCCGATAGTTTTAATGTTTCCAGCTCGGCCGTTACCCAGTCACCTCTACAGGGTTTGAAATTCTCAACACAGTTTTCTATTTCGAACTCCATTTCACTGTTAATCATCCCAGTCTCTTTCCCAAGCTGTGTTATTTTACCAACACAGGCAGATTTACGTTCTACTTCGGTTTCTTCTTCCTCATCCTCCCATGACTTGGAAACAACTGTTATTTCTTCTGCATACCAGCCTCCATCTTCATACTGTTGCTTAGCAACAACGGAAACAGCATCACCAACTGCTGGCTTATGTTGCCCGTCTAAAGCGAAATAGATTTCTCCATCAACAAGCCCATTTTCACCAAACACATGCGTAACTTTGCCATCAAAACGTCTAGTATTGAAAGCCTGAATCTCTTGCTCCTTGACGATAAATGAGGAATCTGGCCATTTCGATTGTACATTATCTGTTCTGGTTTCTGAGTCATCGTCTTCATTCTCTTCTCGATTAAAGAAGTAGTTAAATACACTTCCCAGAGCAGAAAACATCTCTGTTCTATATCAGTGTTGAAACTGAAAACAGACAGGGTTTTGTTTGACATTTTCTCAACCAGTTACTTCCTACAGAAAAATGAGAATGTTAGAAGACCAGTTGTAATCAAACTGTAAAATTGGTGGACGTTCCATGTCATGAAATTCCATCCTCTGGGGGAATTCAACAACAAAATCAATCTAGTCTTTTAAAGGAATTTAGAAGTGATAGACAAAAGGAAGAGAATTTATGGATGTCAACTTCTTTATCACGTTTATTATGAGGAACAGCGTTTCGGAGTATATGTGTAAGAGTGAATATTATCCTACCCTATTTGTTATACCGAGGATGAAATTCCCTAGTGTCAGGATGATTCTCCCTAGTGAATTTGAACACATACTAGTGTGTTTAATCCTATCCTATACTCTAGAGTAAAACTTTCCCCAGGATAATATTTAGGTAGGATATAATCCTTGCTTATATATGCTTACTCCTTCATAAATACTATGAGGCAGAGAACATATATATGTACCTGTAAGAACAAAGATATAAGATGACAAAGGTGGAAACTTAACAAGGGGAGCAAACAGATATTGGCACTGATAGGTGATTCGCAATGGACAAAAGGAAGCCAACACTTAACTTAGCACTGATTGGTAACAGGCAATGGACAATGGGCAAACAGAGGCCGGGGGTAATTAACACTGAAATCTAAGTTTATACTCCGAAACGTTGTGTTCCTCACAATTAAGAAGTTGACATCCATAAATGGCCAGACTACATTTACCCAAACCAGAGACCGATTAACGATTTCAATATATGGTCTCTGACCAAACACAAATGTCGATAGTGACCTATCTCTGTGGGTATAAGGAAATCATGAACCATATCCCTATCAATCAGTGTATTGTATGTGTTTGGGGAAATAACTGATTTATAGCCAATGACATGAGAATTGAGAATACTCTCCTGAAATTGTAGGACCTACAGTGTTAGAGAATGTCACCACAGAATGCTCGTTCCATGACACAAGGACAGCCCCATGGTCCAGTGGGAGAGCGGAAGGTCGGCGGTTCGTCATACCAAAAGACGTTTGATGGTACTGGTTGTTACCCTGCCTGGTGCTTGGCATTAAGGGGATAAGGATTGCTCGGAGTGGGGGACCCGAGTTAAAACTCTGGCATGGCATCTCTGTTATAAGACCTGGCATTAGTCCGGATTAGTACAAGCAGAAACACACTAACCCAGACAAACATGCATGCACATTACTATGTAAATGCAATGTTAAACCCCATTTCAACTCACCCTACCATGACACAAATCCATGTCTGAAAAAGCTGGCTAAGGGACAGAGGCATCTTAAGTGAACAGGCCCTGTAATACTTAATCCTATCCAATGATGAAATGGGGTTAAAACGTCGTATTCAAGATTATTGCTCCATCGCAATGTGCATGCACATGTGTAAATGTCACTGCTTGTACTAGCACAGACCAATGCCGGTTTTATAGTGCCAGCTAGCTCACTGAAATACCATGCCACAGATTAACATGCACAATATCCCTTTCAGACACAGTGTAATGCCAAGGACCAGGCAGGAAAACAACATGTCCCAACCATGCCAACTTTAAACATCTTTCGGTATGACACAGTCATGGATTGAACTACTGACCTTCTGCTTTCCAGGCAGGCACTCTATCCACTCGAACACAGCCCGAGGCAGTCCTGACTTTTGAAGTTTTTTTAAAGACTCCCTGCCTTTAGAGCCTTTATCCTTTGAACCTTTATTACTATTTAATGACTTTATATCAATGAGAGGAAGTCGTGATTAGGGATAAGTGTATGGCGTTTTACAATTTTTCACGTTTATGTAATTCATTCCAGGATGTAATCGTCTCTGTGGGTCCTTCTTCATTATACCTGCTTCGTGTTAGGGTTTTGAAGGGAGATAAGTGTTCAAATGCACTACGTGTGTTGTGTAAAAGTAACTGCTTGCATCTCTGTTTTAGGCTAATTCTAATGGCTGACAAAAAAAATCACAACTGAAATACACACTCCAGTTGTTAGAGAAAAGAGTAAGGCAAACTAAAACGTTTCTTACAAATGATCAAAACATTTCCGGAGCCATATTTCTTTGTAGCTGTCAGAGAAGAAAAACAGCTGATAAAACACAATGAATCAAATGGCCATTCGTCCGTGCACATCCTTCCAGTCATCAGCTGTTACGACATTTCCACATGCGAGTTGAAATGCAAGGGGAATTCCCGCCTTCCCAGACTTCCGCATAATTTACAACATCCGGAGAACTGTTACTATAAATAGAATATAGCCATCGGTTGTTTTGGTAAAGAAACTATTCACTGATTAATTATAATATCGAAGATATTTTTTATTTATTCATTGCAATTTCATGAGATAAAATTTGGTAATGAAGTATGTGACTAAAACGTAATATAATAATGTGCGTCACTTCCGGTTGTCGAGATACTCTTTGTTGGGATTGATGAAAACATTGGCACACTTGCACAATCTTCCAAAAAGGTTTGTACTTATGAACGTCTTCACGATTAATTTCAGCTGAGTACTTTCTTAACACTATGGTGTATCTGTTCAATCGGAAGTTTGTTTGATAAAGTTCCAAAACATATTTTAAGAGTAGATATTTAATGTCGATGACAGTCATCTGTTTTGTGAGTCATGAAGAATATATTGGCCTGACCATCACAATACAAATAGTTTTCAAGATCCAATATTGAGCAAGTTTCTTCGGTTCGAACAGTAAACACTAGAGAAGATTAATTGTCTTCATGCTGTCATAAATATCCTTTCTAAGTCAATAAACAAACTATTTTAGCATTTCTTTTTCCTCAACATGCTCAATGGGCTCATCATTATCACAGAAGAGGTTGTGGGTCTGGTATCCAGCAATGGCAATCTATGTAGCATGGGTATTGGTGACTCACATTATGATGTAAATTATGAAACAACCCAGCTATCTTCAATATGAACTCATGTTAGATAAAAGTGTACATTTGTTCAAATAAACTGAAATTATGTCAGCATGGTTAGTGAAGTTTTGGAATTGTAAACATTGGCACTGGTTCTCTTTATCATTATTATTCATTCATTTAGCCCTTTGTAATTTACATGATGGGAAAGACTTCCACCCATATCCCCGACCTGAAAGTTTTATTTGTTGATTGCGCTGCACAATCATTTCCAAGGGAAACAACACTTTATATATCCAGGTCTGGTGTGGTGAATGTACTGTATGTTATGTAGTATGCACAGCAAGAGAGGAATGATCAGTTGAGTTGCAAAAAACGTGGATCAAAGGATTAACCGATAATATGATTATTGATTAATCACTGTTATCTTGCACAGTGGATTTTCAAAGTCTTTTTGACTGTTCATAATATGATGTTGACTAATCAGCTAATAGCGTCACCGTTTCACAATGTTTCAAGTCTTGTGTACACTAATTAACAGATCAACAACAAAAACACACGTCAATTTGGCTGCAGCTTTTTATTTTATATCCTTATGTTATGATCACTGGTTCCTTGTTCTTCGATCCTCCAATAGCTGTTGCTTTGCACAGCGCAACAAGAATAGCCTCGAACACAAATTAAACCAGTCGAAAGATCAGTGCATAATAAGCAAATATAAAATAAGCGGGGAAAAAATCTCCATATTTTAATACTTTCAAAGTTGGGATGTTGTTTCCCTTCAAGTTAGAAATAGGATCGATGGAAATCACTGGAAAGATAATATAGATAATGGGCGATGGTTGAGACATTGCTTATTTTAATCTGAATAGGTGTTTGTTTTGCTACAGCAGAGCATTAACAGAGAGTTTATTTATACACATATATCTGCAAGCCAGTTTAGTTCAAGTAGGTATTTACCTGAAGATAATAATCTGTTAGTTTTGCTGACATGGCTGAACCGAAAATCTCTGACCCCAAGACATTGCTAGAGGCTGAAGGTTAAACGTGCAGACTGGTTTGCTTAGTCTAGTCATACTTGCATAATGTTGCTAGGATCTGTAATATTGATGATGGCCTCAGCCCCAAACACCATCTGCTCTCACACATGCTCTCACACATGCTCTCTCATCCACTCTCTCACACATGCTCTCTCATCCACTCTCTCATCCACTCTCTCAAACATGCTCTCTTCTCTCATCCACTCTCTCACACATTCTCTCATCCATATCTCCCATACTCTCTCACACACACTTTCTTATCCACTCTCTCACACAGCTTCTCATCCCCTCTCTCATCCACTCTCTCAAACATGCTCTCTTCTCTCATCCACTTTCTCACACACTCTCTCATCCATATCTCCCATACTCTCTCACACACTTTCTCATCCACTCTCTCGCACAGTTTCTCATCCACCTGCACTCTCAACCATACTTTCACATACTCTCATCCCCTCACACTCTCATCCAGTTTCTTACATATTCTCTCACTTTCTCACACAGTTTCTCATCCACCTGCACTCTCATCCATACTCTCATCCCCTCACACTCTCTCATCCATTTTCTCACATACTCTCTCACTAACTTTCTCATCAACTTTCTCACAAACTTTCTCATCCACCTGCAGTCTCATCCATACTCTCACATACCCTCATACCCTCATACCCTCATCCACTCCCGTCCTTTCTCTCACATACTCTCTCATCCACTATATCACTCTCTCTCATCCACTTTCTCACACTCTCTCCTCCATTCTCTCACACACTCTCTCATCCACTCTCACACATGCTCTCATCTTATCCATTCTCTCACACACACTCTCACACGTGCTCTCATCTAATCCATTCTCTCACACACTCTCTCATCCACTCTCACACATGCTCTCATCTAATCCATTCTCTCACACACACTCTCACACATGCTCTCATCTAATCCATTCTCTCACACACTCTCTCATCCACTCTCACACACTCTCTCATCCACTCTCACACATGCTCTCATCTAATCCATTCTCTCATCCACTCTCAGACATGCTCTCATCTAATCCATTCTCTCATACACTCTCAGATGCCCTCACACTCTCATCCGCTTTCATACATTCTCTCATTCACTCTCACTCATGCTCTTATCCATTCTCTCACAAACTCTCTCATCCATTCTCACACAATCTTCCATTCTCACACTCTCTCACATACAATCTTCCATTCTCACATGGTCTCATCCATTCTCTCACCATGCTCACACACTCTTCCACATAGATAATGTTCATGAGCATGCTACTAAGCAATGCTAAGTGGTTTGTATTTAACATGTTTAATATGTTGTTGTTTTCCTTCAGTTCATGTTAATGTTTGTATGTGAAAGTGAAATATATCATAAATGTGCAACAAATAATGTACCAGTGCCAGTACCAGTAAAGTTTCTTAGATATTTGTTTAGTTATCTGCAGTAGACCATACCCCTATTGTCACATGATTGTGTCACCCTCAACTTCGTTTGGCCATGCTGACTACATGTGTACCTCAGAACAATAGATGACAGTGCAGTGAGGGGGTGCCATGTTTATATCCTACTCATAAAAATAGTGTTCAGAGCTCGAGATAAGCTTTTGGTGTTGTGGGTATTTTACCCATGTATTTTAAAATCTTTGGGTATCAGTAATTCTATCTGGGTATTCAAATTTCTGTTACCCACTAGTTTTTACACATGTGGGTATTTAAGTTAAATATTTAAAAACACTATTCATCTAGTCCCTGCAAACTGGTGTCGCGTGGGTTCAAGAGCTTTATAGGACTAAAAAATACCACGATACTTCCACAAGAAAGTGTGATGGCAAATGATCCTGATGTAACTGTCATCGCTTATCTGTAATGTTCGTTGCGTATTTGATACACTTGGATTCTATTTTACTGCATATTTCTGCATTTCTGATGCGTATTTTACGCAGATACGCAGCTTATCTGGAGCTCTGAGTGTTTCCATTATGTCCATACCTCTTCTACATATTGTATAGGGCTGAGACTGCTAACTTGGGTACTCGGGTCAGGTGGGTCCTACGTAGGACCCGGGTACCCACAGGACTACCCGGACCCGTGGTTAGTCACATGATATCATTCTTCCCGCTGGCGTTTGAAACAGCCAGTCCACCAGGACTGGCAACTCTAAAAATTACCAGTCCCACCTAATCTTTGTCAGTCCCAACTTTCAACCAAATAAATAAATGAATGAAAACATTGCCTGGTTTTTATTCTTTCAACATCATGTTCAATGCAATGACATTATCTCTGAAGTAACTTAGTTAGATCTACATGTCATAATTTTCCCTTTTGTTTTTGAATATTTCGAGACTAAGTCACTGCAAGTATATATCTAACCTCAAAGCAAAGCAAAATGTTATTTCCTTGCACTAAAAATAGACAAGAGGAAAAATATACTTATATGAATATCAATTATTTAATATTTATAAGGTACTTTATTTGCCGGTCCACAGGGATTGGTAGTCACATGAATTACCGGTCCAAGCCTAATTTTACCGGTAAAAAACTGGTAAATACTGGTAAACAGGAACTCTGGATATCTTTGGACTCATCCCAGCCTAATCATGCTAATTATTGTATACATGGTATATTCTTTAAGAAAATAGTACTTTCATTTCATTTTGATAATATTTTGCATGTTCCCTTATCATGCTTATACATTCAGAGCTCCAGATAACTTTTTGAGCAATAGAGTTTTTACTCTAGGGTTTCTATTTTAATTGGGTTATAACATTTTTCACTGGGTAACCAATATTATCATGATTATTTCACTCATTCTTTCAGCACTCTGTTGGGTTTTTCCCAAAACTAGATTCAAGATTCAAAAAAAGAAATCATGTTTTAGATGTATATAACTGTTCTAAATATATAGGTTTGACTCAGAAAGTAAATTAGCTCATAATTGTGTTTCGGAAATTAGCTCTGTGTACGCATGCTGAACAAGTTTTATTGGGTATTTACGTGAGCTGTTTTGAGTTTTTCCTTTAACATTGTTTAATGCACACATTTTTGAAATTAATTGGGTTTTGAATATTTTGGGGGGGTATTTTAGCTGATCTTTGTATCAATACCTGACCTTACGATATCATACATGTACCACTATACCAAATGTTTGATGATTTGTTAAACATCCATAAGTTAACGAAACTATACTACTCCAAAGAAGTTAAGGACCACCTAATTCTTTCATATGCCATGACTATAGTAATATGAAAGAAATGAGTTGTCCTTAATTCATGTTAATTTATTTGAGTAGTATATAACCATGTTAACCCTGATCAAAGCACGAATGAAGTATCTTGATTTGTGTCTCTCGTGACTCAAGTATCACAGTGTATCAATGCTTTCTGAAGGTGGGGGCACGGGTGGCCCACTCGTCTAAGGCACCGCGATTCGCTGTGCAGAGTTGCGTCCCTTGGGCATGCAAGAAACCTATGATTGTGTGTTCGAATCCCGGTTCACACCAATTATGTTTCTAGGTTTGTCAGCACCATGCCCGTGCTCGTGGGTTTCACCAAAGTGGTAAACGTCTGAGACCTGCATCACTTCGGGCTTTCCTCCCACATTAAGCTGACACACCGTGATATAACTGGAATACAGTTTAAAGCGGCGTTAGACCAAACTCACTCACTCACTTTCTGAAGGTGTATAGTGAAATGCCTAATCGTGACCAATGGATATAATTATTTGGGTGAGCTATTTCTTGGGTGATTTAATTTCCTTAATTCCAAATTGTTTTTTATGCATGTGTTTCTGGAGAGAGATGCTACTTTTCTAATCAGACATCTTTTTCATGAAATGTTTTCTTCGTGTCGTACTGATTTTACGAATCGTCTTTTCCAGAATAGTCATCTAAACCTGTCAACCGCAATGTCAACAGACATGAAGAGCCAGAACTCGGAGGAGTCGGACTACAGCGACCAGTCTGATGGCATGGAGGACGACGATGATGAGGATGAGTATCAGGATCTCCATGATTATTATAACGAAACAGACGACCTTGACCTTGAGAAGCCAAAGAAATGTGACGACCCCGAGTACTTTGAGTACGAGCTGCTCCAGATGGAAGACGTGGATAGGCTACTGAACGAGGAAATAGAAGCACTATGTACCCCTCTAAAGGTAGGCTGAGTTGGAGAATAAGTGTACATGGTTGAGAGGTAACTCAGTTTGTCACAGGACTTTGCTGTACACAGTTACTTCCCTTTGCAGCCAGGATCCAATTGTCTAGTATTATATCTTGCCTTGTCCTTACTCAGTTATTTACAGATTACCATTACAGCTGGAATATTGCTGACAGTGGCATATAACGAAAGAAACCAAGCAAAGTGGGACCATCTAAGACCAGTGCCATTAACATGTTTAGCTTTGCCTCCCACATTAAGCTGATCCATCAGATGTTAATCCCTAACTCAGTCTCTGTTGGTTTGGGGGGCACGGGTGGCCCAGTCGTCTAAGGGGCCACGATTCGCTGTGCAGAGTTGCGTCCCTAGGGCACGCCAGAAACCTATGATTGTGGGTTCGAATCCCGGTTCGCCCCGATTATGTTTCTAGGTTTGTCAGCATCATACCCGTGCTCGTGGGTTTCACTGAAGTGGTAAACGTCTGAGACCTTCATCACTTTGGGCTTTCCTCCCACATTAAGCTGACACACCGTGATATAACTGGAATACTGTTTAAACCCAACTCACTCACTCACTCACTCACTCACTCACTCACTCACTCACTCACTCACTCACTCACTCACTCACTCACTCACTCACTCACTCACTCACTCACTCACATCTGTTGAATGTAGATGATTACTTGGGTAAAATATCATCCCGCCCACTGGCCAGTGGTAGAGGAGACAGTTGTTTACCACTTGACTCATACAATATTCAACACAACTTTCCAAGGACATAAGCCAAACTATTTCATTGCTGCTTTTCTTCAGATTACACCATCACTTGCCAAAATGCTGCTACTAACCCACGACTGGAGGAGAGAGTACATCCTGGACGGGTAGGTGCCCTACACCACGTTCCCCTTCACACAACACCTTAACTTTTGTCAGGGGCACAAGGGGCAGTGGGGTAGTGGACTTACGGCAGAACACATGTGCATGCAAAATTTTCTTGAACACAATCTTGAACCCCATTTCCCCTCACCTCACTCCTTCCCCTTTTTGGGGGCGGTTGGGTAGCCTAGTGGTTAAAGCGTTCGCTCGTCACGCCGAAGACCTGGGTTCGATTCCCAGCATGGGTACAATGTGTGAAGCCCCTTTCTGGTGTCCCCCACTGTGATATTGCTCGAATATTGCCAAAAGCGGCTCTCACTCACTCACTCACCATAAGTCCATAATTTCGTTCTTAGGGGCTAATTTTCTATCCAAAGTCTTCATTTCCTGGTGTATTTCACTGATAACATGACCATTAAAAATGATAAAGACAATATTGTACTCGTGTTTGTCGGATTCATTAAAGGAGTAAATATGTACAACCTGTGTCACACATGCTTTCAGGTTCCGTCCCACTTTAAGCATGCATGTTAAGCTGTCATATGGCTGACATACTTTTCTAAGCAGTGGCTATCCCAGCATAGTGGATTATATTGTTGCATTCAGTTAGTTCTGAAGTGGGCATCAAGTTGAAGATGTATATTATCCAGCTCTTACTCCATTATTTGGTTAAGAGATGCTGCATAATGTGTACTCTAAGTTTGAACTATGGAATCTGCAGATAATTTGTCTTGAACATGTTGAGCTTTGGAAAATGATGCCATCTTCCAATTTGTTTTTGTTCTGATCATGAGATAATGAAAGACTATCAGGAAGGTAATTATATTTCAACAACTGGTAACCTAGTAACATAACTTTTGTCATGATTGTTGTTTCTTTCTGTTTCCAGACATCAAAAGGATCCTGCTCAACTTCTTGTCGACTCTAAAATCAGGAGTTCCAAAAAATACGATGTGAGTACCCATGCTGTTCTGTATCAGCTCTGTATGACGAGAACATCAGTGCTACAAACCGGAACTTACCTCCCAGAATAAACTTACCTGTGTTCTTTGTATCTGTACTTGACAGAAGAATACCATAATTTCTTGAGTATAGTGAGCACTTTTTTTCCAAAAAACACAGCTGTGTAGAAGGGGGTGCGCATTATACACGAATTAATGAGTTTTGATGTTTTTTCCCCCATGGAAAGACATTACCGTGAGCACGTAACACCGGAAAAAACATGTCAACAAATCCATACTGAAGTACGCAAATTAGTCATGTAATTGCACTGTCTGGCTATAAAAAGTGTTCTTTGAATATCTTGACTTATGTTTGTAACTTATTTTATTAATTTTATTTAAAGTTCCTTTTAATTTTGTTTTGATTAATTTCGGCGAAATCGTGTGTGAAGCAATCGGAAGATCGCACAACTCACAGCAACCACGGTCGGTTACCGCTATTGACGCCTTGAAACGAATTTTAGTTGACAGAGAATGGATACATATATCATAAATGCCATACTATGAGTCGTTAAAAGTCATATTTGTTTTTGTTGGACGATTCTATGTCAACACGATACTCGCGATCACACGATCACACGATCACATGCACGGGAGCCTTGACGGTGACTGGTCAGACTGATTCCATGTAAAAAATAATACCCGGCAATAGTGATCAGCTGCTTCGCTTAGGGTTATTATTATTTTAAATATGTTTAGTAAAAGCTGCATCTAAATTAACAAGATATTGGAATATATTATTCCTGATAAAAATATAGTTTCAGATACAATTTTTGCCGATCCTTGCATTAAAATCCTGTAAAGTTATATCGTTAGGTGTGACTTGACCGAATCACCGGTAGATTCCAAGAAAACGTGTGTACAGCTGATTGCTGTGTCCGGCTTAGTTTACGAGAAAATACACATGGTAATCTTAATCCCTAGATATAAAACAATGCCTAGCAGAACAAAAAGTACAATTTAAATGGTAAATCAACATGTCTGGTGATTTTTTATCTCGAATTTTGAATTTGTACTGACCAAGTTTCTCATCAACCGTTCGCTTGCCGGACTTCGCTTAAGGGGTGCGGTGTAAATCTTTTATGCGCTTGGTATTCAAAAACATTTTCCAAAATATTGAATGCGCTAGAGTGGGGTGCGCATTATACATGGTACGGTACTTTTGGAGTTTAGTTTTGATGTTCTTATCAACATGATGAATGTTTAATCGTGTGGCCAGAAATATTATTCATAGTCTAATACAACTGCATCAAATGATGATCATAAGTTATTGAAAACAGCTGTCTAACAGAAACAGTGGGCATGTTGTGCATTGTCACTTCTCAGGCAAATGGTAGGTTGTTATCAGTTGTCTTTCAAATGGTACTGTATGCCATTTTTATCAGTTGTCCGACAAGTAGCACTGTATGTCAGTATGGTTTGCCAGAAAAAGGGGGCAAGGGTGGCCCAGTCCTCTAAAGCGTCGCAATTCACTGTGCAGAAATCTATGGTCATGGGTTCGAATCCTGGATTGCCCTGATTATTGTCTCTAGGTTTGTGAGAACTGTTCCCTTGCTTGTGGGTTCCACCAAAGTGGGACTTGAATCATTTCGGGCTTTCGTACCACATTAAGCTGGCATGCTGTGATATAACTGGAATACTGCTAAAACCCAACTCACTCACTCACTCACTCAATGTTCGATAAAGAGTACTGTACATACTGTCAGGATTGCTAATTACTCTCTTTGAATTATAAGACACGAAACTGTCCCAAAGTTGTACATGAGAGGTGTTGCTTTCCTTTGAGAAACTGCCATCTTGGTTGTTACTATGCAAGCAGACAATGTTTTTAAGTTTTATTTCAAGTCTTTGAATAATTTTGATTTCGAAGCCCTCATCATCACTCATTACATACTGTGTGTCATTATCACTTGTCAGACCAATGGTACCATAAGATGTCAGGTAGAGGTTTATTAATTTCATGCCCATTATTTTCCCTCCCATTCTTTCAGGAGATGATGTCAGGCAGCTCCCATGTCTGTCGTGTGTGTGTGTGCCCGAGTCCTAAGGAGAACTTCCACGCCCTCAACTGTGGCCACGCCTTCTGTGCTGATTGTTGGGACATGCATTTCCAAGTCCAGATAAAACAGGGAGTCACTATAGGTGAGTACAGATGGGGGGTCACAGAATCCACATCTCCTTGTGCAGAATTGCCTCCCTTTGTCATTCCAGGAGTCTCTGAATCAAATGGGACCCAGCCGCATCATACCAAAAGACGTTAAAAGATGGTACTTGTTACCCTGCTGGCGCTCGGCTTTAAGTGGCTAAAACAAGGACTGGTCGGCTTGGACACAAGGAAACTTGAATAAATTAAATAGCAACACACATATGGGATAGCACTATATATCACATCTCAGTGGGATAGCACTATATATCACATCTCAGTGGGATAGCACTATATATCACATCTCAGTGGGATAGCACTATATATCACATCTCAGTGGGATAGCACTATATATCGGCCTCAGTCCTGACTAGTACAAGCAGCTCCACACGCATGCACGCACACACGCACGTGTCACTATATAAGTGCAATAATCTTCGACACGATGTTAAGAATCAAATGTGTCAAAGTTGGAATTTTTGAATTTAGTTGGGTAGGGGTCTACATCACATGCAGACAATGATACACACAGATATTTCAATAATACGAAGTATATATTTGGGGGTTTTGTCATGCGGGCCATATATTTGTTTGTGTGTATGTTCCAGGTATCGAGTGCATGGGCAAGGACTGCCCTGTGCTGGTCCCAGAGGACTTCCTGTGCAGTATACTTAGTGATACAACTCTCAGGGACAAATATTCCATGCTCTCCTTCAATGATCTCGTCAAGGTGGGTCCCACTGGTGTCTGTAGCACGTCGTCTAGTTCAGGACAGAATATGTTAGTAATAAGAACTATGATTCATCATTGTCAAGGTTGTTAATGCATTCCAGTGTGAACATGTGAATGTCCTGACCTTGTACTCTTGAGAATTGATCCTCCTGAAGTATGTTTATTAATGGCTACTCTCCATGTGTGAGTGTGTCCAGGATGCAACATTGGTTATGTTGACAGATAAATGTACCGTATATCGCTGTGTATAAGACGACCCCCCTGTACACGCCTTCAAAATCAACCCAAAATCCTATACTCCGTGTATAAGGCGACCTGGAATGAAGCACATCACAAGTTTACTTACTTACTTACTTACTTTGGAGATTTAACGTGCGCTTTCCGACTGATGCGTATTTCGCACACGGGCCCGGCCAGGCCATTTAATGTGTTTCCGAAAGGGGCGAAGGTGGTCTGTGCAACCCAAGAGGGGGGTTTTAGGGGTTGCTTATATAGAATTTGGGAATTTTGAGATTGGAATAGATGCCGATGGGATTGGGGAGGAGAACTAAGGGAGCTGGGTATGGTGGATGTTTGTTTGTTTATGTGATTTTGATTTGGTGAGTTATTGTGTTTTTAGATGCGTTTTATTAGTTCCGTTTTGATTAAGAATACGCCTAAGGCCTTGAAGTTTTCTAGTTTATTTTGTGGGTTTAGTATTGCTTCTAGAGTTAGAGCCTTGTTTAGATTGAGGGTGGTTTGTAATGCGGTTCGATGTGTTAGGTAGTGTGTGCAGTGGATGAGTGCGTGTTCTGGGGTTTCTGGTTGTTTGCAGTGTGGGCAGTTACCTGTAGTGTGTTTTTTAAATTTTTTTAGGTGGTTATTTAGGTTGGTGTTTCCTGTTTGGAGTTTAGTGATTACTCTGTCGATTTTTTTGGATGGATGGAGAATTTTTGGTTTGGTTAGTGGTTTGCTGAGCACTTTTTTGATTTGGCTATTTGAGTTTAGATATAGGTTATGCCATTTTTTGGTGATTTTTTGCTTGTTTACACTTTTAATTTCTGATTTTGAGATGGGTAAGTTTAAGCTTATTTCTGGGATTTTGAGTGATAGTGCGCACACAAACCTTATATATGCAATAAAAATATGTTTATCTTGCGTTGTTTTTTCTACAATGATAGGTCGCGTGTGTAACTCCAGCACACGTCGCCATTTTGTGTTTACACGGTACGACACCAAATTGGTGCCCGTAAAATAAAATTCATTTATGAAGTAATAACATATAACAGACAATGGTGAGTAATTTAATCGCCAATTAACTATGTTGTAACTAACTAGGCTTATGTTTGCTTCACATTCAGCGTGTTTATTCCACAATCACTTGTACACACCGTCTCCAACACTTGTTAATACAACTGTAAAAACAGCGGGAATTGATTTCAGCTTCACCGGTTATCACATGTTAGGTCACATGTGCAATATGCAAATGCTTACCGGTACTTCCGGCTCTCTCCTCACGGATGTTGATTGTTTTACTGTGTCAGGTGGTTTGACCATCTGCATCGAGGCGAGGGTCATTTCAACTTTATTTGCAGAAATTATTAAACTTTATTCAAGGAAAAGAGATACAAATCATGTTTATGTATGGAAATAGTTATTGGAACAGTTATTTAGGACGAAATGCGAAGTTTTATTGTCAAATGCTGGGCTGGCTATCGGACGCCGGTTGACATCGCGAGTGGAAAAAAATGTGAGATCTTCGACTCCGTGTATAAGACGACCCCCCTTCTTAACCCCCTCATTTTAGGTATGAAAAACTCGCCTTATACACAGCGATATACGGTACCTACATTTTGGATCTCCTGACACAGGATGAAATTAGTAGAAAACATTATCTGTGTGCTTCATTTGAAGGTCTGTAATTGATAGATTGAAATATTGATGTATCAAGATAGTTTGTCTTCCAGTTCTGTCATTCACAAAAAGTACACAAAACAAGTAAGAGGCGACTAACGGGATCGGGTGGTCAGGCTCGCTGACTTGGTTGAAGCATGTCATCGATCCCAATTGCGTGAATCAATGCCCATGATATCAATCACTGGATTGTCTTGTCCAGACTTGATTATTTACAGACCGCTGTCATATAGCTGGAGTATTGCTGAGTGCGGCGTTAAACAACAAACAAACAAACAAATACAATTACTACACCTTGAACATTATGAGGATATATGCTGAAAATAGCATGATATGAAACGTTGACATGTTTTAAATCTAATAATTTTCCTCTATTTTACACTACATGGATTAATACTGCAATTTCATGTGTACCTACATATGATGCTTTTGTCTAATTAGCTTATATCTGTGTTTACCTGAAGTGCTCTGTTTACAGAACCACCCGCAATTGAGGTTCTGCCCAGGTGCTAACTGTTCGGTGATTGTTCGTGCCAAGGAGTCCCTTGCTAAGAAGGTGCTGTGTTCCCAGTGTAACAACTCCTTCTGGTGAGTGAAGAAACATGTTACATGCTGTCTGCCTTGGTTTTTGTCTCTTCCTGAATAATGTGATGCCCCTGTCATATAATGCTCCAGAATTGGCTGTGCAGAGTTGCATCTCTTAGTCATGCCAGGATCTGCTGACCCTGGTTTGAATACCAGATTCAAACTGATCATAAAAGCAATGCCAAAAACCTTGATCATGGGTTCGTATCCTAGTTTGCCCAGGCTATGTTTCTAGGTTTGTCAGCACTAGACCCGTGCTCGTGGGTTTCCCAAAAGTGGTAGCATCTGAAACCTGCATCAGTTTGGGCTTTCCTCCTACATTGAGCTGACACACTGTGATATATCTGAAATTCTGTTCAAAGCAGCGTTAAACCCAACTCATGCACTCACACCTATATATGGTTAAAAATTCAAGTCTACACACATCCAAAACTTATCAACACTTTGACTGATAATGCAAATGTTGAAGGCAAGCAGGAGGATGATTTCTGTGTTTGATTTCAGTTTCCGCTGTGGTAACGAGTACCATGCCCCCACCGACTGTGAAACAATCAAGCGCTGGCTCACAAAGTGTGCAGACGACTCTGAGACAGCCAACTACATCAGCGCCCACACAAAAGATGTAAGTGTCCATGCTTGTCCAACTGTGGGGAGTCTAGGGCAGTGTAGATCCCCAGTATCCATGCTTGTCTCTCTGTGGGGAGTCTAGGGCAGTGAGATCCCCAGTATCCATGCTTGTCTCTCTGTGGGGAGTCTAGGGTAGTGTAGATCCCCAGTGACCATGCTTGTCTCTGTGGGGAGTCTAGGGCAGTGTAGATCCCCAGTGACCATGCTTGTCTCTCTGTGGGGAGTCTAGGGCAGTGTAGATCCCCAGTATCCATGCTTGTCTCTCTGTGGGGAGTCTAGGGCGGTGAGATCCCCAGTACCCATGCTTGTCTCTCTGTGGGGAGTCTAGGGCGGTGAGATCCCCAGTGACCATGCTTGTCTCTCTGTGGGGATGCTAGGGCAGTGTAGATCCCAAGTACCCATGCTTGTCTCTTTGTGGGGGTTCTAGGGCAGTGTAGATCCCCAGTACCCGTGCTTGTCTCTCTGTGGGGATTCTAGGGCAGTGTAGATCCCCAGTGACCATGCTTGTCTCTCTGTGGGGATGCTAGGGCAGTGTAGATCCCCAGTGACCATGCTTGTCTCTCTGTGGGGATTCTAGGGTGGTGAGATCCCCAGTGACCATGCTTGTTTCTCTGTGGGGATGCTAGGGCAGTGTAGATCCCCAGTATCCATGCTTGTCTCCCTGTGGGGATTCTAGGGCAATGTTGATCCCCAGTACCCATACTTGTGTCGCTATGGGGAGTCTAGGGCAGTGTAGATCCCCAGTATCCATGCTTGTCTCTCTGTGGGGAGTCTAGGGCAGTGTAGATCCCCAGTATCCATGCTTGTCTCTCTGTGGGGAGTCTAGGGCAGTGTAGATCCCTAGTACCCATTCTTCAGTGTGGTTTACCAGTACCTCATGCTAGTATTGCTAGACCCATGGTTTTCAGTGATATATCAATAATCTTTTTTGCGAAAATAAGTAAAAAATCGTGAATTTGTGAATGTCATATTACGGTCACATTATACAATATAATACATATGGCTTCATCTTGTCTCATTCACAGTGTCCAAAGTGCCATGTATGCATAGAGAAAAATGGAGGATGCAACCATATGGTAAGTTATCAGTGATCATGGTTCACCGGCATCGACAATGGGGACATCCTTGACGTGGTAGAGTTTCTAGATGAAAACAACCATACTGATAATACTCATGATACTTGGGGAATTTGAAAGTTCTGAATATCTGAAAATATTCATAGGTAATATGCCATAAGAGATTTCTCAAGTCTGACTATGCAAGTCATGGTGTTCGAAATGAAACATTGTCATCATGGCCGTCGCCCCAAAGTTAAAAGTTTAAGATATAGGTGTCCCTTGGTTGAAATACTGTAGCAGCAAACCTCAAGGCCCCCCTTCAGTTAAACACTGACAATATATGGGCTATCTGTTCATATTTCATCCTAGTATTCACCTTTATTAAGCAAGATTAGTCCTGGGGCCTTTTCCACAAAGAATCGTAACTCTACACCTGCTATATCGCTTGTCATCCATTTTCAGCAATGTTCCAAATGCAAGTATGACTTCTGCTGGATGTGTCTTGGAGGTGAGTAATCTTGTGGGTAGATTCGTAATGAAACCTTGAAACACCCCGGTTGGTATTCCGGACTAGATGCTGGTCATAAGGTGTGACCAAATGGATGAAATGGTCAGGCTCAGTGCCTTGGTTTATTGCATGACATCATGTCGTCATGTCGTCATACCCTAATGGTGTGGATCATTGCTCACTATATCCATCGCTGTATTGTCTTGTCCAGTTTCGATTATTTATAGGCCGCCATCATATGGCTTGAACATTGTGTGGCAGAACACACACTCACCCACACAATACAAAAAGACATACAGGAAAAAGTAGTTGGTCATCTAAACTTACCCTCTTGAAATATGGCGTTCCAATTCCCACCTTATTCTACGTGATGCTGTTCTGTATATCATTCAAGAAGTCTGGACGTTATTTACACACCACAACACAACACAACAAACACACTCACTTCAATAGGGGTTCACCAAACCATGAAGTCACATCATCTTAAACTATGTATCGGCTAAGTGGAGTTTTGATGTTTACTGTACTGTGCTTGTTATGGAGTGATTGGCTATGCAACAATATAAAGGACTGCTTCCGTGGTGTATCGGCTAGAGTGTCTGCCCGGAGAGCGGAAGGTAGATGGTTTGATCCCTGGTTGCATCATACCAAAAACTGTTACTTGTTGGTACCCTGCCTGGCCCTCAGCATTTTGGTGATAACAAAGGACTGGTCAACTCTGAGTCAGTATTCTGTGTCTGATTGGGGTATATATGTGAGTGAGTGAGTGTGAGTGAGTTGGGTTTAACGCCGCTTTTAACATTATTCATATCACGGTGTGTCAGCTTAATGTGGGAGGAAAGCCCAAAGTGATGCAGGTCTCAGACGTTTACCACTTCGGTGAAACCCACGGGCATGGGTATGGTGCTGACAAACCTAGAAACATAATCGGGGCTCCGGGATTCGAACCCACAATCATAGGTTTCTGGCGTGCCCAAGGGACGCAACTCTGCACAGCGAATCGCAGCGCCTTAGACGACTGGGCCACCCGTGCCCCCTTATATATGTTAAGCTGCTTCTGTGTTACTGCTGTCACCACTACTGTGTCTGTCTCCCTAGACTGGAAGGCCCATGGGAGTGAGTACTACGAGTGCAGTCGTTACAAGGAGAACCCCAACATTGCCAACGAGTCTGTGCTGGTGCAGGCCCGGGAGGCGCTGAAGAAATATCTGTTCTACTATGAGCGGGTGAGTCATCTGTCTTCATTGACACAGCATGCTTCTTGTCTATCTGCTCCATGTCCACACAGTAGGTCACTGTGACTGAGTTAATGGTCATTTCAGCTTTCATGTTCCCTTGGTGAGAATTTTTGGCAGATAGCAGCCTGACCCTGCATTCACTATCAGAAGAGGTGGCGGAAGTGAGGGCAAAATCATCCTCTATATCTCCATGGCTCACATTTCACATTTCAACCTACACTCACTCCTAGATCCATACCCTTGGTTCTTGTGATCTCAAATAACCTGCCATTGATTTTCATTATCCAATTTGATTTGCTATGCTACTCAGACTAAGGGACCAATCAGAATGCGAGTTAGAAATCAGGCTCAATGTTGGGTTGGCGATATCAACAACATGGCAGTCAGTCCCATGATTCCAAAAAAAGTGACTGACACACAAAAGAAAGCCTTCAAACATCTTTCTAATGGAAAGGATGTCTTCATGTCCATTAATACTGGTAGTGCTTTTGTCTCTAGGCAATACGAGTGATCTCCCTTACCTATTTCCATTTTCCTCGACTCAACGTTTGATTGGTTGGTAAACAGTTATTGAAAGTTAAGGGCGGGTAATTTGAGATGGCGAATACAACAGGAATGGATCCAGGGGTTAGTGTTGATTACCAAAATGTGAGCCATGGAGATACAGAGGATGGGTCAAAACTTGTGACTTGGTTAAATTTGACAGCATTGACAAATTGTTAAGAATGGACAATCAGTCAAAACCAGGTTCTTGCCTGTACCACTTGTTGAGTCCCGTTAAATGCTGCTTCTGTCTGTTGGACTCTTAATGATTAGAGAGTGTCTGAAGTTCTTTATTGTTACCATGGTTACCTGTTCACAGTGGGAGAATCATGCCAAGAGTCTGAAGCTGGAGGAGCAGACGTTGATGAAGATCCGATCTCGCATCCAGGACAAAGTGATGACGAACGAGGGCACGTGGATAGATTGGCAGTACCTCCTTGATGCAGCCACGCTGCTAAAGAAGGTCAGTCTTAAACACATATCCTTTTGACAGTTGCAAGATTCAAACTGTGAACATGGTGAAGATACGGCTGAGAATACATGGAATAGGTCTTCAGCAACCCATGCTTGTCGTTTTTATTTTCATTTTCAAAAAAATGTAAAAATCCTAATACTTAAACACAATGCACAAAAAAATGGAAACAAAAGCAAAACGTGCAATGAACTTAACAGTGCTTAATGATGATGTGGGCAGTGCCTGAGAACCAAGACTATTATTTTTTTAGTCTTATGCTCAAGATTTATGTTATTTGTAGCAACCTATGTAAGCAGTTTTTTTGTCCTTCTGGGGGCTGAAATAGGGTTAAAGTACAGGCATGGTTGGTGGCCTAGCAGTAAATGTATGCACCAGTCACGCACAAACTCGGGTTTGATCGCCAATTTATGCCAAGCCCATCTGAAAGTGGTGAGACCAGACTTATTCATCCTCTCTCTCTCTAATGTACACTGATGGAGGAGAATCCTCTGTCCCCCAATACAAGGTGTGTTATCTTGTTGTCTGCCTTCCAGTGCCGATACACTCTGCAGTACACGTACCCCTACGCATACTACATGGACAAGGGAGGACGCAAGCAGCTGGTAAGATGATTTGTACAAACAGTGTCTGTGTAATAGAAACTAGTAATTATTAGGGATGGGTATTGGTGGTTTAAAGTGTATCACAATATTTTGCGATACACAAGGCCGTATTGCGATAAGTAACGATATATTCTATAATTCCAAAATTTGAATTCAGAAAAATCTGAAACATCAATGTATGGATGGAAGTTCACACATAGAACAAAAAAGGATGCTGGTACAACAAAATGTTTACTCATTTAACAAATATGCAGCCATTTTGAGGCCCTGGATGCATGCTCCGGGGCAGCGAAGGTATTTGTCAAGTGTATGACATGAAACACATGATAAAAGTCGCAATTTCAAATCACCCGATATACTGAGCATGAAAAGAATATATTGTGATACGTATCGAGGAAAGAATGATCCTCAATTTACCGATATACCAGTAATACCCTGCACCCTTAGTCATCATTGTATCTTAATTTTATTGTTGTAACCTCAAATGATCTTTATATTAAAGAACAGAAGTAATCCCATTTGAAAAGAGAATCTGTAATCCCACCATAACATAGCATTATTGAAAAGATACATCATGACATGACTGAAAGCGGCCTGCAAACTGTGTGTGTGACATTGTGTCTCTCTCTCTCAGTTTGAGTACCAGCAGGCACAGCTGGAGGCGGAGGTGGAAAATCTTTCCTGGAAGGTGGAGAGAGCTGAGATTACAGATAGAGGGGTAGGTAAACCAGTAACAAAGGTGTCACATCCTGGGAAGGAGCTTGCCAGTACAGCAGGCTCCTCACAGTGATAGCCCATTCGCGGAGCTCTCTATACTATCGCTGCCACCAGTCAAAACTGGTAGGTGGCCCCAACTATGCATGGAGTTGAACTCGCAACCGAATGACTGTTATGTTTACAAACAAGTGACGATTGTCGTGACGCCGAATACACTTACCCCTGCTAAATTACTTTCTTAGTTTGTCAATTTGAATTTCTATTTCATTAAAACTATCATATAATTGATAAATTATGAATGTAAGGGAGAAGTTGGTTGATTTTCCGTTATCTCGAACCAATCTGATTATACAAACAACAAATTAAATTCATCTGGAAAACGAAGCGATGTTACCAAAAGTGTAACAAAGGCGTCAAGCGCTGGGAAGGAGCTTGCCAGTACCAATTAGGGGGGGGAGATAACCCAGTACATATAGAAGGGACATAATCCTGTACAGATTAGAGGGGAGATAACCCTGAACAGCTAGAATGGTTTGGTTTTAGAGTTGCTTTGAACAGTTTTTCAGTTCTATCACAACATGTCAGCTTTTTTGTATGCAGCTCTTAAATGTATACAGTGAGCAGGGGTATGGTGCTGACATATTCAGGGCAAATCTTGGATTTGAGCCCCACAATTTCTATAATCAAAGGTTTTTGGAACATCGAAGTAACTCTGCACAGCAATTTGCTTAGACAACTGGGCCACCTGGACCTCAGGACCATATGTACTGGTGTTCTTGCTTGCTACACGACACAACTACAATAAAGATTGAATGGTTACAATGTGTGATGCAGCTGAAAGAGCATCAACTCAACTGGTAGAGGTGTGGTCAGATAATCTAGTGGTAAAGCGTGCGCTCGGCAGGTCAAAAGGCCGGGTTTGATTGCCCACATGGTTACAATGTGTGAAGCCATTTTCTGGTTTCCCCCGTTGTGATATTGCTGAAATATTGCTCTTAGTGGTATTAAACCATACTCACTCACTCACTGACACAGATGCTCATGCTGTCAGCCACGGGTTTGCTTGGTCAGTCACATGTTCATGTGTAGTCAGTCTTATACAAACCTGTGGAGACAACACCAGCTTTTGTGGTTGTATTTCCCACCTTGTATTGTGTACAGTATGTGATAGTGATGATTTGATTGTTTCAGGACCTAGAAAACCAGATGGATATCGCAGAGAAGAGGAGGCTGACCTTGCTAAAGGATTTCCTTCAAGTTGCTTAACAAGGGCTACAAGTTGTTTTATGTTATTTAAGTCACCTGTAAATCATAATCACTGAATTGTCAAGCTGTTCATGAAAGTTGTCCTCATCTTCCTCACACAAATATCAGAAAAGCGTTAGAAAGTACTGTCATACACAAAATCAAAATAAATCCCAGATTTTCCCCAGGCTGCTTAGTCACCTTCAGGCTATGGTCACGGCTTTCATTTATTGGTGTAATGACTTCGAGCTTCCTCTCACGAAAATACTATCACTGCCAGGATCTCGCTGTCATATAGAATGCAATTTGCAAAACTGGACTTCCAAAAAAGATGGATCCTCTTTAAAGGTGGTTGTACTTCAAGGCTTCTGTGTTAACAAGCCGTCTGTATTATGAGGTGTCTGCATTACAAGGTGTCTGGATCACAAAATATCTGTATTACAAGGTGCCAGTTTTACACACTGCCGCTTTTATGTGTGGTCTGTATTACGTGGTGTTAGTGTTAGAAACTGCCTGTATAACGACATATCTGCATTACAAGGTGCCTGCATTATTGACTTTCTGTATAACATGGGGTCTGCATTACAAGGTGCCAGTGTTACAGACTGCATGGGGTTTGTATTACTAGGTGTCTGCATTACAAGGTGCCAGTGTTACAGACTGCATGGGGTTTGTATTACTAGGTGTCTGCATTACAAGCTGCCAGTGTTACAGACTGCATGGGGTTTGTATTGCTAGGTGTCTGCATTACAAGGTGCCAATGTTACAGACTGCATGGGGTTTGTATTGCTAGGTGTCTGCATTACAAGGTGTAGATATTTGTGGTGGAAGATGAGGGTTGTTGTTAGTTTTGTGTGGAACGAAGCAGTGTAAATACTGATGTAAGATATTGTGTTTCTGTATCCAACATGCTGCATGGATGTGCTGAATCCAGTACTGATGGATGTTTGACTACTTTGTTATATCAGGGATGCAGATGTTTACTTTATAACCTCAGATGTGACCTGGTCTTAAGGGGAGACTTTCCCCACATTCTGCCAACATGGTTACTTTATAACCTCAATTACAGTATATGCTTGTCTTAAAGGGAGACTCCCTCACATTTTTCTTAGATTTTATGACCTCAGTTACAGTATAAACTTATTATAAAGGGAGACTTCCCTACGTTCTTTGAAATCTTTATGACCTCAATTACTGTACAGACTTGTCTTAAAGGGAGTCTCCCCTTACATTCTTCCCAGGTTTTATAACCTCAGTTAAAGTATGGATGCATCTTAAAGGGAGACTTCTCCACATTCTTCCAAAACTTATAACCTCAATTACTGTACAGACTTGTCTTAAAGGGAGACTTCCCCACTTTCTGCCCAGATGTTTACTTGATGACCTCAATTACAATATGTTCTTGTCTTAAAGGGAGACTCACCCACATGCTGCCTCAGTTACCATGGTTACATTATAGATTAGTCTTAAAGAGATACTGACACCTGCACCTGTAGCCTGCATCGGATGAGCCCCACGTTGCTGTAAACACAAATACTCAGCTTTCCAGGGTGAAGGATTGTCTCCCTTTCAGCTGATTAGTATGGTATTAGCTATGGTGAAACATGTTATGCTACACAGGAATATTCCATTGTCCGCAGATACCATTGTCTGACCATGAGTGGTTATGGGGTGTGTTTTCTAGACTTGTTAATTCCTTGTAGGTATTTATCATTCAAACAAAAACTTTGTAATATACTACTTAAGAGAAATTAAAGAACATCCAATTCTTTCTTATTCCTATAGTTGATCTGTCATGGCATGTTCGGGTGTTCTTTAACTGCTTTTGAGTAGAAAAAGTTTAAGAACTCCAGATTCTTTCATTTTACTGTAGTTAATTGGGGGCAGTCGTCTAATGCGCGCCAGAAACCTATGATTGTGGGTTCGAATCCTGGTTAGCCCAGATTATGTTCCTAGGTTTGTCAGCACATGGGTTTCACCACAGAAGTGGTAAATGTCTGAGAGCTGCATCACTTTGGGCTTTCCTCCCACATTAAGCTGACACGCCGTGATATAACTTGAATACTGTTAAAAGCTCACTCACTCACTCACTACTGTAGTTGATCTGTTATGGTAGGACAGGGATTATTTCATATATTAGAAAGCTAACCTGTCATGGCATGACAGATAAACTTGTTTAATATGAAAGAATTGGGCTTTCTTTAATTTCTTTTGAGTAATATAGATAAACCTAGGCCCTTTTTTAGTTATCCAATATTAATTGCAGGTGAACCTAAGACGTTAGATGTGTGGTGTTTTGTTTTGTCGACAAGGCGCAGTGAGCACCACAGGTCATACTTCCAGTACCACACACACTCCTGACACACAGTTATATGAAGGGCCGACCGTTGGATATTCTGGGAGGTGCTTTGGATTTAGTATGGAGACTAGATATTCTGGGAGGTGCTTGGGATTTAGTATGGAGACTAGATATTTTTTCACCTGCAGCTGCAAAACCAGATATATTTTTTGTAATTAAACTTTTAAGCCTGAATATGTTTATAAGAATATCACCTTGCAAAAAAGTAGACAATTTCTCTTGAACAGTTGAAGCCTTATTGTTTTTCACGATTTTTCGGGGACAGTTTTTTTTTATGAAGTTCCACGCGCTCCTTCTTCTATTCTCCTCCCTCCCATCCAGAATATCAAATGGTTGGCCCATAACTCGAATACTGTTCTAAGTGATGTAAAACCTAACTAACTCACTCGTAGGTTTACAGGAGTACTTTGGTTTAAACAGATATCCTGCATTCCATGGAAGTGAATTTCAGTTGTTAGTTACAGACTTGTTGAAATTATATTTCTCTGTACTTTGTTCAGAAATATTAGCATGCATTTGTTCTGTTTGTTTAGTTATGTATTGTGAGTTTATATCATTGTAGATAGAATTGTACAGGATACCATAGATCAATATCCTGCTGATATGTATAAATGCAGAAAAAAATGCCCCCACCCCACCCCAAAAATGCCATCGTGACGTATATAAAACATTAAAAAAAATCTATTGAATTTATGAGTCAGCCATTTCTGTAGCAAGTGTTGAGGTATCTAAACTCTTTCTTCAGCGGTATGCCATTCAACCAAAGAAAGACAATTCATCATCTTTATTTTCAAGATCTTCTGTCTCTGTTCCTGTGAGTGAAGAGTGGAAGAAAGTGTAAGGGAATACAAGTTTCACATTACCATGATGACTTTCATGTGTAAACAGCTACTCACTTTGAAAGTATGTTTAGCTAAATGACGGCTACTAACTAGTGAAATATGTTTAGCTAAATGACGGCTACTCACTAGGGAAATATTTTTAGTTAAATGACGGCTTCTAACTAGAAAAGTATGTTTAGCTAAATGACAGCTACTAACTATGGAAATATTTTTAGTTAAATGACAGCTACTAACTAGGGAAATATGTTTAGCTAAATGACGGCTACTCACTAGAAAAATATTTTGCTAAATGACAGCTACTCACTAGGAAAATATGTTTGGCTAAATGACAGCTACTCACTCGGGAAATATTTTTTGTTAAATGACGGCTACTAACTAGGAAAGTATGTTTAGCTAAATGACGGCTACTAACTAGGAAAGTATGTTTAGCTAAATGATGGCTACTAACTATGGAAAGTATGTTTGGCTAAATGACAGCTACTCACAAGGAAAGTATGTTTGGCTAAATGACAGCTACTCACAAGGAAAGTATGTTTGGCTAAATGACAGCTACTCACTAGGAAAGAATGTTTGGCTAAATGATGGCTACTCACTAGGAAAGAATGTTTGGCTACATGATGGCTACTCACTAGGGAGATATGTTTATCTTAGCTGTGTTAAACCCAACTCAAGATTTTTCAAGTCTTATCAGGACACTTTAGCTCTGAATGTTTAAAATATTCAAAAGAATGATTGTATGTTTGTCGTTGTGTAAATATAATCCTGAATTTCTTACCAGCATTATAGACACTGCTCTTGTAGCCACTTGAGTTGCTCTATCTACTGTACTTAGCTTATACTGCCACAATGAGTGTACTTGCTGAACAGTGGATGTTACGTTACGTCTCATCCGCCAAGGGAATGGAGAACCGTCAAACAGTTTGGACAATCATATGTTGATATATTTTCTAAAACAGCCTTGAGAACTGGAGTCATTTCTGTTACACAGGAAGATAAAAATGTAATTTGACTTGGTTGAAACATGCCTCAATGTCAAATAGCATTTGGCAACCACCATACATATATTGAGAGGAGGGGGATGGGATTTTTGAGAGACAGGACAATTATTTAGGTTACTGCTTCGAAACATACATTTTCTGAACAGTTATATTTTTCACAAACACTTATTTTTAGGACTTCCAGCATGTGTGAAAACCTGAGTCAAAGTGGAACAAATTATTGTTTTCAGAAATATACCAGTAACCCCCGAAATATGATATATTCCTCTTACTGGACTGGGGGGCACGGGTGGCCCAGTCGTCTAAGGCGCCGCGATTCGCTGTGCAGAGTTGCGTCCCTTGGGCACGCCAGAAACCTATGATTGTGGGTTCGAATCCCGGTTCGCCCCAATTATGTTTCTCGGTTTGTCAGCACCATACCCGTGCTCGTGGGTTTCACCGAAGTGGTAAACGTCTGAAACCTGCATCACTTCGGGCTTTCCTCCCACATTAAGCTGACACGCCGCGATATAACTGGAATACTGTTAAAAGCGGCGTTAAACCCAACTCACTCACTCACTTACTGGACTGTTAACACATGGACATTGTACATCCAGAAACATGGGGATATCTAAAAATGGGCAGCTGATTATCAACCAAGCTGTAATTGGGACGACAAATATGTTGGTCCTTGTGACGGAAACATACAAAGAAGGACTTTATGGCTATCTCTGCTTGCCTTTTTTTCCTCATATTTGTTTTTTCATCGGTGAAGTGCTGAGGCAAGTTCCAAACAACATAGTTTCATATGATTCATTGATGTTGCGAACCTTTTAATTCAAAAAGGAATCTTCTCAACAGTATTGGGCATTTGGGTAGCCTGGTGGTTAAAGCATTTACTCATCGAGCCAAGGTCCGGGTTCGATTCCCCACGTGTGTACAATGTGTGAAGCCCTTTCTGGTGTCCCTACCGTGCTAAAAGTGGTGTAAAACTACACTAAATCACTCACTCAGTAGTACGGATGATACCCAGGTCGTAGGGTGGTTACAGTGAATTGATTACCTCTGATCTGAACTACTCTGCATTCACTAGCTGCAACGTACCCCACATCATCATCACTGGCTGCAACGTACCCCACATCATCATCACTGGCTGCAACATACCCCACATCATCATCACTGGCTGCAACATACCCCACATCATCATCACTGGCTGCAACATTTCAGTGATGAACTGTAGTTAAGGGTTGAGTGTTTGAAAACGATGAGTTTTGTGGGCTGTTAAACCAACAATCTTCACATATTCTCCCCAATTTTTCATAGAAACTTTCCTCATTTAACACCTTGGCTTTGTGTACAAAAGTAGCTAATTTCAAAATAGAATTTGCAGATATTGAAAGGTATGTCTTGTGCAAGTAAGGATTTTAATTTGTGAGTTGAGATTTGTACGAAAATGTCAGAAAAAAATCTAGAATGAATCTAATTTCAAAATGTTGAGTCTTTAGAAAGTGAGAAATTTGAACTGTGTATATATTTGGATATGTCTCATTTCTCATTTGATTTGTTTTTCATAATTATCGGTAATGAATATATCTAGAGCACATGTACATTCTTTTAATGTATTTATACAAACGTGTCAAAACAGATTTGTAAAATCTGGTTTAATATCAATTCTGTTGAATTAATAAACTGTGAAACGAAACAAGCACCTGTTTTCAGAATGAATCCCATGTAAAAGGAACATCTGCATTGACCAGCCTGTCTCTTGATGCAGCCTCACACTAGCACACCGAGGTGGCCATTGATAATGACTTGGAATACAGTATCATACCTAGTTTGTCTTATGTGTTGCCTCAAATACAACTGGGAATGTCTTGTATAATTAATAGCCAAGAATGAGAATTTTCGGCCCATCCATGTAATTCCATGGATTTTGTTACATCAAGGGTAGCTTTTGTTTGTTGTTAAACACCACACTTAGCAATATTCCAGCTATATGACAGTACTCTATAAATAATCAAATCTGGACCAGACAATCCAGTGACTGACATCATGAGCATTGATCTACGCAATTGGGATACGATGACGTGCCTAAACCAAGTCACCTAGCCTGACCACCCAACCCTGTTAGTCGCCTCTTACAACAAGCATGGACAGCTGAAGATCAATTCTAACCAGGAATCTCCATGGTTTTTTTTAGGTTTCTTCAAGATAATAACTTTTGTAATACACGCCATTACAATGTACGCACTTCCCTTCACCTCTTTTATCTCAGGGAAACTTCTTTTCCAAGGAAAAGTATATTTTAACCTCCCTTGATTCCATCAAATTGATATCAGCAGCTCTTTGATATATTCAAAACTCCCAATCAAAGAAAGCAGTTTGACTGGTTGTCCAAAATTATGTTTGTTTGTTGTTGAATGCCGCACTCAGCAATATTCCAGCTATATGACGGCAGTCTGTATTTTTTGGTTATGACGGCAGTCTGTATTTTTTGGTTTGGTTTGTTTATCGCCCCACTCAGCAATATTCCAGCTATACGACGGCGGTCTGTAAATAATCGAGTCTGACAACCCAGTGATTTACATCATGAGCATCGATCCACGCAGTTGGGATACAATGACATGCATCAACCGTCCAAACTAATGAGAGAGAAAGTCTGTACTAGGTCATGGAGAAGAGAGATGGTTATGTCACTTCCAAAATGAGGCGTTGGTGGCGAATGAGTCCCATCATAATAGAAGGGAGATATAATACACTGGATAATCGATGCATTCCACCTCTCTATCATTTCATCCAGATGTGCACAATGTACCTCCATTACAACTAGCATAGGATACTGGGACAAACTTTACCCACAATCCAATCATGTTTTCTCTCAATGTCTTGGTGACAGTGATAAGTAAGTGTGGACCAGATATCCAGTGATTGATGTTACCGTATTCGACGTAATAAGCGCCATGGCGATATTTGCCAATATATTGGCTAGTGAACAATCCCAATTAGCTCCCTTCCGACTGATCAATGTACACAATTTGTGTACATTTATTTGTGTATAATACGCACTCAGGTGTTATATGCACCCTTAATTACGGGCAATTAAATTATGGGAAAATATATCTGTCGTGTATAATACGCACAGACTTTTACTTTTGTATCATTTCAGGCTGTATCATTTACGATCTTTCGACTCTTTCACCAAAATTATATTCTAATAAGAGCCCCCTATTTCTAATTTTGAGAGCGCCCTGGGCATCCCACACTGTTTGTACAGTACAGCCCATTACAGTAAAGTTCAGACCAGCACTACACGGTACAATGTTTGTTTCTTGTTTGAAGCCACACGCAGCAATGTTCCAGCTATATGACAGCCGCCAGACCAGACAATCCTGTGAATGATATTATGAGCAACAATCTAAGCCGTCAGAGTATAACAATGACAAACAATCAAACAAATCACTGAGTCTGACCACCCATTTCACAATGGGAAACTTGGCCCAACTGCCATCAGTGACAATACAGACAAGTGTAATAGTTGATGTTTTTATTGCTCTAAGAGTAAGTATACATTAAGTGAAATGAAACATGTTGAAAAACTTCTTGGATTATCAGTTGTGCAAATATTCTTGTGGCAAAGACAGTCCGTATTTGAGTTGACATAAAAAAATAATCACATAAACCACAATGCTCTCTGGCCAATCAGGTCTCCTTTCATGAGAACTTTAGATATTGGACATCGCAATCAGCATGTCTTAACATATAACAAGCATTTGACATTAAAAAAACTGCAATGAAAATAAAATAAACTTAATATCAACAAATCTGGCCTTTTTTTATAGTAAACAGATAGGCAATACCAAACAAAATAGTGTATCTTAATCTGTCAAAGTCATGGAAGTATTTTTGTCAAAGGGAGAATTCGTAAGTGTTGGTTGTCTTCGATAATTGAAACATGGTATGTCAAACAAATGCACAGCAATGCAATAAACACATCAAATATCCTAGATCATAAACTGTAACCATGGTTATGGCACCTTAACAAAATACACACTTTTCCTGAAAAATGTTCATGTATGAATTTTAAAGTCTCGTGGACAAAATAATCAATGGCTTTGTCTGATCCTGACATGACTGCCTTGGTACTGGTGAAAAAAATCGGCAAATTGATTTATAATTTACTCAATCTCCAACCAAACAAACCTATTTCATCACAGTACCATGTAATTTTATACTGGGAATAGAAACACTTTTGCATTGGCCCAAATTCAACTGAGAGACACATTGAAAAGATTTCAATTTAAAATATATTGATACCAAATCTGCCATTAAAAGTCAATGAAAGGAAATAATTTTAAACAAACTTTCACATTACAAGATGCATCATGGAGAATATATACATATATACAAGTAAGGTATTATCACCAACCCTAAGCTTAATAAGCCGGCAATATCTGAATGAAAGCATCATATCAGTGACAAATGTCTGTGTCAAGAAATATTTTGGGACATCACTTAGTCATCCCATTCATCATCATCACATTCATCGTCTTCATCATCATCGTCATCTTCATCATCTGAAAAAAGATCATTCATTCATTTACTGGTACTTTATCATGTTAATACTGACTCGTGCACTAACCAAACTCAGGCTCTCTCCATCTTCCTGAGGCAAGGGAGTTAACTGACTATAAAAGTCCCGTTTCCACCCTTGCCCAACTAGGCTGGTATTATGGAGTTATGTTTTGGCTGGACTAACGAGTCTAGGCATAGTTCAATCAAAATCGCGCAATGAAATCGAAATCTGGTTCGTAAACTGTCATGCAGATTTCGGTCAATTACAGGATTTGCAAAACATGTGCACCGCCAACTCTTGGTCAACAGATATTTTCCAAATCTTTTCATGTTTTTAATCAAGGTGCTCACGTGATTAATGAAATCGTCTTGACTGGATGCCAAAATTTTGTTTGAAGCAAATGCAAGTGACACTGAGAGATGGAATCTGATTGGTCCATAGGAGAGGCATAGAAGGGACATAACTCATAATAACCACTGGTGGCGCTACGATCGAGCCCAGGAATTCCAGCCTAGTTCGGGAAGGGTAGAAACTGGACTTTTAAAGTCAGTTAACTCCCTTGCCTCGAGAAGATGGGCTGACTCAGAACAAATGAGAAAGGAGGTCATAAAAGAATGTTTTCATAAACATTTCATCATAATAATGATAAAAGTAGGTCATCACCAAATTAAATCTACAGAGTCAAATGAGAACCATGGCTGGTCTGCAAGCGCATACCCACTGCCCCATCCAACTCTAGCCACAAAGACGTTTCATGATTGTTTTAATGCCATACACTGCATTAGTCCAGACATATGATTGCGGATGGCAAATAATCAGGTCTGGACCAGACAAACCTGTGATGAGCAACACCCCACACCATCAGGGTACGCAATCAACCACGTCACCTAGTATGTCCAACCAATCCATTTAGTCTACTTGAGCAGCATGTACATCTTCCTGGGGGGTTTCTAACCTGAAATCCCCAGCTCGGTCTAACCTCAAGCACATCAATGAATGGGCAGAGAAAGAGGGTGACCATTTCATCCTCAGCATGTTCAGATGTGGGGTATCAGACATCATTCTTGAAACTCATGCAATTATTTTGGCAAGACGGAAGATTCTTAAATTTAATCATCACACTGTCAATATCTTTTGACAATTTCTTTGGGGTATAAAAAAATTACCATATTATTTTAATCCGAAAACATCTGCCAACTTTTAGGAAATATCAAAAACCTTGGCCAAGTTGGAATAATGTGTAATGGTCAGGGTGTCCAGATGAAGGTCAGCAGGGAAACGGAAAACTCACAGGTTTCGTTACGCATCCAAACAAAACAAATGTCAGCACACCTAGGGACTGAGATTTGTCTTGATGGTTTCCCCTGGAGCTATAAATACTCATGTGAAAAAAAAATAAATGGGTTATTTTTGTTTAATGCTGTATCAGCAAATAAAAGAATGAAAAATGAGGTCATGGTATATCATATGTATATCATATGTATATCATGGTATATCCCACCTGATCCATGGATATGTTTCTGTCTGTTGGCAAGGGCACGTGCCAGAGCTCCCACAAGACCTGCACTGTCGTCACTCTGGGCCTGCTTCTCATTCTGCTCCACCTGAACACAGACAACACACATACAGTCTTGTTACTATAGCAACACCAGACCTGCACTGACATTACACTCGGCCTGTTTATCAACCTGCTCCACCTGAACACAGACAACACACATACAGTCTTGTTACTATAGCAACACCAGACCTGCACTGACATTACACTCTGGGCCTGTTTATCATTCTGCTCCACCTGAACACAGACAACACACATACAGGTTATCTCAAAAGCAAGTTTTTTTTATATCTAATTATTGTTTCCTTGTGCGAAATTTTGTCTGCTTAACATGTTTGAATAAAATAGTTTACACATATATTATGTACATAATATATATTTATTGCTAAAATAAATTATATATATTTTTAGAGAACAAAAATCTTATCCGCATGACCAGTACAAAAACAGAAATCTTATCTCCACTAAAATCCCAAAACTACATGTACCCTACTCATACACAAGTTCCAAGAAGGGGCACGGGTGTCCCAGTTGTCTAAGGCGCCGCGATTCGCTGTGGAGAGTTGCGTCCCTTGGGCATGCCAGAAACCTATGATTGTGGGTTCGAATCTCGGTTCGCCCCGATTATGTTTCTAGGTTTGTCAGCACCATACCCGTGCTCGTGGGTTTCACCGAATTGGGAAACATCTGGGGCCTGCATCACTTCGGGCTTTCCTCCCACATTAAGCTGACACGCCGTGATGTAACTGGAATACTGTTAAAAGCAGCGTTAAACCCAACTCACTCACAAGTTCCAAGAGGGGCAGATCAGAGGAAATTGCTCAGGCAACCTCTCAAACACTTAAGCGAAGAAGAAGGATATATATTGTGTGTGTAATTGCTAACATATTTGAAAAAAGAAATCTCATTTCTCCAAACCACAACCTCTGTGGATTTGCTTATTTTGGCATGTCTTGATGGCTTCTACTTAAACTTACCCTCTTGAGGTTGGCCCCACCCTGGATGGCCTTCAGAAGGTTCCCACGGGCATCTGAAGAGCCCCCACTTTTCTCATTTGAATCCACCTTCTTCAATGTGGTTCCCTGGTGAATCTGGGACAACAGGCCACCACGCCCACCCCCTGGGCCTGCCCGGGGTGGGGCATCCATGCTATCATTGCCAGGTGGCGGTGGCGGCGGCGGGGGTGGGGGAGCACCTGCTGGGGGAGGGGGTGGTGGTGCTCCTGATGGGGGTGGAGGCGGGGGTGGCGCACTGCCCATTGGGGGCCGAGAAGGAGCAGGTGCTGGAGTAGGGCGTGGCGGGGACATTACTGGCGCTCTAGTTGGTGGGCCCTGGCGGCCTGGGGGCGGGGGTGCTTGGGACCTGGGAGGGATTCTCTGCGGGGGTGGAGGTGCTCCTTGACGTGCTGCAGGCGGAGGGGGAGGGGGAGGTCCAGTGTTTCTGGAGGGAGGGGGAGGGGGGGCCCCTTGTCCTGGTCCTGGTCCTGGTCTAGCTGGAGGAAGAGGTGCTGAAATGATATGCGTGTTTAGTAGTTTTGTAACTACATGTACTGAACATGCTGAACAGAAGGAAAAAAAATAAAAAGTCACTTTAGTTGCAACACAGATAGCAAGCATCGTACAGTATCTATAGCAGGGCTGAGATGCTATACTGAAGTCACTCTATGTACAATTATTACTGCTATACTTTACATTAATCAGAGGAAGGTTGAATGAATATTTTCAGAAACACAAAAACGAAAAAATATTTTCTGAAATCACTGATAAAGCCGAAATGTAGATCCAAACCAATCGAAGACTTTCTGATGTCCACATGATCACCCCAACTTATGACATGGTGCATATTTATACAAAAGGATGTGTACAGCAAATCAATTCAGCATTCGTGTCTACACGATATCTTACAGTGAGATGTCCACTATCAGTGTTGGTATTAAAAATAAATTACAAGGCCGCCATCAGGACCCACAGACTTTAAAAGCTGAAGGACCTGACTAAACTCTTCAGGCCCTCATATAAAAAAAACTGCAGCTTATTGTGACAAATAAATTGACAAGTAAATATTCTGCAGGTCATAAGGACCCCTACAAATTTGAAACTATGGACCCCAGAGCTTCAGATAAGCTTTTGGTGTTGTGGGTATTTTACCCATGCATTTTAAAACAATTGGGTATCAGTAATTCTATCTGGGTATTCAAATTTCTGTTACCCACTAGTTTTTACACAAGTGGGTATTTAAGTTAAATATTTAAAAACACTATTCATCTAGTCCCTGCAAACTGGTGTCGTGTGGGTTCGAGAGCTTTATAGGACTCAAAAATACCACGATACTTCCACAAGGTAGTGTGATGGCAAATGATCATGATGTAACTGTCATCGTGGAGTTTGGCAAGGTTGACGGAATGCCCGTTTATAATTTCAAAATAAGTTGCTGATTTGCTAATCGAATACGCAGGGTTACTTCACAATATTTTGATGATACACACAAGTTTTATTTTTGAAGCATATCTGTAATGTTCGTTGCGTATTTGATACGCTTGGATTTTATTTTACTGCATATTTCTGCATTTCTGATGCGTATTTTACGCAGATACGCAGCTTATCTGGAGCTCTGGACCCGACACAAGATTATCTGCCACAAGCCTACGGGCAGGTGCTTATTTCGAACACTGTCAACTATCAAGACTGACATATTTGATATAAACAAGTCTCTGTGAACAATAAACACTGAGCATTTCATTTACTCTGAATGTCCAAATCTGAATTTTGTTTCAAAATACAACATTAATAATAAACATTTAAAAAACCCAACTGAATTTGAAGCAAACAGTAAAATGAAAAACTCACTGAGACAAATCATAATAGTTTCCAACTGTTTACTGTCAGTCCAAGACATCTTGTTATCATGAGCACAACATAAACAATGATACATACATACCACCAGAGCTGACCACCTTCCTGCATACTAAAAAACTATAAGAAGCAGACGCAACAGAGAGAGAGAGATGATAGGTGCGAGGGAAATGTGCAAGGGGAGGTAATTCACACAGGGGGAACAACTCTGTATTTTAGCATAGTTCAGAACAAAATGAAGAGCACTTGGTTCTCAAGTAACAACTTTCAAAACATTTGATACGGTTGTTTTGAAGTTTATTGCTCCTTGGTTAGATTTGATCTTTTTATCTAAATTCAGAAACAAAGTTTTTGGCACCAGATGCTTAGCCAATTTAAAACTAGTATAGTTTGTGGGGTCTGTAGCCATGGTTACACATATAACAAACTAGAATATTTTCCAGTGCCCAAATAACACCCTTCCTTCATTTAATGCTGGCATCTCATCTGTCCACAAGGAGAGGAAAAGGCTACAAATGAAGCTTATTCTTGAAAATAAAAACGTGGTTTTGTCATAAATGAAGGAGGTTATTTGACACTTAAAATTAAGATATCAAGTACAAATATTTTATCTATCAACCTCAATACATATATAATGACAATGACACTTACATCATGTCCACAGAAGACTCTCATTATGTATGATAAACCATGGTATGACCATCATCCATCCTCTTCAACAGCTTGCCGGGGGCACGGGCCCCCCCCCTCTGTGGTCTAAGGCGCCACAGAGTTGCGTCCCTTGGGCACGCCAGAAACCTATGATTGTGGGTTCGAATCCCGGTTCGCCCCAATTATGTTTCTAGGTTTGTCAGCACCATACCCGTGCTCGTGGGTTTCACCGAAGTTGTAAACGTCTGAGACCTGAATCACTTCAGGCTTTCCTCCCACATTAAGCTGACACGCCGTGATATAACTGGAATACTGTTAAAAGCAGAGTTAAACCCAGTTCACTTACTCACACTCAACAGCTTGCCAAATACACTTTTATAACGGCACAACCTAATAATCTTAGCATAAGCACTGTTTATCATGTTCATTAGTATATTGTTCTGTTTTAAATTTCCATTTTTAAAATATAAATTCAGTTAAAATTGTCAGGTGTGAAATAAAGAAGAAAGGAATTTTACTTCACTCTTTTGTGAAAGAATTTTCATTCTGACTGAAAAGGTATCTAAATTTTAGAATTGTTTTTAACCAACTGAAGATACTTGTTTGTTTGTTTGTAGTTTAACGCTGTACTCAGCAATATTCCAGCTATAAGATGGCTGTAAATAATCGAGTGTGGACCAGACAATCCAGTGATTGACATCATGAGCATCGATCCACGCAATTGGGATACAATGACATGCATCAACCAAGTCAGCCAACTGTCAGATAAAGAAAGACACGTTTCTCTTACATTCGTTTGTTTGTTGTTTAACACCGCAGTCAGCAGTATTCCAACTATATCACAGTGGTCTGTAAATAATCAAGTCGTGACCAGACAATCCAGTGATTGACATCATGAGCATTGATCTATGCAATTGAGCTACAATGACTTGCATAGACTAAGTCAGCAAGCCTGACCATCTGATCCCATTAGTCATCTCTTAGTAACAAGCATGGGTTGCTGAAGATCAATTGTAACCTAGATATTCACAGGTATTTTCTTTTGCAAATGATGGTGGTTTGAAGTATCATACTTGATTCTGATTTGGAACGTAGACCTATGTCGAACCCTCATTTAGAAGAGGTATTTTGATTGGTTGTCTATTTCAAGGTCATAGCAGCAGAAAACCTGTGTTTAGCTGTGTAAGAGGTGGCGATGTCACTTCCAACGTTAATGGTGTTCATCATAAAAGATCGAGGATAAGTTGCCCCCCAAACAAACTTTCCTTCTTTTTTTTCCGACACTACTTTTGTGGATTCTAGTGTAAGGCAGAAAGATGAATACTTAGCATATGTGAAAATACTCAAGTTTGAGCTTTGGAGGCTGTGAGTTAGTAGACCAAACCATTATATTTGCAGTATTAGTAGGCCAGTGTCACAAGAAACGACCCTGTTGCACAAAGCTATCTTAGCGATATGACTTTCATAAGTGTATGTTAAAGAATGCAGTTACGACTGCCTTATCGCTAAGATTGATAAGCGGAACAGGGCTGGACAGCAGTGCCTCATGCTATTACTTCGCCTCACCCACTACAACTTAAAATGAACTAAAATACAAAGTTGCGGATAGATATGAAGCAGCAAAATAAACAAAACGTCGGACTCTAACCAACAGAGGCAGGGGGTGGTGGTGGTGGTGCAGGCCTACCAGCCATTTCTTTTCGGACAGCTTCAATGCCACCGTTCTTCTCAACAAAATCATAGATGAAGTTGAGAGTCTCCTTGTCGACTTGGTCTTCTGGCTTGATTCCCACCGACTGGAACAACATCTTCATGTCTGGTTCCAGGTTATTCATCTGAAGATCAAACAGGATATTTATGTGTGATGTATGACATGCCTGAGTTAGATTTATTGCCACTGTAGCAGTAGCAGTTCATATGTGTTAACATTGTAATCTAACACTGCATTCAATACGAAGTAAAAGTAAACATGTTCCGCTTTGGTCCAATAATTAGGTGACAAGTGACTTCTACAAAGCCTTAACATTAGTTATAACTAAAACAACATGAATATTGGGACATTTTTCTTAGGAATAGGAATTTGTACTGATATTTGGTGCAGATTTGGGGATGAATATTGGCCCCTGAGCAGACCTAGATTATTGGAATCAGTCCATGGGGTGGGGTGGGGTGGGATGAGGAATCAGTCCATGGGGTGGGGTGGGGTGGGGTGGGATGAGATGAGGAATCAGCCCATGGGGTGGGATGAGATGAGGAATCAGTCCAGGGGGTGGGGTGGGGTCGGATGAGATGAGGAATCAGTCCAGGGGGTGGGGTGGGGTGGGATGAGATGAGGAATCAGTCCAGGGGGTGGGGTGGGGTGGGATGAGATGAGGAATCAGTCCATGGGGTGGGGTGGGGTGGGATGAGATGAGGAATCAGTCCAGGGGGTGCGGTGGGGAATTAGTCCATAGGGTGGGGTGGGGAATTAGTCCATAGGGTGGGGTGGGGTGGGGTGGGGTGGGGTGGGATGAGATGAGGAATCAGTCCAGGGGGTGGGGTGGGGTGGGATGAGATGAGGAATCAGTCCAGGGGGTGGGGTGGGGTGGGGTGGGAAATTAGTCCATAGGGTGGGGTGGGATGAGATGAGGAATCAGTCCAGGGGGTGGGGTGGGGTGGGGAATTAGTCCATAGGGTGGGGTGGGATGGGGTGAGGAATCAGTCCATGGGGTGGGGTGGGGTGGGTTGCACCCTGGTCAGATAAATTTATCAAAGTTGAAACACAGGCCAGTGTTCTTACAGTGTCAGTAAATTAATCACACACTGCTGTAAAACATTGCAGGAACATGTGCACATAATGTTAAAGTGTTCACAGTTTGATGATGTAAACATGGTAAAGTCCATCAAAACATGACAAATTACACATAACACTAGGGTAAGTGATATATTCTGGTAAATAAAGCTTAGCGGTATTGTGTTCCATTTCGATGCTGTGAGGACAACCAAGGGTTAGTCACACACATATTATTCCTTTGACATGCACATGGTGCATGTAGTCATAAACACTAGGTTGCATTTTTCAATAATAGGTTGCACTTGTGCATGTTTTATATAGCTAGATCGAGCCCAGGTTTTGTTACCCAAGTTGAAACTTGAATATGTATATTCAAACAGTGATACTTACATCAAATCCCTTGTCTGGATCCCAACCAACATGGCTGACATGTCTGCAAAACGATAAGGTCACCAATAGAACGCAATTACATCTACTAGTGTAAAATGAGATTACATCTACAAGTGGGAAAGGAGAAGATATATTCCCTGGCTAAATACCCATTCCCACCAAAGTACTTGTGAAATACCAATCTCATTAAAATCAGATCTTAGTTCTCGCTTCCGCTAAACAAAGATCTGAGGACATGTCATTACGGGTCACGTCAGAACGACCTTTCGGGAACTTTGACCGACCACTGAAACGACTAACAAGAAGTCGATATCAGCCAATGAGAAAGCAGCTATCTCGAGCTTTACGGAACTCGTTTAAACCTGCCAAGTTCCACTTCAGACTGCGCTTGAAATATATATTGACACAGTTCTTGATTAAAATTTTGAAAACTGAACAAACGGACATTCCGGAATGTCTAATATATTGTGGAGATTGTATGGCAGTGTTTCCCACGTACTGTGCAACGACTCCTCCGTTCAAATGTTTATCCCATGGAAGCGAGAGATAGATGGTAATTTTGACTGAATTAATCATACGGGCCATAATAGTCGTTCAGAATACGCTGTTTTAACGTTTTCGAGGTTGCATGATTAGAAAACATATTCCGATTGTAACTTTCATGATCTGGTAAGGGACGCTTTGATTGGTCGGTTGAAAGGTCATTCTGACGTGACCTGTTATGGGATGTCCACAGATCTTCGTTTAGCGATAACGAGAACTATAAGATCTGATTTTAATGAGACTGGTGAAATACTAAACATTTCGACAGGTTTCCTGTTTAACACAGCACTCAGCAGTATTGTTCCAGCTGTGAGAGGGCAACCTGAAATCAATCAGTCTGGACAAAATGCTGGACATCCGACACATGAGCGATATTATGAACAAAGCCCCTCAACACTGGGGTACGATGACATCAGCCAAATCACGGAGTCTAGCCACTCAATCCATTCAGTCGCCTCTTACGACATGCATAGGTTGTTCGAGGCCTATTCTCACCCATAATCCCACTGGGGATGTAAGCTATAGCTACAAAAGCCACTGTACATGTAGTTTGACAGTACCTGAAGTCCGTCGGGGTACTAATGTCCTCCTTGGTCAGTTTCTTCGGGCCTCCTTTTTTGTCTTTCTTATCTTTGTTACTTTTCTTGGATCCGTTCTGCTTGTTGGAGTCCACGATGTTCAGCGTTACTGGAGCGTTCGCTAGAACAGGGGTGCAGAAAGTAGTTACAAGCTATGTATTTCACCAATAAAGTTTTCAAAAATAGTAATGTATCATTGTCACTTTTTCACCACTCATTCTTTGCAAATTAGCATGCACAGTCCACCCTAACTTTGTTCTAGCAGGTTGTTGGTTTGTTGTTTACTGTCACGCTCAGCAATATTCCAGCTATATGATGGTTGTAGATTATTGAGCCTGAACCAGACAATCCAGTGATTTACACCATGTACATCAATCTCCAGATACGATGAGTGAGTGAGCGAGGTTTTACGCCGCTTTTAGCAATATTCCAGCAATATCACGGCGGGGGACACCAGAAATGGGCTTCACACATTGTACCCATGTCGGGAATCAAACCCGGGTCTTCGGCGTGACAACAAACGCTTTAACCACTAGGCTACCCGACCGCCCCCTTCGGATACTGTCATGCATCAACCTAGTGACCGAGTCTGACCACTCGATCCTGTTATTCGCCTCTTACAACAAGCATGGGTTGCAACAATCCTCTATAAAACTGCAGGTGCTATGACAGCAATAACCTCATGAACCTCTTTGTCAGTCGAACCACATGGAACATGAAATAGTTCATGCAAAACTGTAACAAATTGTGAATCGTATTATGTCTTGTATCACCAGAGCAGTATAATAACACCTTTGGTAATTTCACTGCTGAAGTCAGTAAAATAAAATCAGCAGGAAGGAAATTATTTTTTGAAAATCTCAAATATATTCCACGTCTGTGACACAAGCATGAGTTGGACTCTGCTAGGACTCTTGAGTAGCTAAATGTTCACACATTAATAACCTTGGCGTCATACCTGGAGCTGGTCTGTTTGGCTGAGCAGGTGCCCCTCCCGGTGGCGGAGCTTGTCTGGCACCAACCGCACCCGTGTTCCTCTTCTTCTGGGTCTTCTCTATAATAAAGACCAAACATGATGAAATTCATCTTAAACACATAGAATGCATTTCTAACTCTAGCTTATTTCCCAACAATCTAATTAGTTTGTTAATCCTATTTAAGGTGAGGTGATGTGAAAGTGGGTTTATGCACAAATGTCTAGAATAGATGCAGAACTTTTATATATTGCATCCCGAGGGACCCACATTAATATGTACCAACTTCTTGGAAATAAAAAAACGTTCCTGCAATTAAAGTAAGTATCCAAATTTTCCAGAACAGTACACTACGTCATTTACAGAACCCTCATATTTCTTGTTTGTACTCTTGAAATTAATTATTGGGGTTCCCCTGGAACCCCTAGTTTTGTATGTCATGGTCACTGTAAGGTAAAAGGGTTAGCGTTGCGTTCAAGGTTATTGCACTTATACAGCGACGCCCATGCATGTATGTGTGGCTGCTTGTCCTAGTGCTTGTATAGTGCTAGCCCTCTGAGATACCATGCCACAGTATACTGACTCCGAGTGGAACAGTAGTTTTAGCCCCTTAATGCTGAGCGCCAGACAGGGTAACAACAAGTAACATTTTTTTCACATCTTTTGGTATGACACGGCTGTCGATCTAACCGGTGACCTTCCACTCTCCGTCCAGATGCTCCATCCAGACGGCTCAAAAATAATAAAGAGAAGCTGGGTGTGGTCTTGTTTAACTCATCCCCGAGTGACGAGGGTCAGAGACATTTACCTCTTTTGCAAAACACAAAAACATGGGTATTGTGCTGACAGAACAAGTGTCATTGTCTGACAAATATGGGATTTGTACTCGTGACTAGCAAATCCTGAACGGCAAAGGGATGCAACTCTTTATAATGAATTGTAGTGCCTTAGCGCCATCAGTAAAACTATTTGTTTTTCAATTTTTCTGTCTGGCTTACGCATTTTACGATGGTGTCTCTCAGCCAACTTGTTCTCCACGGCATTCTTGAACTTCAGAGCTTCATCTTCACTTGCAAAATTAAGTCCTGCCTGAGAACTCTGAAACAGGAAGTTGGTTGGTTTGTTGTTTAACACCGCATTCAGTTATATTCCAGCTATATGGCGGCGGTCTGTAAATAATGGAGTCTGGACCAGACAATCCAGTGATTGATATCATGAACATCGATCCACGCAATTGGGATCGATGACATGTATCAACCAAGTCAGCGAGCCTGACCATCCAATCCCGTTAGTCGCCTTTTACGACAAGCATAGTCACCATTTACGGCAAGCATTGGTTGCTGAAGACATATTCTACCCCGGAAACTTCACGGGTCTGAAGCAAGAAGTAGCAGGAACACTGTTCAAACATTGTTGTTACCATTCCTCATTGTGTCAACCACTAACATGGTCAGCATCGTCAGTGTTGGTAAAGGCTTCACAGCAAACTTAAGTTTGCCGATTTACGTTTCAAATATGTAAACATGTGGCCATTCTCTAGAACATGAAAATGAAAGAAATCTTGGATGCACATGTTGTCAATGATTATTCTATCAATACAGTTATTACAAAGTTTGTTTTTTGTGGAAACTCACATCTGCCTCAAAGGTATGGAAATACTCTCTTGGACACTTGTAGCGGAACTGATTGTACAGCTCTTGTTCCCATAGCAACTGTTGTTTCTGGAAAAGGTGACTATCATTTACAAGGAATCACAAATTTATGATAAAAAAGCCTCTGTTCAATACAGAATGTCAAGAACATTGTCAGCTTAAGAAAGTACATGAATTATTTTTGTATTTCGTCACCAAAGGTCACGTAAACAGGGTAAAGACAAATGGACAACAAGGATAATACATCATCATGACTGAAATCTTTAACAACTCACCAACAAACCTAAACAATGCTAAACACTGCATAAAAGTTAAAACATAGTACATCATGATATATATGTACTTTAACACAAGTATCCATGGAAACAATACTGACATTTATCAATATGACAACCCCCATGTTATCATTCTCAGTACTCTGACTCCCCACCTTACCCTGATATCATACACTCGGATGAAGTAGGAACGCTTGGTGTTGTCTTTGACAAACGACGCCACGCCAGAGGAGCGCTTGTTCCATCTTGACTTGTCTGGGGAGTCTGACAGGTACAGCTGCACTACCCCCGACGCCAGTGTCTTCAACAAAAATATCATTGGTCAAATCCACAAAAGACAATAATTTGCATGTTGGGACTTTTTTCTTATTATGCCATGAGACTGTAGCTCACTTAGTGAGTGAGCATTGCTTTTTGAAATGAGGCATCACGCTTAAGAACGCTTAGAATCCTATTTGTAGATTCTATTTCCATCTTGTGTTCTATTTCTAGGGTGTTTCGCAATGGATCGACACGAAGCTTTCCAGTGTCGCCTAATAAAGTCAAATTTCGCCCCTTTTTATTTATCTGAAGACAATATGACACAAAGACGAAAGTATATGAATTATGGACTTTAAAATAAAATGTTGTAAGATGTCAAGCAGACTCAAATCGCATAAGTTTTCAGTAAAGCGGCGTGTACATAATACCATACTTCACACCCAATTATCATCACTATTGAAAAAAAAAATCGCCTCCCACTTGAAATGACCAATTTCTTTGTCTTACCGTACAGCCGCGTCCCAGACATCCAAGGAGTAAATCGTTTTCAGCATTACTAAGCAAAATACATGTACTGTTGCCAGGTCTTTGTCGATTTTGGACCGACATTGTAAGATTCTTTGCATTCAAGTCGCCGAACTTGTCCCAATAACTTCCTGGTTCAGGTTCACGTCATCAAAACTCCTTCCGGGTTTATCGGCATTTTCCGGACGTATCCGTGAAACTAAACGAGTTCAACGAATTCGTCACCACTCGACCCTTTCCGTAAGCTACAAGAAGATTCGCTACGCGGCTTGTCCCGGAAAAACACGACTTGAATGAAAGAATCAGGTGCGCATTCACCTGAGCTTCTCACAGCATTTACAACTATTGGGAGGTTACGATAGTGACACGCGCTGGGATAGATATTGACAAGCTATATTGTTAGAAAGAGTCCAGTCAATAAAAAAAACAAAACAAAAAAAACACGCATCTAAAGAAAAGGACGAAAATATGACAGGAAGGATGAATATCCCATGTGTAATGAAACAATATACTCACAAATGGAATGAACCAACAGGAAATGGCCAGTAAATAAACATATATCCCCTATATAAATATAAGTAGTTATATATAGGGGGTATACATTTTTATTAAATACTTCAGTGTGAAGGACTGAGTTTTCCGAAGTTGAGAAAAGTGATATTTTTATTGCAGTAAACATAACAATTGATATTTCACTGCAGTGAACATAACACTTTGACGGAAAAATTGTCATACAAGAGTTACCTCCCCTTAAATTGACTAGCCCGTACACAAACTGTTGAGGTTCATTTTACGTTAGGTTCACATTGACAGGGCAAAATAATGATAGACGGTCGTTTATGGAGTTAATACCACATCTTTCCGTTTGTTATTCTCTCAAAAATGATTCCTTATAAACTGCTCATTTCTCATTTTACTCGTCAATCGAGACTGTTCGATTTGCAATTTTTGTTACTTGACCAGCGTATATTCTTTTGCTTCCTACAGCGGTGTCCTAGTTTTCAAGAATAATTTTTGTTACAGTTGATTTTGTATATAATCATATCTAAATGTATGATAAAGAATTTTCGCGACCCTAAATAGGATAATCCATCTGTCGAGTGAAATATCATGTTTCTCTCAACGAGTGACGGAGGAAAGGAGATATTTTCACGATACATTTTCACCCACAGGAAATCGCCAGAAAATAAACATATACATCCCCTATATATATGACCAATAACGAATTCCTTTGAATGAACCCGTGAAGATCCGGATAAGAATAGGTCTTCAGCAACCCATGCTTGACGTATGAGGCGACTAACGGGATCGAGTGGTCGGCCTCGCTGACTTGGTTGATGCATATCATCGTATTCCAATTGCATAGATCGATGCTCATATGATGTCAATCACTGGATTGTCTTGCCCAGACTCGATTATTTACAGATCGCCGTCAAAAAGCTGGAATATTGCCGAGTGCGGCGTTAAACATCAAAGAAACAAACAAACCAAAATAGAATGAGAGAGCAACACTTTAATATAAGAAATGATTTTCCGTTTCAACTAGAAAATGTATGAGTCAAGAACATGTTTAAAATTTAATTGATATCTGTAAAAAAAAAAGTAAAAAAAAACCAATATCGCAGTTAAGCGTGTTTGCCATATTCGTTTAAAATGTCACACTGAATACCCAGAATATCACCTGCATTAAGCGTCCAAATTGCCTTGTAAATATGGAAACCTCCAACAGTGCTAAAGGTGCAATATTGGTAAATATTGGCCATATGGAAACGTGCTACAACATATGTTTAAGTGAGTGAGTGAGTGAGTTTGGTTTTACGCCGCTTTTAGCAATATTCCAGCAATATCACGGCGGGGGACACCAGAAATGGGCTTCACACATTGTACCCATGTCGGGATTCGAACCCGGGTCTTCGGCGTGACGAGCGAACGCTTTAACCACTAGGCTACCCGACCGCCCCACATATGTTTAGGAATATCCGCCATGGGCTAGCAATCAATTTTTCAATATATATTGAGCCCATGGGCTTAAAAGCGTTATATTTTTCCGATTTTAAGCCCATGTGCTAAACAACGAGGGGTTTAGATACGTGCAGTCCCGGTAAACGTGTTGTACGTGTCTGTGTATTACAAGACTTAGTGTTGTCACAGTTTCAGGTGTCCTTTGAATCAGATTTTGAAACATTTTCAGTTCGGATTATTTTAAACTTGTGCGTATTTTTGGTGTCTCCCATTCGTATAAATTGTTTAATTGAGTTTAATTGATTAAACACTGGTTTCTCTGGTCAAGATTCGATTATTCACTGGTGGAATATGTTTCTATAGACGACCAATGCATCACAGATTGACCTTGTAAATATACTCACTGTCAAAAGAAACGCGAATGCCATTTTTACACACACACACACACACGCACGCACGCACACACACACACACACACACACACACACACACACACACACACACACACACACCCCACAGTATGTACCCATGAAAACAACATGTTTAATTTTGGAAATACCTCTGACTGAGACAGTCCACAGCATGGCGAGTTTCTGGACAAATGGGTTTCCAGAATTAAATTGGGGCATGTTAATGTTGGTTAATATATTAATATTACTCATATTCAAGAGATATTAGATTGGGTCGGTGCACAAACGAACATACTGTTATGTTGTGTGAACCGACGCTCATGCATGAACGCGTCACATGTGACGTCACAGATCCTTGACTCGAGATGCACCATTTGTCTTGTGCAGGATTAGCGTGAAAAGTTAGGAAATCACGTGAATATCGTGATTATAACAAAGACACTTTGTGGTTACGCTACACTGATTGTAAGTTTTGTCATTAAATGGTACACATTGGAAACATCTCTTTTTAAAATATACTTCTCAACATGTTTCTATGGGTCGCGTTTCTTTTGGCGATGAGTATATATATAGTCTGTTTGTTTCGCAATGAGCCCTTACATAGCGAGAACATTGCCGAGTGTTTGTTTGTTTATTTTTTGTTAACGCCACATTCAGCAATATTCCAGCTATATGACGGCGGTCTGTAAATAATCGAGTCTGGACCAGACAATTCAGTGACTGATGTCATGAGCATCGATCTATGCAACTGGGCTGCGATAACATGCATCAACCAAGTCAGCGAGCTTGAGTACCCGATCACGTTAGGCGCCTCTTACGACAGGCATATTCTACCCCAGGGCACATTGGCGAGTTCGACACAAACAACAAACATCCTAGAGCCTGTCTGAAATGTACTATCATGGGCTGTAATTGTGTTGTCTACGTAGATAAACACAAAAACAAGGCAAAATAAACACAATTTATTAAAACATGTAAATACATTGTTGTTTTGTTAAAAGACAAGTTCATCCACGATGTTGACATTTGTTTACAGTGTGTATTAGCATGTTTGTGAATGAGTTTGCCACCAGGCATGAACAAGACACTTTTCCCTCGGTGTTTATAGTCGTGAGTGAGCGGATCGCCGTTTAAGGCCGCTTTAAACACTCTTTCAGTTACACCAGCAAACCCAAGGTTACCCCGAATGACAGCGTTTACCACTGACAGGCCAAGATTCGTTATTAGGACTAATTGTAAAATGCCAAACCACGAACAGCGGATCGTGACAAGGCCAAGGGAAACAGTTCTTAGGCTCCTTGAGCACCCCTCCCCCTCCCCTATTTATTAAAAAAGACTAAAAGAAGAAAAGAAACGATTGGTGCTAAATATAAACACACAATTAAACGCTTAAAGAACGCTTCCCCATTAATGGCGTCATGACGTTGTAACAAATCGTACAATACAAAAACTTCGTGTTGTTCATGAGACAGTTTGGTGTTAACATTATTTAGTACTATGCGGTTGGCAATTGTATCATACACATGTCCTCATAATAAATATTACATGTCGTCTTCTTCCCAGTCAATGTCATAGGCTTCAGCGTCAAACTCGTCGTCATCTGAAACTAAAGATTCCTAAATAAGCAAACAATAAGTTGCATACATAATTAATAATACAAAATGTTGCGAGTATGAATAAAAAATTAAACACCAAATATTCCAACCACATTATTAAAAAAATGTATAATCAGGCGTTTCACGTTATGTAAGTATTTGTATTTCCTACGTAAACCATTCTTTGCTTATAATAGGGGTCTTTCTATAGCAGACCCGCCTCCCTGGTCTAGTGGAAATAGAGCGTCTCTCCAGAGAGCGGATGGTCGGTGGTTCGATCCCCGGCCGCGTCAAACCAAAAGACGCCAAGAGATTATATTTGTTGTTCACCCTGCCTGGCGCTCGGTATTAAGTGGATAAAGCGGTGTCCGTCCTGGAGCGTCATTTTTGATATTTAGGAGGAAAACTCATTGACACGGGATTTGGCTATCCCCGTACTAGGCAAATAGAACGAGAACAAATGAGTACGGCTCATTAATTTCACTACCGCATTTATATGCATGTTAAGTTGAAGTGTTTAAAATGTTGAAATGTACATAATGATATTTAGTCCAGGCGAGAAGCTCCGAACCATAGTTTGTATAGTCATTGTCAGACAGATGGTGGTTGACGAGGTCGTCCTTCAATGACCTGAGGCGGGCGTCGATCTGGCGGTAACGTCGTTCACGGGGAGGTGCAGATGGATTGACGTTCAACCTCATGGATGTGGACTTCGGTGTTGAGTTGCTTTCTCTGGAACATCAGTTGCACCACCTCGTAGATGTGAGGGTTGCTCTGCCTGGCTAGCTGTTTTATCCTATGGTGCCACCCTTCAAGATTAATGTTTGTTTGATGACCAGAGTTGCCAAAATGGTTCCAGTTGTCAGGACTGAACTGCCTCCCTTCAACCCAAGATGTTGTGACGTAGTCCACGAAGGCGGTGATCATGGGTCCTGCAGGGCTATTGGCAGTCGTCTCCAACCACACATCTTGTACCTTGTCGAGTGGCACAAGGGACCGGACAGCGGCGGGCCTAACTACCTTCTTCACCTCGGGGTCTTCCTTGTAGTAGGGCGCCAGCCCTTCTTTCTGTACACGGCTCCAGATACATTGTGTTTAATGGAAGACACACCCTCTGACGACAGTGGTTGGTGGAAACAGGCTACGAACGGCATTTTGGGCAGACAACTCGAAATGAAGTTGAACAACCCTTGGAGTGAAGTCTTAAGTTCAGGTCATGTGACTTCTCACTCAAATATTCGAATACCCGCACATGCGTATAGCTAGCTCTCTTACTGAGTTGGAGTCCGTAAATCAGGGGGTACTTGCGTCCTTGAACACAGCACCAACCACATATTGTAAACCTTAACAATTAGTTGAATATTATTTTCTTTATGTTTGACGCATTCTTGAGATACATTACCATTAAATACAATCACTTAGGCTTAGCTTACCTGGTCCCTGAATGAATGTTTTTCTTTTATTGAGTGCACGGGAGAGCGCGTCTAGAATATTGCTACTGTCGTCGGGCGTAACCAGCCCGTCTCCCTGCGACTGCCTCTGAAACACGAACATATATAATTGAGACAGCATCTTTGACGGATAAATATATGGACAAATTGTATCAGTAAGTGGTTGGTGGACACCACAACATTCTGAAGCTCTGGTTAAAATAATGAAATTGTATGTTTTTTTCACAGGGAGTATTTATAAAACTTATACAGATTCTCAAACACCCTCTCAAACAACTGAAAAAGAGTTGGTCAAGCCAAACTCACCCTCTTGAAATTCGACGTTCCAACCTCAACCTTATTCAAAGTGATGCCATTTTGTATGGCATTCAAGAAGTCTGGACGTGATTTTTCGGGTAGTGCATCATTACCAGGAATCGGCGCTGGAGGTGGGGGTGGAGCCATGGGTGGAACTGAAGGCGGTGGGGGTGGAGCCATGGGTGGAACTGAAGCAGGCGGGGGTGGAGCTAGGGGTGGAATTGAAGAAGGTTGGGGTGGCGCTTGATACGCTACAGAAGGGGATGAAACGGGTGGAACAGGTTCTTTCTGGGGTGGTTTTTGAGCAAGTGACATTTGTTTTGGTGGTGGTGGCGGTGGTGGTTTTTCAGGGCGCCCTGAAGCAAAGGTCGAAGATGGGGTGGCTTGGTCCTGTTTGTGGTATGGCGCTTGTGCTGTTTGAGGATAGGGTGGACCCGTGTTCACTGGGGAAGGTTTGTATGCAGCTGACGGTGGGCGGAGGGGTGATGCTGGGGGTCGGGTAGGATCGCGTTGTGCGCGGTCCGTATATGGATACGAAGACGGAGAGTACGTGGGTACCAAGGGTTGGCGAACAGATGGCATCAGCGGTCCCTGCTGTACGGTAGGGGGAGGAGGAGAGGGGGGTTCACCGTATGAAGATTGAGTACGTCGGGGAGGGACACGTGGACCCTGCTTTGGTGAAGGCGGTGGTCTTTGGTCAAGTTGAGCTCTACGTTTGGGAGGCGGTAGTCCATGGTCAGAACGACCTGAGAATGGGGACAATGGTTGCGCTGGAGGTGGTCGTGTTGGGGGGCCTGACCTATATCCTAAATAAACAGAGAATGAATTATAAAAATACAAATGCAGGAACTGTGATGAAATAAGAAATGGAGGCATTCGTCCGGGAAATTATATTTTAATACTAATACATTCTTCTTCTTCTATCTCGCATTCATTTTGGCCGTGGGTATACATGTATCCTGCATGAGTGAGTGACTATGGTTTTACACCGCCTTTAGCAATATTTCAGCAATATCAGGGCGGGGGACACCGGATAATGGGCTTCGCACACTGTACCCATGTTGGGAATCGAACCCGGGTCTTCGGCGTGACGAGCCAACGCTTTAACCACTAGGCTACCACACCGCCTTTGTATCTTGCAAGAAGGGTGTGTATGAAAGTAAAAGCACTGACCAGAAGGGTTGGTTGATTTGGACATGTTGGCCATTGCCTCACGAATGACATGCATGCCGCCATTACGCCCAACAAAGTCATAGACGAACTCAATGGTGTCGGTGTCTCTTTCCGTAATGCCGACGGTCTCCAGCAACCTTTTCATTTCCGGTTCTACGATATTGGTCTGAAAAATAACCACAGCGACGGTTAAGATTTACTACACTTGATTCATATACGCCATGGATAATAAGTAGACACACTGATAAGTCATCTAAGTGAGATAATGCTGAGTAATATACCAGCTTTACGAAGGAAAATTTGAAAATTTTGAAAATGGATCTGGGTCAGAAAAACCAGAGGTTGACAGCATGAACAGCAGTACACGTCATAGGTATACGATGATACGCAACCAGGGTACACGAGTCTGCCACGGCCACTACCTATCGTCATATATCAGTGAAACACATATTGTCTCGGATGGTCAATCTTAGCACATATGCTACATTTCGTCAATCCTATTTCTATATGAGGAGTGGTAATGCGGTTTATATAGCTATAACATGATATAACACATGCCGTGATAAACGGGGCACGGCTGGCCCTGTGATCAAAGAAGGTGCACCTTTCAGTGCAGAGTTACGCCCTTTAGCCGTGCCAGGATCGGCTATTCGTGGGTTCGAATCTTATCTTCGCACCGATTACGATCATTGGTTGGTCTGAACCATACCTGTGCTCATTGGTGTCACCAAAGTGTACGACCTGCGTCAATTTTGTCTAAATCCCATATCTTCAAGTTCCTGGAATACTGACCAAAGCCCCATTAAACTCAAGCCAGCCTCTCCCTCTGTGTCCACAGTATGTGATTATATTAAAGAAATCTTTATTTGTTTTGAATACTCACATCATAGTTGCCATCTGTATCAAATCCAATATGCTGGACACGCCTGAATAAAATTGTAAAAGTAAATAGTATCAATTAATATTTTAAATTGAATTGCCGCCTCGCATTTTTTTGGTATGTATTCATCATTACGTTCGATAATAATATTGACTTATCGCCATTGAAATCATCATTAAAAAAACGTCATCGACAGTAATTGCATTCACCTCATCGTCGACGTGATGATGAAACTCCTCGTCAGCATCTTCATCAGTAACATAACCATTATCCCCCTCATCTTCAACTGAACGTAACCATCAGTAACTTACAAAATATCAAATGATTACAATAGGCTCTAATAGGCCCTGACTTCTACAGGCCCGTGAGGATCCGGGGTAGAATAGGTCTTCAGCAAACCATGCTTGCCGTAAAAGGCGACTTTGCTTGTCGTAAGAGGCGGTTAATCGGATCGGGTGGTCAGGCTCGTTGACTTGGTTGATGCATGTCATCGTATCCGAATTGTGTGGATAGATGCTTATGATGTCAATCACTGGATTGTCTGGTCCAGACTCGATTATGTACAGACCGCCGTCGCGAAGCTGGAATATTGCTGAGTGTGGCGTTAAACAACAAATATACAAACAATCTGGCTTCTACAAAGCTGTCGGACACTGCCCACTAGGTCTTGTCAGCCACCCTGAGTCGAGCTACCATCGTCATCGTAACATCATCGTTAACAACTATGCACATCAGTTCCATTCCTCTCCTCACCTGAAGTCTGTTGGCGAACTTATGTCACCTTTGCTCAGCCTCCTGCCGCCCTTGGTCGGTTTCGTCTTGGCGACCTTGACGTTCGGTGTCGTCTGCTTCATGTTGACGGTAACAGGCGCGGACACTGAAGTCAGACAAGCACAGTGCGAGTTCTAAATACCTTGAGACAATATTTTGTAAGCTATTTTAATCATGTACAAAGAACATGTCCAGTCTATATCAACCACCAATTTAATCATTCTTTTATTATTTATCATATTTAAATAAACACGTTGTGGAACGCATCTCTGTTTTCAGATATGGGCGTGTTCAACATTCTCTAATATCGTGTATGAATAAGCCAGTCAACTGGCTCGATCATGTGGGGACAACATGTCTTCAGCGCCCATTGCTGAGGTGACAAAAAGATGGGACCCGTGAAGATTCCGGGAAAGAATAGGTCTTCAGCAACCCATGCTTGCCGTAAAAGGTGACTATGCTTGTCGTAAAAGGCGACTAACGGGATCGACTTGTCAGGCTCGCTGACTTGGTTGATTTATGTCATCGATCCCAATTGCGTGGATCGATGCTCATGATGTTAATCACTGGATTGTCTGGTCCAGACTCGATTATTTACAGACCGCCGTCATATAGCTGGAATATTGCGGCGTTAAACAACAAACCAACCAACGACAAGAAGATGGTCGGGCGATCAGGCTCAGTGGCTTGGATAATTACCGGTTATCGTGGCCCGACAATGTGGATCGGTGTCCGAGTTTTCAGGCACTGGTTCGCCTTGTCCAGACTCGTCAAACAACACTCACTCACCCAACCACTGTGCGTCATGTGACACTCAACCACTGTGCGTCATGTGACTCTCAACCACTGTGCGTCATGTGACTCTCAACCACTGTGCGTCATGTGACTCACCTGGCCTCGGTCTGTTCGGGGTGTCAGCGGCACCCATTTGCAGCTGTCTCTCTTTCCGCCCTAAATAGTCAATGTAAACAACTTTGTAAGAACACCTTCAATTACCTTCACATGATAATAAAGCACAACAGTTAACTCGGTCATCCTCAAAAAACGTACACCATGCAATACCATTTTTTAACCAAAATGAGGAAATGTGACGTCTGCCGCTGTCTTCCAAGCTGACGATGTCCGACGGACATTCATTCCTGATATTGCGAGAAGGACTTTGCTTTCTAAGCAGACATTGGTTCCTTGGATTACTTATTCCTAGGACATTCGACGCTAGGTATCATTGTACGGAACTATTCGAGGGTACAGTGTTGTATCTACGACACCGGTTCTGTGTGAGCCATACTAAGGCAATGGGTATTTCACATTTCAGGGTAATTTTCAGCAACAAACCCGAACTTTCTGCTGTGATGAAGCAATGCACCACCTACTGTACCGACACACACAACCCTTTATACTCACGCTGTACAGTTCGCCGGCATCTCTGTTTTAGTTTTGACACAATCGTCTCCCCAAACGTCCGCGCTTCATCTTCATTGGCAAAATTAAGACCTGCCTGACTCCACTGAAACACGACAGGAAAATGGATAGTTATAAAAATTGAAAAATAAAACATTCGGTGCCGCCATTTCTTTTATATTTTAAGGTGAAAGAATAGGTGAGAGGACCCAGTCTTACTCAGTGTGTGGTAGTGGGTGGATGATCATTAATGCCAGTGTTTATTCAAGATATTTGACGGCCGTCTGTCTATAGGCGAGTATGGACGCGAGTCTAACCAATCAACCTAACTCTTTAATCGAGTGTGGTGGGTTCGCCGGGTGGCATTGAAGACGGGTTCGAATCCCCACTTGGATACAATGTATGCAGCCCATTTCATGACCTCCCCACTACCTTTGTAGCTCACTCACTCACTCACTCACTCACTCACTCACTTACTCACTCACTCACTATATCCATCCTACTGTCACGTACGAAACCCGCCGTTTATATCAAAATAAGTTTAAGTGCAATTCTTACTTCAGCTTCGAAAGTGTGAAAGTAATCTCTTGGGCGTTTGTACTGGAATTGCATGTATAATTCCTGTTCCCATAGCAACCGCTGTTCCTGAAATTAAACATTGTGATGTCATGGTCAAATCATATTTTCAAGAAATATATCAAGGATACAACATAGACATCAACAGCAGGGATAAACATTGTACTCCGCCCCACTGAAGGACGGACCATTTGATATTTGTGCGCGTGTTTTCCCAGCTGGCCTCCATACAAAACCCAATGTGGATGTGTTATTCAGTGTAAGAAAAGACTAAATGGGAAACAATATCTTTTCTTGATCAGGGCTCCTCGGAGCTTTAAACATTCAAACTTGCCCTATTTCTTTGCAAGTGAGATGGCGAAAGTGACATGTTATTGTAGCCCACCTGTATGTCATACACCCGTATGAAGAATGACCTCTTGGTGTTGTCTTTCACCAGACAGGCCACCCCACATGCGTGTCTCGTCCACCCGGAGTCATCAGACCTCACCAGGTACAGCTCTACCACACCAGACGCTATGGTCTGTAACAGAGACATACATGATCACACGTTGTACAGGGATAATACCACATATGGCATGACTTTGATAATAATAATAATAATAATAATAATAATAATAATAATAATAATAATTGCAATATTTGTGATAATTATTGTTATGAATTTTGCTAATTAATCTATCCATCTATCTATCTATCCATCTATCTATCTATCTATTTATCTATCTGACCTTACCGTACAACCTCGCCCAAGACAGTCAAATAATATCTATCTATCTATCTATCTATCTATCTATCTATCTATCTATCTATCTATCTATCTATCTATCTATCTATCTATCTATCTATCTATCTATCTGACCTTACCGTACAACCTCGTCCAAGACAGTCAAATAATATCTGGTTCTGGGTGTTGTTGAGCAAAATGCAACCCACGTTGTTCTCAAGCTTCCCCATCGCGACTTAGGCGTTCCTGCTGCAGGGATCAACCTAGAACTGTCACAGTTTAAATAACTGCGGGAGTATTTAAGTGCCAAGAGACCATTTATATTTGTAGATCAAAATAGAATTTCCCTGAAATCCCAGACGAGTCGACATATTATGAAATGATCTATTTCTAGCGATATATCTACGAACTACCTAAGTCATATGATGAATCAGTCTTCTAAAGAAATCTATCTTTAGCGCGACTCACAAACTCGTCACGTACTGCATTGTGCGATGTAGGATTGTGCCTTTGGGATTGTTGCTCTGTCAGAAATGTTATATGGTATTGTCCTTTACAAGTTTTGTATACATTAACACTAAGTCCATGATATGATCCCGAATACTCGCGACCCTGCCAACGGTACGCTAGGTAAGGGAGCGGATAGAATTAAACGGTGGCGACGTGGATAAAATATTCAATGCTCACTATCAAGCGGTGGGGTAACTTTGTGATGAAAGCGTTCGCATATCAGGACTAAACCCCCTAGTTATGATTGTGGGTTCGAATCCCGGTTCGCCCCGATTATGTTTCTAGGTTTGTCAGCACCATAACCGTGCTCGTGGGTTTCACCGAAGTGGTAAACGTCTGAGACCTGCATCACTTCGGGCTTTCCTCTCACATTAAGCTGACACGCCGTGATATAACTGGAATACTGTTAAAAGCGGCGTTAAACCCAACTCACTCACTCACTCATGGAACGGGTCACGTCTGACAGGTGTGTCATCATCGCACCTGATTCCGACGCTGATTATATCGATCACGAGTTTGTGTGCTCCGTGCCCGACTTACTCCTTGTGGTCGTGTACGGCAGGCGATCTTTCCACAAGGGAAGTAAGACGCTTTCTTCTGCGAGAGGTAAGTTTGCAATTAATAGCATTCATACCAAAACCTTTTCAGTGCAGTCAAAGCAAAGACATCAAATGGCTTTGTTGCGAAAATATCAGCCATTTACTCGCCAAACTATTGATAACCGTCTGAAAAACAAGCCATAGAATTTGATTGCATTATTCGCCAATTCATACAAACTTTTAGCATTCAAAGTGTATTAAGACATTTACATAATTCTTTAAAGAATACTTTTAAGAAGTATGACGTTTTAATATTTGACGGTTATGGTTATGAAATTATTAACTCTGAAGGACCGCCACCCCAAACAACCCATTGAACGCTTTCTGCTCCACATGTCAAACTCTTTTCACAACGAACAAGTTTTGCTGGTGAACGCTTTTCCGAGAATCTATTTGTGTTGTGTAGCTTCTTAAACTTTTAATATTTTGTGTTGTTACACATTATGAAGTCTGATATTGCAAAAGCCTCCATGAATATATGTAGAACTTTTCTTAGGAGAGGAAATTCTCTGCCCTTGTAATGGGCAGGTAGTGTTGGGCAGGAGCAGGGGTCTGGAAAATTTAAAATCCCAATCGGACATTTGCATTTAGGCCACGCCCCCTTCAAATAGCGTCTTTTCGTACGACTTTTCACACACATTACAAGTTGTTACGTACAGTGTTCCCTCGTTACTGAGCGGTTCGGTTATAGCGCGGTAAAGCATGGCTCCCAAAATTTACTAACCTTTTTAGTAAACCCAAGTTTTCAAATGACACGATGTTCAGAAAACATTATCAGCTGATCACCGCGATCACGTAACACCGGAAATACAAGTCAACAAATCCGAACTGAAGAACGCAATTTAATCCTATCATTATATATATCTGGTAATAAAAAAGTTGTTCACTGTTTATCTGGAGGAGTATATTTCTTGGATGATATTTACGATACCGGTTAATTGCACAGGGGACACTGACAATGTACTAAATAACTGTACATTAGTAGCGGTTCAGTTTGTGTTCGCGGGTTTCACCGAAGCGGTAAACATCTTTATAATCCTTTCATCACTTGGGGCACTCAATGAATATTTGTGCCGACAATAAAACATTAATTCTTATAGATGGTTGGGTAGGAATCAGAGTTTTTATCATGTATATCTGTCAAGCTAACTGAAAAGTCAATAAACACTTGTTCTGTGTCTACTCATTTGAGACTTTTAACCCTCAAACTGATGTGACGATATCTACCTATACTAACTGGTGTGTGACTAGTGTCGTGCGCAAGGTCCCAGGCGTCACATATTGCTGTGATCATGGGTTTGAATCTAAGAATCACTCTGATTACCAGGGGGAATATGTATGAACACAATTATATATACATGTAGTTTACAGTGTATCATCCAACTGGGGCTCACGAATCTGAATCTGAATCAAGAACTATCATTTTCTATAGCCCTTCTACCTGTATTGAGTAGTAGCTTGTTTAAGTCATTTCAGCTTAATCGTAAAATCATCAACAAAGAGTATATTCTTCAGTTAACAATCAAATATTCAATACATGTATGTCGTGCCTTCATATTTTATAATTTGTAATAATTAACCCGTAGCGATTGAACATTAATGAACGTTTAATGATCTAATTCTTAATTCTAGATAGTAATTATGTCATTATGCTTCATTTCAGTTGTGGAACTTGATAGCCAAATTCAGTTGATTGTCATGACAAATGCAAACAAGCATTGCCTTACTATGGCTAACCAAATGGATCAATATCAGGTCACAGCTTAAATATACTGTTATTTGAATTTGGTTTTAGATGCGTGTGTGTTGGTTTTTGTTGCCAGATGAGTTTCATCCCTCAGCCACTGATTTAGCCTTGATTTTGTTCATGGTTGTCGACAACGTACCCTGAGTTTAAATGAACTTTGACAAGGAATAGATTTGGACAATATTCAGCTGAATCTATGACAGATCCCTGCTGCAATGTCTCTAAAATTGTTCACAGAATTCCGATCCGATTTTGAACATGACCACTACAGCAGCCACACTTAGAAACTCATTAATGGCTATTAATCGTTCATGTTGTTTTTTTCAAAATATATCATCATTTGGCATAGGTGTAGTTGTAGTGGGAGATAACTTATTTGTTCCATATTTTGCGATGTTATGTATTTTGAATGGGGACACGTATTGGCTAAACTAGCAGAATATTTTAAGCACCGGGTTTTGAATCATTTATTGTTTTAACCGATTTTTTAATTAATTTGGTGTTTGACTGATGTTGAACAGTTTCAGTTTTCTGATCATTAGTATTTCATGTTCGCGTGAGTTAAAACTTAGAATTGAAGAAAACTTGTCACGTTTCATTTCAGTAACGACAAGAATTCGTCTTGTTTTACTTTCCTGCAAAATTAGATATGTTCTAAGAAAGGATATATAAACATTAACTTGTCGAAAGAGTACGGAAGGGAAGAGTGCACCACCGCTTAACTTGCTTTTTTCGTAAGCGTAAAGGATGTAAATCTAAAGAATTTTCTGTTTATATTAATCATAACACATAATTGCAACTAATTTCAGGGAATTTTTAACCCGATGACATTTTAAAAGCCATAGTCCTCTGCAATTACTAGCAAATAATTAGGTTTTAGCTCACGTATTTTCGTGTGCCTCCCTTTATTTTACAGCATTGAATTTTTTTCTTATACATGCACAGAACTCGAGAAATATTGGAAAATGCCATACGGAAACGATGTTTGCAAACTTACCTCTCGCAGAGGAAAACGTTCACTTCCCTTGTGGAAAAGCACCTGGCGTACACTATCACATTGGTGCGACTACCTCATGAAAAATACAACTGCAGCTTGAACTCTTTTATGTGAAGGTACTGCTTACTGCACAACGTTATACTCTTCTTCCACAATCACAGTCACACAGTGTGCGGTTAACTCCTGAAAATGACTTCTTACCGTTTAATATTATCCAAATCAACGTAGAAATCGTTCAGCTACAGGACCGCTGAAAAGTAGCGTGAGCCCGCTGCGGCTAAATATTCACATGCTCATATTATACACAAGGTGAAAAAGGGTACAATGTGCACTGACATCTATTCTAAATGGTATGGGTAAGCATTGTCTGTCAATACTTCAATTCAAAGTGAGTATTGTCGTCTTGCATTTAACTGCACTGCTTTATTCAATATGAATTTCAACACCTTAAAAAATTGAGAATAGGTGTGTCGCGTTTCCAGCTTACACAAACACACCAGCTAGCTATAGATAGATGAGCCCTACTGCCAGTGACGAATTGCCAGTGAGCATGTCCTTCTGGCGAGTTGCTGTGTCGCCCACGCTATGTGGCTCTGTCCTACTAGAGACTTGCAGTGCTCCACCAACCTATGTGGGCCTGTCCTATTGATGTGTCCACCAAGCTAGGTGGGCCTGTCATATTGATGCGGGAAACCAAGCTAGGTGGGCCTGTCCTATTGATGTGTCGCCCACGCTATGTGGCTCTGTCCTACTAGTGACTTGCAGCGCTCCACCAACCTATGTGGGCCTGTCCTATTGATGCGGGAAACCAAGCTAGGTGGGCCTGTCCTATTGATGTGTCAACCAAGCTAGGTGGGCCTGTCCTAGTGATGTGTCCACCAAGCTAGGTGGGCCTGTCCTAGTGATGTGTTGCTGTGTCCACCAAGCTAGGTGGGCCTGTCCTATTGATGTGTCAACCAAGCTAGGTTGGCCTGTCCTAGTGATGTGTCCACCAAGCTAGGTGGGCCTGTCCTAGTGATGTGTCCACCAAGCTAGGTGGGCCTGTCCTAGTGATGTGTTGCTGTGTCCACCAAGCTAGGTGGGCCTGTCCTATTGATGCGGGAAACCAAGCTAGGTTGGCCTGTCCTAGTGATGTGTCCACCAAGCTAGGTGGGCCTGTCCTAGTGATGTGTCCACCAAGCTAGGTGGGCCTGTCCTAGTAATGTGTTGCTGTGTCCTCCAAGCTAGGTGGGCCTGTGCTATTGATGTGTCCACCAAGCTAGGTGGGTCGGTCCTATTGATGTGTCCACCAAGCTAGGTGGGCCTGTCCTAGTGATGTGTTGCTGTGTCCACCAAGCTAGGTGGGCCTGTGCTATTGATGTGTCCACCAAGCTAGGTGGGTCGGTCCTATTGATGTGTCCACCAAGCTGGGTGGGCCTGTCCTATTGATGCGTCCACCAAGCTAGGTGGGCCTGTCCTAGTGATGTGTCCACAAAGCTAGGTGGGCCTGTCCTAGTGATGTGTTGCTGTGTCCACCAAGCTAGGTGGGCCTGTCCTATTGTGTTGCAGTGTCCACCAAGCTAGGTGGGTCGGTCCTATTGATGTGTTGCTGTGTCCACCAAGCTAGGTGGGCCTGTCCTATTGATGTGTTCCTGTGTCCACCAAGCTAGGTGGGTCGGTCCTATTGATGTTTCCACCAAGCTAGGCGGGCCTGTCCTATTGTGTTGCTGTGTCCACCAAGCTAGGTGGGCCTGTCCTAGTGATGTGTTGCTGTGTCCACCAAGCTAGGTGGGTCGGTCCTATTGATGTGTTGCTGCGTCCACCAAGCTAGGTGGGTCGGTCCTATTGATGTGTCCACCAAGCTAGGCGGGCCTGTCCTATTGTGTTGCAGTGTCCACCAAGCTAGGTGGGTCGGTCCTATTGATGTGTTGCTGTATCCACCAAGCTAGGCGGGCCTGTCCTAGTGATGTGTTGCAGTGTCCACCAAGCTAGGTGGGTCGGTCCTATTGATGTGTCCACCAAGCTAGGCGGGCCTGTCCTATTGTGTTGCAGTGTCCACCAAGCTAGGTGGGTCGGTCCTATTGATGTGTTGCTGTATCCACCAAGCTAGGTGGGTCGGTCCTATTGATGTGTCCACCAAGCTAGGTGGGCCTGTCCTATTGATGTTGCTGTATCCACCAAGCTAGGTGGGTCGGTCCTATTGATGTGTCCACCAAGCTAAGTGGGCCTGTCCTAGTGATGTGTCCACCAAGCTAGGTGGGCCTGTCCTAGTGATGTGTTGCTGTGTCCACCAAGCTAAGTGGGCCTGTCCTAGTGATGTGTCCACCAAGCTAGGTGGGCCTGTGCTATTGATGTGTCCACCAAGCTAGGTGGGCCTGTCCTATTGATGTGTTGCTGTGTCCACCAAGCTAGGTGGGTCGGTCCTATTGATGTGTCCACCAAGCTAGGTGGGCCTGTCCTATTGTGTTGCAGTGTCCACCAAGCTAGGTGGGTCGGTCCTATTGATGTGTTGCTGTATCCACCAAGCTAGGCGGGCCTGTCCTAGTGATGTGTTGCAGTGTCCACCAAGCTAGGTGGGTCGGTCCTATTGATGTGTCCACCAAGCTAGGCGGGCCTGTCCTATTGTGTTGCAGTGTCCACCAAGCTAGGTGGGCCTGTCCTATTGATGTGTTGCTGTATCCACCAAGCTAGGTGGGTCGGTCCTATTGATGTTTCCACCAAGCTAGGTGGGCCTGTCCTATTGATGTGTTGCTGTATCCACCAAGCTAAGTGGGTCGGTCCTATTGATGTGTCCACCAAGCTAAGTGGGCCTGTCCTAGTGATGTGTCCACCAAGCTAGGTGGGCCTGTCCTAGTGATGTGTTGCTGTGTCCACCAAGCTAAGTGGGCCTGTCCTAGTGTTGTGTCCACCAAGCTAGGTGGGCCTGTGCTATTGATGTGTCCACCAAGCTAGGTGGGTCGGTCCTATTGATGTGTCCACCAAGCTAGGTGGGCCTGTCCTATTGTGTTGCAGTGTCCACCAAGCTAGGTGGGTCGGTCCTATTGATGTGTTGCTGTATCCACCAAGCTAGGTGGGTCGGTCCTATTGATGTGTCCACCAAGCTAGGCGGGCCTGTCCTATTGTGTTGCAGTGTCCACCAAGCTAGGTGGGCCTGTCCTAGTGATGTGTTGCTGTGTCCACCAAGCTAGGTGGGTCGGTCCTATTGATAGTAATAATAATACTCCAAAGCATTTATTCAACAACCATAGCATACAATCTTCTTATGCATCCAAGTTTCACACCACTGTCATAACAAGAAACTTGAATGTTATACACAAAGATAAACCTTTGATATGTAAATATACCAAAATGCGTGTTAACAGGTGTGATTATCAAGGGCACATTGACGGGGAACATCATGTTCAAGTCTTATGCAATTATGCAGCTCGGAATCATAGCCCAACACAACAATTCCACACTGACAGTAATTTAACAACTTATCCGAATCAACGGAAACAGTCCAGCTTAATTGTAAGGCACATTCATTGACAGTATGTAACTATTTCATGGACAGAATTCTACATTATGGAAAACAATAAATCACACTTTTGGAGCCGTTCACTCCAAGCCAAGGCACATTGGACGGACGAGCCTTGATTAAACATCCGACTCCTCTTTAAAGTTACAGGCTTTATGGACGACGTCCATGTCAACAGTCACAAGTCCAGCATCTTTGACGGAGTTGATCGCATTCAAGAAAACACGACTCGTGGCTTTCTGGGCGTTTACCCTGACCCATTCTTTTAGTACGCTGTACATCTTCTGTTGGGTGGTGTTGTCGCCGTTGGTCAGCTCTTCCTGGCAGCAGATGCCGAGTTGGATACTCAGAGACTGCCAGTTGTCGCCAAACGCCGTCGACAACGTCATCAGTTGGCCTTCCGTCACTGTCAACATACAGAGGAAATGTTATGCAATTGTGATGTATTTGACACGGGTTTCATAGTTGTGTTTTGGACCTTAAGTTTGCAGTGTTTCGGCTACTGTTTTCAGATAGTAACGTTTGTAATTTCTTTGGTCAAATCCAATTTTCAAGTGTATACTTTCTGTTGCACCGCAGGCACGCAGCACACTACACACCGTTATTTGTAGCTTTACCTAGATCATCTAGTCGATCGTGTGTGGCTTGATCTGCGGGACTGGCAACAACGTCCGTCTTTTCGTTCGGCTGAAACATACCAAGAGGTTTTATTGTCTCAGGCTGGTCTCTGGGCGGACCAAAAGTATGGAATTTCTATGACAGTATTTCGTCTTCCGAAATATCCGGACCAAAATTATCAGTATTTTTAAACAGATAAGACAGACGCTTGTTCAAGATTACAGTGTCTAAATGATCAGAAACAACGCTTCCGCGTTTATTTAAAAATTACCAAGTTTTAAATATCCCAGGAATGTGGAAGTACTCCGTCACTGTTTACGTCATTTCAAGCATACTGTTTCGTGAAATATGTATCAAAATCAAAATGTCGTCCATACGCTTGTGAACGTCAGTCAGTTTCACGGTCATGTGACCGGTTTCTTGTCCAATGGAATACTTCTCTTTCTCAGTAGTGAGCTAGATTCCGAGTATGTCTAAACGGTCGAAATGTCCTGTTTTACCTGTGACGGGACTTGTGAGGAGACATGTGATTGAACCTCTTTTGGGGACTGTGACGTCATCCCTTGTGGCGCCTGTGACGTCATCTCTTGCGAGACCTCTGACGTCAAATCCTGCTCCATGACCTGTGATTGAACCTGGGACGGGACCTCCTGCGGGACCTGTGTGAATAAATTTTCCGGGACCGGTGTCGGTGTTTCTTGCGCGTTCAGCGCCAACATTTCTTGTGGGGTCTGTGAAGAAATGTTATGCGGGACGAGGGTCGGGACCTGTGTCGGGGCCTGTGGTAGAACATGAGACGGGACTTCCTGTGGCAATTCTTGTATGATTTCCTGTAGCGAGATGTGAGGGGGGATGTAATCGGGCAGCCCGCGGGGGTGGGGCGGGACGGAGGGGAACGTCCACTGTTCCCTTTTGCGGTCCACTGTCTCTTTAAACGCCCTAGCCTCGCTTTCGTCAATAAAATTTAGGCCAGTCATTCGATTTTTCTGAAACAAAAGGTTTGGCGTTCAGATTTGGAGCCATCATCGATGAAAACACAATTTCAACACTAAGGCACTACGTACGTGTGCCCTAGCAATAGTAACATGAAGCTTCATGAAGACATTATCAGATTTGAGGGTTGAAACAAAGGAATGCTTGAACGAATGGCGCTCACACATTAGTTAGCTATATGACAACTATATCACGGCGGCCTGTCAGTGTGGACCAAGGCCCACTTGCTCAAAGCTATCTTAGCGCTACGACTATTGTAAGCCTATGTTAAAGCATTGGAGTTACATAGAGAATCTCACCCGAGTGTCTTTTAATATCAAATATATCAACACGAGTTGATAAAAGTGGAAAAATTCCGAGGCTTGCCGGGGATATTTGCCACTTTTATCAACGAGTGTTGATATATTTGATATCAAAAGACACGAGGGTGAGATTATATTTATCATCCAACATCATTCTTCCAACTTTTTCAATTTGTAGACAGTAATTAGCAGTGTCTTCAATGTAAAAAATACTGCTAACAGCTTCAGTAGCAGAGCCATTAGTGATGTCATTTGATTGTGACGTCATGGTAACCAGTGATGTCACAATCGTCTGCAAAGCATTGTGATTTAACTTCATTGCAGCGATATCTACAGTGTAGATATCGCTTGATCTCATCAAAGCGATATCTCCTGTGGGAGCCAGTTTTTGATGATAAAATCATCTTAGCGCTAAGACCGCTTTGTGCAAGTGGGCCCAGGTGGACCTTTGGGTGATAGTGTACATAACGGCGTTGGGCTACAGCCATACAGTGGGTCTGGTCAGGACTGGAATCCAGACATGAAGACAAGCATGGGAGTTGAATAATTATTCTGTCCCGGAATCTAAACAAGAATACCTACTTTTGGAAATATATACGTCAAAGAAACCTCCAAAGTAAACATGTCAACAACTATATAAGCAACTCAATGCAGCACTGAAAATGTTATTGCAGAGCTGCATTCAACCATGTTTATGATGTTACGTCTGACAGAATATGCATACATCAAACATTGGTATCCAGAATGGGGAAAGAATATGAACAAACATGCTTGACGTTGTCAGATTCAGTGGGATAACGGCATTGTGTTATCCCTACGTTTAATTGATGTGGAACCGGTTGCATAAACCGATCTTGGCGCCTTGTTCGCTTTGTAGAACTGAGCCCCTGAAGTTACCAGCGTGCCGTGATGCACAGAATAGAGACCGTATCTGTGTGTGCAGCGACGAGATGTTCCATAGTGTTTTCCTAAACGATCCCCGGTTCGGGACAAACTGCACTAACAGCCTTGCCATAATGTACAGTCATGAATCAGAACCCCACAAGAACTGTCCCACGATTCGCTTCCAAAAACACTTCAACTATATTTATATATATATTCGATCATGCAAATTCATCGAGAGGGTACGGCTTACAATCTCTACAATATAATTTTATATATATTGTAAGACTATTTGAAAATATTAGTAATCGTATTTGAAGGCATGTGTCTTGAGAAGGGAATCATGTTTCATTTGTTAAATAACGACCATGCACTTTGCTGAAGCATATAAAGTGTGATGCAGATTTGGATCAGGCATCTTTAGGAAAACACAATAGGACAGTCCGTAGCTCTGTTTAGCCTCAAGACAACATCAAAATCGTTCAGAGGTGAGGTGAAATGGGATTTAACGTCGCGTCCAAGATTATTGCACTAATATAGCGACGTGCATGTACGTATGTGTGTGTGGCTGCTTGTACTAGTCCGGACTGATGCCGATTTATAGTGCTAGCTCACTGAGATACCATGCCGCAGTTTAACATGAATACCCCACTCAGACACAGTATACTGACTCCGAGCCGACAAGTCCATGTTTTAGCCCCTTAATGCCGAGCGCCAGACAGGGTTACAACAAGTACCATCTTTTAACGTCTTTTGGTATGACGCGGTCGGGGATCGAACCCCGGACCTTCCGCTCTCCGGGCGGACGCTCTACCACTAGACCACGGAGGCGGTCATAGAATAGTTGAGAGGGGAGGCGCAGAGACTCGGTTACTGCAGCTAATTATAAGTATAGAGGTGGCTCACCGCTCCCGTCATGTAGTGAAACCGATCACTTTTTTCTATGTACTTGAACTTGTTGTTGATAGTGTGCTCATGTATTTCCTGCCTCGTCTGAAAGTAGGACAAAGCAAGGATGATAAGACTGAGTATGTTTTTTTACGCCGCTTTTAGCAATATTCCAGCCATATCACGGCGGGGGACACCAGAAATGGGCTTCACACATTGTACCCATGTCGGGAATCGAACCCGGGTCTTCGGCGTGACGAGCGAACGCTTTAACCACTAGGCTACCCGACCGCCCCCAAGGATGATAAGAATTAAAATATGTACATACATAAACTGACCTGAAAAGAAAGTATACACTTGAAAATTGGATTTGACAAAACTTTATCAAAACGTTACTAAAAAAGTACTTTAAGCTGTCTCCTAAACACTGCAAACTTGAGGTCCAAATCACAACTATGATGTCCGCATCAAATACATCAGATCGAATTCTTTATTTCATCTTTAGCCACCATCAGACATGGATGTATACTTTCTTTTGTCTGGCCGTTTATTATCGGAAACAATAGGTTACACTTCTTTGTCCAGTACTACTATGATCGAGGCATATCGTGTCCGTTTGGTTGAGGGACAACGGGTCAGTAAAAAGTATTCAGAAGAACAGGAAATTCATTACCACTCCTAGGAGTGGTGAGTGGGCTGGGTTTAACGCCGATCTGAACAGTATTTCAGTTTTAGAACGGCGTGTCAACTTAATCTGGGAGGAAAGACCGAGGTGATGCAGTTCGTAGATGCTGACCACTTGGTTATGGTGCTGACAAACCAACTGTAGCGTAGAAAAACGGAGTACATTTTGTCGTAAATTTAAATGTAATTTTCACATAAGGATAAGCATGTTATCTTTATTTTCTGGCGGTTTGAAATGAAATGACGTTTGGGATTATCTGCCCTTAGGCAGAGGTGAAGGCAAGCTCCTCACAGCGATAGCCCGTTCGCGGATCTCGTTCGCGGAGCTCTCTATACTATCGCGATGTTACCGATAGTGTAACGAAGGTGTCACGCGCTGTGAAGGAGCCTGGAGGTGAAGGTTGAAGAGAATAAAATATGGCGGCAAAAGAACGGCGTCTTGTTGTCTGTGATAGCCAGAATAATTACAAGATGTAGAAGACAGGTCCCACAACGCAACATAACCATGGGTTTCTGATTTCTGAGATTCTGACACGAATCTAGGATCATTTGATTTCGAGACAACTAAGGGACGCAACTCTGCATGTAATAGACACAGTAAAGTCGGGAAGCCTTCTCTCTCGAGAGAGCTCGAGAGGAACTCGATGATACCGTGTATAGAATATATTCGTACAGAAAAGAAATCACACTCCTCTATGTACATATAGTCTATATGTATATAGAGGGGTGTGATTTTTTTTCTATACGAATATATTATGCTATACACGCTATCATCGAGTTCCTGTGTGTTCACAGTACTACATTGGGTGGTGAACACGTTTGGAACAGTATTTCAGTCATATCACGTTGTGTCAGCTGGGTGTGCAAAGGACCTATACAACTTTGGTAAACTCGCGAGCACGGGAATCGTGCTGATAAACCAAGAATCTGGAATTCGAACCAACGATCATGTTTCTGGCACACAAAAGGGACGCAACTCTGTACAACGATTTCCGGGAGTCCCCTTGATGGGTGAATCACCCATGCCTCTTCACTATTATCAATCATGTAATATATGTGGAAGCTATACAAACATGGGCGACCCGTGAAGATCCGGGGTAGAATAGGAAAAGAGGACTATGTTTGTCGTAGGAGGCGACTAACGGGATCGGGTGGTCAGGCTCGCTGACTTGGTTGATGCATGTCATCGTTTGTTATAAAGAAACAACAAAAAGCATCCCTGGTCACGCCAGAAAACTATGATCGTGTTCGAAACCCGGTGATGTTTCTAGGTATGTCAGCACAATACCCATGCACACGAGTTTCACCAAAGTGGTAAACGTCTGAGACCTGCACCACTTCGAGCTTTCCTCCCATATTAAGCTGACATGCCGTGCTACAACTGGAATACTGTTCACAGCGGCGTTAAACTCATCTCTCACTCACTCACTCCATCGCTTTACAGGAATCAAATAAGAGATGCAAACACGAACAGCACCAATATGCACTAACCATGAGGTTAAACGCCTTGAAGATGTACTGTTTTCCTGGATGATCCTTGATGAAGCACATGACCCCATATCCCCTGTGTGTCCACGTTCTTGAGCCGGCGTCAGTGACGTCCGCCGTCAGCACCTCGACCACTCCCGCAGCCCTGATCTGCAGAAGCAACGCCACACAGACTGATCAATGCCTGAATACAATAATACCAACACCCCGTCGCACACATGCTCCGCCATTAATTACTTCAACTCCGTTCTGTTATATACTTAATGTCGATCATGCTTTTCTTTATAGTACAGATGCGCTATTCTTAGCTGCTAGGAAGATCGGGCCTTTGAGCGATGACAGTAAAGGATGTGATTTTCAAATGTGACTGACAGTTCCGACGTCAACTACGTGGTTATGACGTCGGCATGGACTACAAAGGTGTCACATGACAATGTATGATGTTGCGTGTTTATTCAATAACGGCAGAGTCAAGTTGGGAAGTAATGGGGAATTAACGAGAATTAACAGCGAAGAATACATGTTGAGAATCGCATGGGCTGTTCCATTGTCGAGACTACTGTCGAACCAGGGTACCACACTAATATCTTGACTGCAGTCATCCTGCATTTTCTCATAGACCCCAGGGCGTATATTTAATAAAACGCACCCCTCCACCCCTCACCACCCCCAGCCTCAACCACTCACCACCCCACCCCACCCCCGTGTCCCATTCAGCAGCCTGTATTCATATCTTTTTCGGGGGGGGGGGGGGGGGGGGGGGGGGGGGGGGGGGGGTTAGCCTAGTGGTTAAAGCGTTCGCATGTCACGCCGAAGACCCGGGTTCGATTCCTGACATGGATACAATGTGTGTAGCCCATTTGCGGTGTCCCCCGCCGTGATGTTGCTGGATTATTGCTTTAAAACGGCGTAAAACCAGTCACTCAATACTCGAAGGTTTCTTAATGGATAACATAACTATATTTCTGGGACTGTATGTTAGTCTAATCATATCTTTGTCGACCTGGCTACAATACTATATTACTTTAAAACCTGCCACTGCTACTACTACTAAAATATGCTTTCGATTTTGATTCTATATTAATACAGTATTCCAGTTATATCACGGCGTGCCAAGCTTAATGTTGGAGTAAAGCCCGAAGTGATGCAGGTCTCAGGCGTTTATCACTTCGGTGAAAACCACGAGCACGGGTATGGCGCTGACAAACCTAGAAACAATCGGGGCGAACCGGGATTCGAACCCACAATCATAGGTTTCTGGCGTGCCTTAGGGACGCAACTCTGCACAGCGAATCTCTGCGCCTTAGACGACTGGGCCACCCGTGACCCCCTACTCAACATTAAGTTACCATCTGGTAGATTCGGTGGTCTTTAACTTTTAGTTTTATAATTTTAATAGTATATTGCTTAGTTTAAATCATTTTGACCGAAAACGACATATCTCTTCCTGTTTCCGCATGCGTCATTTGTTTCCTGCGTCTTTCCGGTGTAAAGAGGCGAGAAACAATGTAGAGAGAAACAGTACGAATTGTCAAGCTATTGTTTGTTTTTTCGTCTTTTATTTGTTGTTTAACGCCGCACTCAGCAATATTCCACCTAAATGACGGTGGTCTGTACATAAATAATCGAGTCTGGGCCAGACAATAGAGTGATACACATCAGGCGCATCGATCCACGCAGTTGGGATACGATGACATGCATCAACCAAGTCAGCGAGCCTGACCACCCGATCCCCTTAGTTGCCTCTTACGACAATCATAGTCGCCTTTTACGGCAAGCATGGGTTCCTGGAGATCTATTCTGACCCGTATCATCACGGGTCCTTTCCGCCTATAGACAAGTAACTTGTCGCTGTGCAAGACATAGGCACAAGTTTACATACCGTTATTTCACAACATACTCGATCCATATTATACTCTTCGCGCTGGCATAGTGTTATTTTACAGCATACAAGATCCATAACATAATCCCACATACTGGCATAGCGTTATTATGCAACATACACGATCCATATTATACCCTTCATGCTGGCATAGCGTTATTCGCACAAGATCTATGACACCCACCCACATGCTAGCATAGCGTCATCTCTCTCTCTCTCTCTCTCTCTCTCTCTCTCTCTCTCTCCCTCTCTCTCTCACACACACACACAGTCGTCATATAAATATACCAAGTCACGATTTCTATATGAGAAGTGATATAGATCTTGACAAAACGGCTTTGGCCTAGATATCGTTCTACCTCTGGTCTATATGACAGAAACGATAGAGGCCGTCACTTATCTCCCCAGTGTAACTGTGGATGTACACAACTATAGATAGCACACCTGTCCACATACCTCACGGCGGCGTCCTACAATGTACTTCAATATGTCGCACTGGGCCGTCGTCAGGTGAGAAGAGCTGATTGTGTGAACTTCAATCATGTCGATTTCAAGCCACATCAAACGCTGTTCATTTCAGGTGTTGAACATGATGACAGTGATGTCAGATCGTCTCGTGCAAAACGCCACGATCCACTTCCTTGATTGAGTGGGTTGTGTTCACGAAGATGACACGAGCAATGTCGCGATGAATGGGGGATTCCCCGTCACCAATGTCGTTATGAAATCTCGCACCGAACGCTGTCTGTGAAGGGCTTGGCATTGAAGACTCGGCGGCGTCAGGTGTCGATAGCAGACTATCGACGTGTAATCAACATCCTGTACAGGTTCATTGTATATCATCGAGTTTCTGACAACGCATTTGCTGAATAAATTATAAACCTGATAGTCGTGCATGTGTTGCCAGTGAAGCGTTGCGGGGGGTGTCATACATGTTTTACAATGTCTTACTTAGTCATCTGGAACGTGAGTTTATAATAAACAACTTGTTTATCGATTTCCTGGTGATGTTAAGCTTTAAATACGTATATAAATAGAATAGTATTATCAATAGAATAGTCGTCGCAATGGTCATCATCATATTAAACATCAACATCATCATCATCATCATCATCTTCATCATCGACCCGTGAAGATCCGGGGTAGAATAGGTTTTCAGCAACCCATTCTTGCCGTAAAAGGGGACTATGCTTGTCGCTGACTTGGTTGATGCATGTCATCGTTTCCCAATTGCGTGGATCGATGCTCATGATGTCAATCACTGGATTGTCTGTTCCAGTCTTGATTATTTACAGACCGCCGTCATATAGCTGGAATATTGCTGAGTGCGGCGTTAAACAACAAACAAACAACAAACAAACAGACATCATCATCGTCGTCGTCGTGTTTTGTACTTATATATATTTTGTTGTATTTGTGTTGTGACTGTCTGTATTAACCTCATATATGTACTATTGAAGGAAACGACACAATTATGCAGCCACTATATTAAATACTGTTGAGACGTGACAGGGTGTTACTCATATGATGAAAATAAAACGTACCACGTGTTCATGAATATTCATTAGGCAATTGGATTATGAATATGCATAGACGGCAGTGTATTTTCATGAACAACAATAAACTCAGTTTTATGTTTATTCATGCTTCTATGCATGGGTCATGGGCATATAAATTTCAGCGATATTGTTGCTTCTTGCCCGTCCAACTTACAGAACGCTATACCCACGACACAAAACACACCCTCACACATCGCAACCTACAGATGCTATACCCACGACACAGAACACACCCTCACACACCACAACCTACAGATGCTATACCCACGACACAAAACACACCCTCACATACCACAACCTACAGATGCTATACCCACGACACAAAACACACCCTCACACACCACAACCTACAGATGCTATACCCACGACACAAAACACACCCTCACACATCGCAACCTACAGATGCTATACCCACGACACAAAACACACCCTCACATACCACAACCTACAGATGCTATACCCACGACACAAAACACACCCTCACACATCGCTACCTACAGATGCTATACCCACGACACAAAACACACCCTCACACATCGCAACCTACAGATGCTATACCAACGACACAGAACACACCCTCACACACCACAACCTACAGATGCTATACCCACGACACAAAACGCACCCTCACACACCACAACCTACAGATGCTATACCCACGACACAAAACACACCCTCACATACCACAACCTACAGATGCTATACCCACGGCACAAAACACACCCTCACACATCGCAACCTACAGATGCTATACCCACGACACAAAACACACCCTCACACACCACAACCTACAGATGCTATACCCACGGCACAAAACACACCCTCACACATCGCAACCTACAGATGCTATACCCACGACACAAAACACACCCTCACACATCGCAACCTACAGATGCTATACCCACGACACAGAACACACCCTCACATACCACAACCTACAGATGCTATACCCACGACACAAAACACACTCTCACACATCGCAACCTACAGATGCTATACCCACGACACAAAACACACCCTCACACATCGCAACCTACAGATGCTATACCCACGGCACAAAACACACCCTCACACATCACAACCTACAGATGCTATACCCACGACACAAAACACACCCTCACATACCACAACCTACAGATGCTATACCCACGACACAAAACACACCCTCACACACCACAACCTACAGATGCTATACCCACGACACAAAACACACCCTCACATACCACAACCTACAGATGCTATACCCACGGCACAAAACACACCCTCACACATCGCTACCTACAGATGCTATACCCACGAAACAAAACACACCCTCACACACCACAACCTACAGATGCTATACCCACGACAAAAAACACACCCTCACATACCACAACCTACAGATGCTATACCCACGGCACAAAACACACCCTCACACATCGCTACCTACAGATGCTATACCCACGACACAAAACACACCCTCACACATCGCTACCTACAGATGCTATACCCACGACAAAAAACACACCCTCACATACCACAACCTACAGATGCTATACCAACGACACAAAACACACCCTCACATACCACAACCTACAGATGCTATACCAACGACACAAAACACACCCTCACATACCACAACCTACAGATGCTATACCCTCGACACAAAACACACCCTCACACACCACAACCTACAGATGCTATACCCACGACACAAAACACACCCTCACACACAACAACCTACAGATGCTATACCCACGACACAGAACACACCCTCACATACCACAACCTACAGATGCTATACCCACGACACAAAACACACCCTCACATACCACAACCTACAGATGCTATACCCACGACACAAAACACACCCTCACATACCACAACCTACAGATGCTATACCCACGACACAGAACACACCCTCACATACCACAACCTACAGATGCTATACCCACGGCACAAAACACACCCTCACATACCACAACCTACAGATGCTATACCCACGACACAAAACACACCCTCACACATCGCAACCTACAGATGCTATACCCACGACACAAAACACACCCTCACACATCACAACCTACAGATGCTTTACCCACGACACAAAACACACCCTCACACACAACAACCTACAGATGCTATACCCACGATACAAAACACACCCTCACACATCACAACCTACAGATGCTATACCCACGACACAAAACACACCCTCACACATCGCAACCTACAGATGCTATACCCACGACACAAAACACACCCTCACACATCGCAACCTACAGATGCTATACCCACGACACAAAACACACCCTCACATACCACAACCTACAGATGCTATACCCACGACACAAAACACACCCTTGCACACCACAACCTACAGATGCTATACCCACGACACAAAACACACTCTCACACATCGCAACCTACAGATGCTATACCCACGACACAAAACACACCCTCACATACCACAACCTACAGATGCTATACCCACGACACAAAACACACCCTCACACATCGCAACCTACAGATGCTATACCCACGACACAAAACACACCCTCACACATCGCAACCTACAGATGCTATACCCACGACACAGAACGCACCCTCACACATCACAACATATACACAAGCGCATCGTAACGCAGTGAACTGTAACAAAATCCCTATTTTAATCATATTCCATTTATAGTTTAAAATGTATCGTAACGAATATCATGTATGTTGTTCATGTGTGAAATGATCGCGTTTCCAAGGTAACAATTGTGAAACTGATCCGATGTATTTCTGAGTCCGCCATCTGTTCTCCCTGAATCAATGTTGCCCGTCCATGGGTATATGTTTGCTTACACGTTTTTCGCGCATTTACGCTTGCACTATTTATTGACTTCCTGTGAATCTATTTTTGGATTACAGGCCTTCGTTAGACATTCTTTTCGCGCGGTCAGGAGGACGCAGGTTTATGTTATACACACGCTGATGTGAGTTAGTGAGTGAGTGGGTGAGTTTGGTTTAACGCCACTTTTAACAGTATTCCAGTTATATCGCGGCGTGTCAGCTTCATGTGGGAGGAAAGCCCGAAATGATGCAGGTGTCAGACGTTTACCACTTCGGTGAAACCCACGAGCACGGGTATGGTGCTGACAAACCTAGAAACATAATCGGGGCGAACCAGGATTCGAACCCACAATCATAGGTTTCTGGCGTGCCCAAGGGACGCAACTCTGCACAGCGAATCGCGGCGCCTTAGACGACTGGGCCAGCCGTGCCCCCTCACGCTGATGTAAATGAACACATCAATGCAAACAGGAGTATGCATCCTCTGTTATACAGTGTAGTATATCTTCATTCTGTTACCCCATGGGGATTCCGGGTTAGAACAGGTCCCAACCAACTTATGCTGGTCGTGTGTTTGTTTGTTTGGTTGGTTGTTGTTAAATGCCTCACTCAGAAATATTCCACCTATATGACGGCGGTTTGTAAATAATCGAGTCTGGACCAGACAATCCAGTTATTGACATGAACATCAGGCTATGCAATTGGGATATGATGACATGCATCAACCAAGTCAGCGAGCCTGACCACCCGATCCCGTAGTCGCCTCTTACGACAAGCGTAGCCGCTTTTTACGGCAAGCATGGGTTGCTGAAGACCTATTCTATCCCGGATCTTCACGGGTCTTATGCTGGCCGTAACAGGCGACCAAATGGATCGGGTGGTCAGACTCGGTGACAAGTGAGTTAAGATTTAACGTCACATCGGCAGTATTCAGTGACTAGGTTGATTGCGTATCTTCGTACCCCGACGGAGTCGATCGTTGTTCACAATATCGATCACTGAGTTGTCAGGTCACGACTCGATTAATTACAGCCAAACGTCCTACAGCTTGTATACACGGCATTGCTGAGTGCGGCGTTAAACAACACACAAAAACACACTATGCGCAGCTACAATAAACCAACTCTTATCACTTGCTAAAACACATTTCATTCCTTGTCATCTATTGTTACACAATTATATACAATCCTACTTTGAGGAAACCGCCGCCGGTGAAATCTCCTTCCTCAAGATGTCAGTTTATTTCCGGTGTGAGGTCATCGGTAGAACAGTCGCGTCTCTCGACCACGTGACCTCGGGCGAGTCTTGAGAACACAGATCCAGCTTTCTGTTTTAGTCACCAAGAGCTGTAAGGCATCCACTTAACACATCCTTGGTCGTCGCCGACGTTGATGGATGTGTTACCTCAAATCAGAAACAACCTTGTCGTGATTCTGAAATAACCGTCACTGTGACGTAACGCACTGTAAACATGTATCTATAGCATTTTTAACGT